TTTTCTTCTTCAAATCGTCCGAAGAGAACATGTGAAACATTTTATAACTGAATAATTACAAATTGTAGGACAGGTGCGCGACTATTTATCAATTAAATTATTCTAATCCTTAATTTTGAAAGCTTAGACGAATGCCAACCATACCTAAAAAATTTTCAAAATTCACTTCAATTTTTTTTATTCCTACTAGTATTTTCAAAATTGAGGTATTAATCGCTTTACCTGCTAAATTTTCTTGCGATAAAAACTCCCTGAGAACTTTAAAAAATGAAGTGTTTCTCATTTTTCATGTTAAATAGTTTTTTCTTCTTAAAATCGTCCGAAGAGAACATGTGAAACATTTTATAACTGAATAATTACAAATTGTAGGACAGGTGCGCGACTATTTATCAATTAAATTATTCTAATCCTTAATTTTGAAAGCTTAGACCAATGCCAACCATACCTAAAAAATTTTCAAAATTCACTTCAATTTTTTTTATTCCTACTAGTTTTTTCAAAATCGAGGTATTAATCGCTTTACCTGCTAAATTTTCTTGCGATAAAAACTCCCCGAGAACTTTAAAAAATGAAGTGTTTCTCATTTTTCATGTTAAATAGTTTTTTCTTCTTCAAATCGTCCGAAGAGAACATGTGAAACATTTTATAACTGAATAATTACAAATTGTAGGACAGGTGCGCGACTATTTATCAATTAAATTATTCTAATCCTTAATTTTGAAAGCTTAGACGAATGCCAACCATACCTAAAAAATTTTCAAAATTCACTTCAATTTTTTTTATTCCTACTAGTATTTTCAAAATTGAGGTATTAATCGCTTTACCTGCTAAATTTTCTTGCGATAAAAACTCCCTGAGAACTTTAAAAAATGAAGTGTTTCTCATTTTTCATGTTAAATAGTTTTTTCTTCTTAAAATCGTCCGAAGAAAACATGTGAAACATTTTATAACTGAATAATTACAAATTGTAGGACAGGTGCGCGACTATTTATCAATTAAATTATTCTAATCCTTAATTTTGAAAGCTTAGACCAATGCCAACCATACCTAAAAAATTTTCAAAATTCACTTCAATTTTTTTTATTCCTACTAGTTTTTTCAAAATCGAGGTATTAATCGCTTTACCTGCTAAATTTTCTTGCGATAAAAACTCCCTGAGAACTTTAAAAAATGAAGTGTTTCTCATTTTTCATGTTAAATAGTTTTTTCTTCTTAGAATCGTCCGAAGAGAACATGTGAAACATTTTATAACTGAATAATTACAAATTGTAGGACAGGTGCGCGACTATTTATCAATTAAATTATTCTAATCCTTAATTTTGAAAGCTTAGACCAATGCCAACCATACCTAAAAAATTTTCAAAATTCACTTCAATTTTTTTTATTCCTACTAGTTTTTTCAAAATCGAGGTATTAATCGCTTTACCTGCTAAATTTTCTTGCGATAAAAACTCCCTGAGAACTTTAAAAAATGAAGTGTTTCTCATTTTTCATGTTAAATAGTTTTTTCTTCTTAAAATCGTCCGAAGAGAACATGTGAAACATTTTATAACTGAATAATTACAAATTGTAGGACAGGTGCGCGACTATTTATCAATTAAATTATTCTAATCCTTAATTTTGAAAGCTTAGACGAATGCCAACCATACCTAAAAAATTTTCAAAATTCACTTCAATTTTTTTTATTCCTACTAGTTTTTTCAAAATCGAGGTATTAATCGCTTTACCTGCTAAATTTTCTTGCGATAAAAACTCCCCGAGAACTTTAAAAAATGAAGTGTTTCTCATTTTTCATGTTAAATAGTTTTTTCTTCTTCAAATCGTCCGAAGAAAACATGTGAAACATTTTATAACTGAATAATTACAAATTGTAGGACAGGTGCGCGACTATTTATCAATTAAATTATTCTAATCCTTAATTTTGAAAGCTTAGACCAATGCCAACCATACCTAAAAAATTTTCAAAATTCACTTCAATTTTTTTTATTCCTACTAGTTTTTTCAAAATCGAGGTATTAATCGCTTTACCTGCTAAATTTTCTTGCGATAAAAACTCCCTGAGAACTTTAAAAAATGAAGTGTTTCTCATTTTTCATGTTAAATAGTTTTTTCTTCTTAAAATCGTCCGAAGAGAACATGTGAAACATTTTGTAACTGAATAATTACAAATTGTAGGACAGGTGCGCGACTATTTATCAATTAAATTATTCTAATCCTTAATTTTGAAAGCTTAGACCAATGCCAACCATACCTAAAAAATTTTCAAAATTCACTTCAATTTTTTTTATTCCTACTAGTATTTTCAAAATTGAGGTATTAATCGCTTTACCTGCTAAATTTTCTTGCGATAAAAACTCCCCGAGAACTTTAAAAAATGAAGTGTTTCTCATTTTTCATGTTAAATAGTTTTTTCTTCTTCAAATCGTCCGAAGAAAACATGTGAAACATTTTATAACTGAATAATTACAAATTGTAGGACAGGTGCGCGACTATTTATCAATTAAATTATTCTAATCCTTAATTTTGAAAGCTTAGACCAATGCCAACCATACCTAAAAAATTTTCAAAATTCACTTCAATTTTTTTTATTCCTACTAGTTTTTTCAAAATCGAGGTATTAATCGCTTTACCTGCTAAATTTTCTTGCGATAAAAACTCCCCGAGAACTTTAAAAAATGAAGTGTTTCTCATTTTTCATGTTAAATAGTTTTTTCTTCTTAAAATCGTCCGAACAGAACATGTGAAACATTTTATAACTGAATAATTACAAATTGTAGAACAGGTGCGCGACTATTTATCAATCAAATTATTCTAATCCTTAATTTTGAAAGCTTAGACCAATGCCAACCAACCTAAAAAATTTACAAAATTCACTTCAATTTTTTTTATTCCTACTAGTTTTTTCAAATTTGAGTTATTAATCGCTTCACCTGCTAAATTTTTGTGCGATATAAGTCCTTCAAGAATTTTTAAAACTGTCTTGTGATTCATTTTTCATGTTTAATAGTTTTTTGTTCTTAAAATCGTCATTAGTTATTTTACTTTCCCAAGTTGTACACCATTTTATTTTATTTTTTTGTGTTTTAGCTTGTTATTATCTTAACGTGCGGCGCCCAATCCTTTCCGGTCGAGCTCTAGTAAAAACGTCCATAGATGATACACTTTTCTTTCCAAAAACTATCAGATTTCCTCAAAGGTCTGAATTATTTACAGCCGATGTAAGAGGCCTCGGCGGTCTTAAAATTGCTCAAGAGGAGTAGCGAGGCGGCGGAATTTTACAACTTGTTCAGCGAAGTTCAATAAAATCCCGCGGTCGGACACAAACCCAAACAGACGTGATTCCAAATCCTTTTCCCAGCAGCCGCCTCTTCTTCTCGCGCAGCCACTTTTAACTCTGTGTCTTTTTTGCGGCTGTCCTTTTTTGTCCAAACAATGAATTAAGTTTGCTGTGTCTTCGGTCGCGGCGGCTTTTTCTCAACAATAACAGCAGCGAAAGAGAGAGAATAATAATAAATAAAATGCCGGTGATGTCGAGCAGCCGGTGAAACAAGGGGCCAGTAAATCAAGCGGCCGAGTGACTTTTAAGAGGCCAGCCGTGATGTTTCACTTAAATGTTTATTGGATGTATAAATTCTGAGGACCGGCCGGCCGGAGAGCGATGATTTATCATGCAGGATGTCCTTAAAGAATGACTTTGTTAGACCAATAAAAAGATTTAACACGTTCATCATAAAATTTACATTTAAAATAAAAAATTCTTAATATAATTTTATCCTTCAATGCGTAAAAAAATATCATTTACCTGCACACAAAAAGTACTCGCCCGTGATACATAATAACTTTTCCTCGGGAGGAATTTCTTTCCACCAACGTTTTATTGCGAGAGAGGCAAATGAATATAAAAAATATTAATACGCGTAAAAGCTGCCTTTTTATGTCACCACAACAGGAATAAATTTCCAGACTCTTTACGAATGCCGAGTCGGTGATCAAAAATTGCCGCTTTCACGCCCCAGCCGAGGCTATTTTGCATTTTTCGGACTGGAAGCGTCGCTTGATGGCCCGTAAAAGTCGCGTCCGTAATCTTTAGGGAGTGAAAAATAGGTCTGTTTTTCACTTTTTATTAGGTGGTCCACGCATTCGAAATATAAAATGTTAATGGCCGCAGATCGTTTCAATTTGATTTGCTCGGCCTTTGAGAAAATTACGCCAACTTGTTGGAACGGTGCTTATAAGTTAGAGCAAAAGTTGCATTCAAATTAAGCCACCCTACAGATAGTAATATTGCATGTGCTTCAAAAATAAAATTAAAATAATTTAATTATTTTAAAATTTATTCAAGATAAAGATCCATTCAAATCAATCACAAAAACCTTCCTGCTGATAATTGTCCAAGTTGATTTACATTTATTTATGAATATATCTTTTGATTTCACTTAAAAAAAATCATTGCTTATTTCACAATGAAGTAGTTAAAATTTAAACAGCAGCATTACAAGTGGAATTTAGCTCTTTGCGGAGTTCTAAAAGAGCTGCTGATCTTTGCCAGCAGATAAGACCGAATTCGCAACTGGGCGTAAAAATGTGCTCCCCGCTTTTTATATTGGCGAGTAAAGAGAAAATAAAGCAACTCGCTGTTTCTTTCTTATCTTGCACGCGTGTGTAATGCGCTCTCTCGAAAAGAATTCCGACGGCCGAGAATTTTTTAATAAAATCGTTCGCCGGCCGTCCGAGTGCAAATCAACAACGATGTACACACGCTGATGCAGCAAAAGCTGCCGGGCGGGGACTACAAAAGGCCATTCATCTGCATTCCGTGCTCAGCCAATTTAAATGCGCGCACGAGAGATAAAACTTCTTTTCTTTATTCGTGTGTGTCAGCCCGTCGAGCTTTTTTTGCGCATGTTATTGTTCGGGCGATGATTTTATTAAAAATTTACGTCGCAGCAAGTTGAGCGGAAATTTTTTTTATTAAATCCTCTTCTCGTTTTCTGTCGCAGGTCGAAAGCAGCACAGACCCGACCCAGCATGCTGCCCCATTTGCGGGGTCACCATCCGAGGAGGCGAGTTCGAGGCGCACTACTTGCAAGAGGTGGAGCGGCTGATGAAGTTGTCCAACGGGGCCAAGGGTGCCGGACCTTCAAACACTCAAAGCCCGGACTTTGGACCTGGCAGCTCGGAAACCGCCGTCACTGGAGGAACCACAGCCGAGTCGAGATGGGAGGTTGGTTTGAAATTTATCTTATTTAACTTCCTCAGCATCTGCCTAGAAAATTTATACAAAAGTAAAATTTTATTCCAACACGGTTTATTTTGATACCAGAAGAATAAATTTACAACTTTTTTTTAATATTCAATTTAAAAAATTATATTTTTAAATTGAAAATAAAATTCAAGTATTTTGAATATTTATCATTTTTCTATAAAAAACGTTCTCCATTTTGGAGGATTTTCTACTGAAAAACGCTCTGCCAAAAGTTGATATATAATCTTTTCTTGTAAAATTCTGATTGAGTAGCTGGATTCTTTAGAAAGAAAAGAAAAAACTTCCTGCATCAATATCTTTCCCCAAATGACATTGTTTGAAATAAGTATTTGCATTTAAAAAAGTTTTCAGCGTCATCCGAATGAAAACAAAATTTTGCAGCAAATTTAATTGATCTCAAAGGAACGCTGACAAATTATTAGAGGAGCTTCATCTTTTGCTGATTAATTACTATTCTAAGGAAGTTTGCAATTTAAAAAAAAAAATCAGAATATTTTTCTTCTGACAATATTAATAGAATGGAGAATTAAATTCAATTAACTTTTGTTACCCCTATTTAAGAATCTCAATTTGTCGAGCACATAATTATAAGAGAAATTCAATTCCTCCAACAAATCCGTTTAGCGTCTCCTTTTCGCTCAATCGGACGCAATAAAAGTCAACTGCACGCGAGAGGCAATTGAAAATATTTTTATCGCCACATTGAAACGGAATAAAATTTTATTCGGCCTCGCGCTGCGCTCCCCCAGCACAGCGTTGAAATTGAATCGCATCCCCAAATCCAATAAAAGCCCCGATCATAAAAGCGATTTTGAATGGCAGACGTACCAGCGGGTGAAAAACAACAGGCAGAACCGACTGCGGAGCAAACACCGCAGTGCCAAGCAGCACCACCGCCGCAGCGACGAGGTCGTGTGTCCTGTCTGCAACGAGGCCATCCACACCCTGCCCGGAAGCCCCACAGTCGAGCAACTCAACGCCCACGTCGAACATTGCTTGCTGCAGAAGGTAAAATCGCGAGTATGTCATTTTCTAGCCCGTCTCGGTGTCGTCAGCAACCCTTTTTTTGTGTTTTCGTATCGATCCGCCTGGGCAGGCTTTTCATCTTTGCAGGAATTTAAATGCCTGAAATGTTTTGCCACTACGAATTCATTACATTAGAAGGATTTGTTAATTATAAAAGGAAATTTTAAAATTTAAATTAATTTGGTTTGCATTTATTTTTAAGTGCTTCAATATTTTCTTGGCGAAGTTAAGTTCTTATTGCTAATGTTAAATTAAAATAATTTTTTCCTAGCATTGGACTGAATACAAAAATTATCTTTTTGCAGTCCTCAAATTTTTTTTCATCAATTTTTTACTTCTAAATTATTTAAATACTTCATTTTTGAATTTTTATAATCTTTTTCCTCGCAGCAAGCAGCTAACAATGAAGTGGATGCCGACATTGACGTCGAAGGTGATGAGGACAACGGTGGCGAAACCTACGAAGAATATGAGTGGGCAGGTCAAAAACGAGTGCGAGTTTCGTCGTTACTCCCAGGAGGCTATGCTGGTATGTTGTTTGCAATTAAAATTAAATATTTCCTAACTAATTTGATTGAAATATGTGCAGGCGTTGGTATGCAAGCTGGCCAGTCTGCAGAGGATGAGGAGGGAGACTTGGTGGTTGATGGCGATGACACTGTGATTTACGGACCACCTCAGTTCAGCGACAGTGACGTCAGGATAGCTGCTGATGGGAATAGGGAGAGCAGGTAAATCAAATTTACTTAAATTAATTCAATATTTATACAATTTTTCCCAAACAGTCCTGGAAACAATGTTGAAGTCAAACCGGAACCCTCGGAAGGCTTGGAAGACAACAAGGATGCTCTCAGCAACCCCCAAATCGAAGCGCTAAAGATGAAAATCAAGATGCTCGAGTCTGCCACCGAGGAAAGCAAACTGAAATGTCTCATCTGCATGGTATGTTTTGCTTTTAGCAACAATAATCTGTTTTATTAAAACAAATTATTTCATTTTAGGATCGTTATCGCAAACCTGTGATCTCTATAAATTGCTGGCACGTACACTGTGAGGACTGCTGGCTTCAAACTTTGGTGAGTACAGCCTTAAGTTAACTTCTTTTTCTATCCTTTTGCTAGCATCAAAATTAAAACCTGTTTTGTAACTTCATTATGAAAACTAATTTGCTGTTGCTCAACAGGGAGCTAAAAAACTGTGTCCGCAGTGCAACTTAATCACATCTCCATCCGACCTGCGCCGCATTTATTTGTGATCGTGACGCTCGTAGTAACTGAAAAGTGAATCTCATTAGTTTGTTGCCGGTTTTTGTTTCTCAACAGAACATTATTCCGCCGAGTCGAAGCGTATTCGGTGGGAGTGAAAGAGTTTTAGCAGCTGTGCATCAAAAAAAGTGAATCGAAGCGGACGAATGATTCCAAAAATATTAATTCAAAGTTCCGTGTTACCTTTTAACGTAGAGACAAAATATTTAGTTAATACAGTATGTATGTGTAATTTCCATGTATTATAAACAAATGCACACTGAAACGTTGTTAATTGATGTTAAATTTAGAAAGAAAAAAAAACACTGGAAACTGTTGGTGAATTGTATAGACCAATATTACTTATGCCATTTCTTAATTGTCATCATCTATAAATAAAGACTAATGCTATTAATTCAACGGTTTCAAGCTTTAAAAATCCACGCTTCAGTGTCACTATCATTCTGTATGATTAGCAACTTAATTAAGTTCATTAAATAGTTTTTATTTTGGTCTTACATAGGCAACCTGCGTAGCTTATGAGCGCTGCGTGTTGCTGCAATTAGCTTGATTTAAAAAAATGTGCAATCATCATAAACTAGGAATTATTTAAATTATTTCACCAGATTTTCTTTGAATGATTTTATTAAAAAAAAAAATTTTCAATTAAAAGTAAAATAAATTTATCACATTAAGAAAAATAAGAATGAAAGTAGAACATCTTTTCGGCAACATTTATTGCTCATCCTCGTTTTCCAAATCAGTGGCCTGAGGCTCAGCGCTCTCAGACAAGTCCTCGTCTTGGGTTGGCGCCTTGCGGCTTGTGCTTACAATAATGGGGATAACTTTTTCCACCTGGGGCTCGCTTTCCTTTTTGGCAATGGTGATTGCCAAATGGCCCTCCTCAGTCAACTCGCACTGGATTTTCTCTTGATCGACGTCGTCTGGAATGACGTAGCGCCTGACAAAGTGCCGCTTCAACAATCCCTTTTCGCCCTGTTTCGCTTCCTGCTTTCCCTCGACGATCAATTGGTTTCCCAGGGTCTTCACACTTACTTCTTCCTCTTTGAAGCTCTTCATATCAACACTCACCTGATACGAAATTATGCAATTTGATATGATTTATTAAAATAAAAATGAAATCAGTTCCACCAAAAATATTTTGTACAGCTTGATCTCGATTCTTTTCAAAATAATGTAAATTACCTGGAAACCGTTTTCGTCGTTTATTGGAATAATTGATTCGTCACATGCCGTTTTATCCGAAAACCTGCGTTGTTGGAAATTGGTGCATCGCATGGACTTGATTCCGTGATTGGGTATGAGTGACCTCAGCGTCTCGTCGTCCTTCAGTATCTTGTCCAGGTCAAAGTCCCGGTCAAAGAAGCTGCTAGGCTTCATCATGTCTTCAAAAAGGGGCGGCAAATTTTCAATGCTGGACATTTTCCACTGATAACTGGCTTAAAGATGTTGAAGCGAGAAATGCAGACTGTCTGCAACGCTCTGTGCGCGCCACTGGATTAGCCGCAATTACTGCAATGAGGGGCGCTTGCCGCTCCTTTATAGCTGCCGTTAAATGTTTTTGCTAAGGCTTCATGGTTGTTGTGCACAATAAATCAATAATTTGATTGTTGTCATTGCACAACTGCCTTTCGTAAAACATTATGATCAAAGTGACATTCAGGAAGTGGCGGGTGGCGGATTATAATGTTTTAAATAGAAATTAAACTCGTAACAAATTATGTAATCTGAAAAATAACTTTGTTCATATTTTTAAAATGTATAGTTTTGGTTTAATTGAACAAATTTTCTAATTTTTATTTACAATTTCTTTTATTTATAAACTCATATAAACATTTTCCAAGCTATTTTAATTCCATTAAATTTGCACAACCAACATAACTCACTCTTAATACTCATTAATACTCTATTAAGCATTTTAAAGTAAAGTAATTGCTTTTGGCTGGTAGTTCGGGTCCACGCCGAGCCAGGTTCGAGGGTTCCTAATCAAAATGCCGTTGATGACGTCATCAGAGAGTCCTTTGACCCTCATCTGTGGCACCACGTTCAAGAGGATGTGAGCATATCCGTGACCTCCGTAGTTAAGCTGTTAAAATATTGGTCCATGTAATTATTATTTTATCCCCTTCAAATGATTACCAAGCGGTGTTTGGTGTGGATGTCGTGGGCGACGGTGATTTTGTCGGCGCGTCCGTCCTCGACGAGCCACTTGATTCGGTTCACGCGCTCCGCGTCCGAAGGCATGTCCACCTGGTTGTTGAGTTGGTAGAGCGAAGTCTCCTGGCCGAACAGGTCGTACTGGCAGTAGAACCCGGTCTCGGCAAAACTCAGGAGGTCCTCCTTGGTGTGGAGGGTGCGGTCCAAGTGGGACAAGACGGCTTTGTCTTTGGCGCCGCCTGCTTCCAGATAGATGCGGGCGATTTCCTCAGGGGCGCCAGAATCTCGGCCAGGGTGGAAAGAGGCGCCACATCCCAGCTCGGCCTGCACGATGGCTGTCGCCTGAATGGCCCTTTTCTCAAAAACTGAAAAGAAAAATTACTTTAAACATCTATTTTATTTATTTATTTTTTTATCATCTTTCAAATATTTTAAATTATTTTTGTTAAGATTAATAAAATGTTATTTTTTAATTAAATTTTAATATTTCTTTTCTGATTGTTTTTTTTTTTTTTTTTAATTTACCACTGATGGGCCAACCACTGCCAACTTCTGCAATGACACCACACTTGACCTCTGGCTTTTCAGGGCAACCCTCTGTTAAATCGGTCCTGATTGTCTTCGCCAACTCCTCAACTGAGCTGCCCAATAACGCCTCATGTCCACGGTACGCCTCCTTTACATAAAATCCTGAAAATTAGGACACCTTTTTACTGAAATATCATTTTAAGAATATTATCTAAAAGCGGTCTACTTCTTCATTATTATAAAAAATAAAAATTAATTCAAACAAAATTTTAAATTTATTAAATAAAAATTTTTAATGAAAAATCCAAAACCTGAAAGTGTCAAAAACCTTTAAATGCTTTAAAAAATAGGGTAAAAAATTTCGAAATTTCTATGGCTAATTTTTTCCATTTTTTTTTTTTTATTAAATCCGATTAAATCATAATTTTAAATTTTATTACAATTGAACTGGATTGGAATATTCCACTTATTTTAAGATTTTTTTTAGCAAAACGTATATTCTCGTTTTCAAATTCTTACCAGTTCCTGCAATGATGTGCAGCCCAGCAGCCTTGCTGGCGTGCACCATGAACTCCACATTCCTGCCTATACCAGGGCAAGTGTTCTCCACGATGGTCCCACCACCAGAGTTTTTGAATATTTTCAAATCTTCCACGACCGCTTGGTGGCTGAAAGAGTCCTGGAATGCCATGTTGAAGACGTTACTGTACCTTTATAAAAATACAATAAACTGCATGTAATTAAGTTTCACTTAATTCAAATGGTGGTTTGCTTACGGATACTGGCGCACGATGCCTGCGTTTTCCAGAGTAATTGTTTTGTCATTGAAACTGGGCAAAGAAGCGACGTTGTCCGGAGCAGGTCGGTAGAAAACCTCCGGCTTTTCAGCCACCGTGGCCGAGACGTGCTCATGAGTGAGGGTCCGACCCAGTTCATTGACATCCACTAGGCCCAAGACTGAAAATTTTAAAAATAATTTATTTAAAAAAAACAAATAAAATAATACAAAATAAAATTAATACCTGTTTGAACGTGAAAGACCTTTTTGCCAGACATTTTCGTTGTTAAAAAATTCACAACTGAAGCCGAACAAAAATTATAATCTCGAAACTGACGCGACACTATCTTTCTTTTCCCCGCCGTTCTCCGTGACTGACTAAATAAATACTGCGTGCATATGACGGAGGAGAGTCCTGTTTTGAGTGCTCTCTCGGTGGGGGTCGTTCACGCTCAACATGAGATAAAAATGCAAATGTACTCAACACGTTATAAATGGAGGCAGATGAGATGAGGCGCACTTGAATATCTCGCACAGATGGTCAAGTGGAAAGCGCACAGTAGCCAAGTGGAGTCAACTGAGCTATAATAACTTATTAATTATTGTCTTCTTACAGTTTAAAGAAAATGTGATTCTATATTTTATACTTCATTATTAAACTGGAAAAAGTTCAAAATTTAACATTATATTACCATCCTTGTTGTTCTTTTTTTATTAATTTACAACGCTCCAGAGTCTATGTTTAAGCTTTGCTAATATTGATTTTGAATCTCGCTTGTGTTTTGAGCAAAAAACGAAGACATTTCAGAATGAGGTGCTCTTTTCTTATCTCTTATTGCTTCAAGTATACACCAATAATTAAGAAATAAATTATACAATGCCATTTTTCATGCTCAGTAGTGTCATAATAATATCACAACTAGATGATATTATTACATTTTTTTAATATAAAATAAATTTGATTAATCGTATTTCTAGGGTACACTAATTATCATCTCATTGAAAAAAATCGCGTGATTATATATCTAATTCAGTTTAAAGTAGACGTGTACCATTTTTTTGCGTGCTGATAAAGGTCACCGCTCACAAGCGTAACTAAGTCGATTTAATCTCATTGCACATCCTGCGTCTGTATTGTTTGAAGCCATCCATTCATTCAAAGATCTAAAGGGCGGATGTGAAACAAAAGTATAAAAATTCTAGCATAAAAACCTTCATAATTAAGTATTATTGTTTACTTTAAAAGTATGTTGCAAACTAAAAATATAAATGGCATGTAAAAAATGTGATTAAAATTAATATTAAGAATACTTTTACATTTCTTATTGAAAATATGCTTTGGTTAAAAAAGATTTAATTTAAATTGATAAGAGAATGAGGTTAAGTTTAACTTAATACTAAACAAATTAGTTTTAGTATAAGTTCATTCATATAATTTATCATAATTATAAATCTTTGCGCTCACAGTACCTAAGTCTGTGATTCATGGAAATGAATAGATCAGCCATCTCAAATGCAGTCATAAAAACCATCAGATGCCGTGCCTCGTGAAAAGCGAGCCAATTTTATAATTTTTGCATTATTAGAGTGTTGGTTTGATCTCTATCTTAAAACCACCAAATTTTCAAAACCTATGTAATAAAAATGAAAATAATAAAAAAAAAATAATAGAAAAAAACTTGCAGTATAATTGCAAGATAAATATGAGAGAGTAAAAATGACGTTCAGATCCAGAGGGCATCCTGAAGAGATCAATTAGGCGTAAAAACTAAGTTCTCTTTTTTTTATTACTTTCGACTGTGCGGCTGGGCCGCGAGCAATAGGTCCGACGCGCGTCAATTAAAGGAAAAAGTCCAGCAGAGCGAGAGTCACCGAGTTGTGCATGAGGAAGGTCACGTGACCTGGAGGAAGAAGGGTACACCTTTCTTCGTCGTGCGCCGCTGCCGCCGCCGCCGCCGTGCTTAGGCTCACTTGTTTTTTTTAGATCTTACCCAGCCTCTATATTCCACCTCCTCGAGTGTAACGGAGCTGATCATCCGTCGTCATTGTCGTCGTCGCGGCAGTGTCGGGCGGACTCACTCAGTCACCGACAACTGACTTATCGGAGATGGCCTCGAGGACGGTGCTCCTGGTCGTCATCGTTCTCCACCTCGCCGGCACCATCCGAGCCGAAGACGCCGTCGCTGCCACTGACGTGCATCTTGCCAAGGTGAGAGATCAACAATCGCAGCAGGTTTCTCGAGATCACTTGCTCACAGATGCTGAGAACTGACGATATTTTGTTGTGACACTTATTCCCGTCACTTAATCGATTGCAAACTAGACATTAATTGCAATTGATTGAAGAAAATGATAAGTTCTCACTGTATAGAAAATTTGCTCTAAAGTTGAAAATATTAAGGATATTCAATTGAATTTTTCACTTTCACAATTTTTATTAATTTAATTTTGCAGTTTCTTCACCACTTTGGTTTGCATAAATATTTATTTAATTTATTGCAAAATGTAAGTTGTATAAAATTTTAAATCACTTTTTTTTACCTCGATTTTAATTTCTTGTAATTTTGTTCATTTTATATAAATTTCTATTAGTATTTTTTTCCCTCTTTTTCTTTTCACTCTTCAGCTCAAAATAAATGACAACCGGCAGAAGCTCTTGAAGCCCAAATGGATAAATTACACTTGGCTTTCCGGTGTGACCGTGTGGAGGAATGCATTTCATTATCGATTCCTAAGACGCGCTTCTGCGAGATTGCAAGAGCCACTTTGGCGACTCAAATGCTTGCAGCACTGACGAGAGAACAACCGTTTTTTAAACACTCGGCAGCTTGCATACATAATTACCATCTAATTACGGCGCGATAATTTCCTCATTCCGCGGAAGAACCAGATCAATCGCAATACTTCAAACCAACATTTGCATAACGCACTCACTCCGGGTCAAGTTCAAGTTTATTTTTACAAAAGTATGAAGAGTTCTTACCAGTTTCATAAATAAATTTGCTACGCCCAGTTGCAGTTTTTAACTTTTCTGTGATTAGTCCGCGCGGTTTCTTGTAATTGCCTTAGGGAAAATATTATGGAGAGAAAATCTTTATTAAAATTAATAAAAATTAGCCACTCAGCGATTTTCCATGTCATGTAACGCGTTTTCGTCCAATTAAGGACTGATCAGCAAAAAAAGTAGATGAGTTACAATAAATAATTTATTATAAATTAGCAAAAATCAACGCTTTATTTTACTCCTCATAATTTTTCATAACAGAAACCACGTGGATTACTAACAAAAAGTTTAAAAAAAGTTATTACAAGTTTTGAAAATAAAACCTGAGCATTAAACTTTTACCTGATAGAATCCAAGTTGCTATTATTTCGCTTCATACTTTCTTACCGAACGGGATGTTTTAGAAACTTTGTTGTCTCTCTTCATCATTTTCTTTTTGTGATCACTCACGTCTCCGGTGTTCTTAGAACGATGCAGAAATTACATGCTTTGACTCGTCAAACAATCTAAACACTAATAATTTTTCAAAACAATCACATGAAAGCCGTCTTTCAACTCGACGAACGTTTTATGAATAAGACGTTGAGGAAAAACGTTGACATATTTGACGTCTCTCTTCGTTTTCCTCAATCTATTATTGAAAAAAAAGTATCTTGCAACTCATGAAGAAATTACATTTTAGTGTGATGAATTCAGGAAATAACCCAAACCCTGATTGACCTGCTGCCATTAAAAAATGAATCAGCGGGAAAGCCCGTTTTTTATTTTTTTGCACGACTGCTTTCTTTTACTCATCGAAGTTGACTTGCAGGGCCTGTTAACCGGGACGAAAAACTTCTTCGGCTACTTCAGACCGGGCACGGCTTCGGCGCAACAAACAGTCACCACAAAAACATGCAACTGCGGTGAGTTCGAAATGCAAATCATATATTTATACCTGTATTGAGTTGCACTTGGAGGAAAGCACGTGCCCTTCTCTCAAGAGCAATTTCATCCTTGCCGGTACATATATTATTTCTCCTTGATAAATGCTTTATTTTATATGGCCATTGACTCTCAACAGATCAAACGAATATAAGTATTGCATGAATGAATGAGATCCTGTTTTACTTCACATATATCTCGAAACAGCCCTGAAGTTGTTTGTTTGTTTTTTAACGAAACAAAGAAATGCACTTAACTCGTTACTTTTATTGTTTCGAAGAGTATTTTTCCACCATGGCAATATAAGATCAGCAGCAGCGTGTGCCCAAAAATGAAATAAAAATTTTTAATGACACAGGACCCACTTGGAGATAATCATCTGACACGAGACTATGGGCGCGGTCGACTTTTTTAAATATTTCATTTCTTTCTCTCTCGACTGACTCATTTCTTCTACTTTTTTATTCAGTTGGCGGCTTCAAGGGGGAAATAAATTTGAGGCGGCCGTCAAATTACGACCTCATTTGTAGTAATTACGAGAAGCATTTTACAACCGAAAAACATGACGATAATGCGCAGGATAAGAAAACTATTAAATAACTATTAGAGGATGGTGCGTAGCGGAGGAATTATTAAAACTGATTCTTGACCACAAGATTTGTGTGTTTTGGGAATAGGGCAAAAAATTGCACAATAGTCGGGAGAGGTTACTTTTTAATATAGACAAGTCAGCTCAATAAACAAAAATGCAAGCAATAAAATTAGGCCTCCATGGGAGCAATTTTTAAGACACAGTTATTAGTTTAGCCAATGGTTGGTTCTTTCAGCGCATCAAAAGGGATGAGATGATATTCTTCTTAAATATTAAATAATTAAATTTAGCCAATTTCACGGCGTACGTCACAATTCCAGCTAGATCATTTTATATGTGGTGAGAATTTGATTGGTTGTCAAAAACCTGCTTGGACTAACAATAAGTGGATCATAATAATAGCTCTTGGTCATTTTCGTTTCCCACGATTCTATAATTGCTAGAGAGGAGCATGCAAATATCGGCGAACATCGATTAACTGGTAACATTAGACCAGTCTATTAAGAAAAAGCTGTCACGCTATATTTAGACTGTTTGACATATTGGCACACTTTATTTATATTAACTATCACTTTTTGTTGCACGTGATTCTCAAAATAAGAGAGCTTAAATATATATGTATATATATATATATATATATATATATATATATATATATATATATATATATATATATATATATATATATATATATATATATATATATATATATAATTAAAAATAAATGAAACCTAACTTGAAAAGATTTGAAAGTTTAAAAATATCAATAGGGTAATTGATGATTATAAATATCTGGTCTTTAAAAAATTCATGTTTAAATTTTTGCTGACTGAAAATACACACCATTAGCCATTTGATAAAAAATGTGATTCGTAAAAACTCAAATTTGCAAAAATTGCCAAAATGAAACCGAGTTGCTAAAACAGAATAATATGACCTGGATACCTTGAGCTTGTCTTATATACCGGCCATGAGATCATCCGAATAAATTACCGCGTCCGACAATAATGTTTCAACTTCCCGAACAAACAGTATGCTTTATTTATTTCTCTCTCTGCCTCCATTGTATTCCACCCAAAGGGCCCGCAAGTTATATATATTTTTTACATTATGGTTCTTCGCAACCCACGCGTGCAGACCTGCCTGGTACAAATACAAAGACGCATGCACGCGGCGTTCTATTTGTAATAAATACGCCGAGGAATTCGTGCCACCGTTTTGACCTGCATGCAATTCATTATCCGAGAAGAAAGCTTTTCTGCCGCCCTTCTTCTGGTCAATGGCCAAAAATTTTAATTTTTGCTGATTTGCAGTGTGTGGCGAGAAAAATGAAGATAGTCGAATCGTGGGCGGCCAGGAGACGGCGATCAACGAGTACCCCTGGATGGCGCGGCTCTCGTACTTCGGACGCTTCTACTGCGGCGGCACCCTTATCAACGACCGATACGTCGTCACTGCGGCCCATTGTGTCAGAGGGTGAGAGTGGTTCATTTTTAATTCTAATTTTTAAATTTACTACTTTTTAGTAATAGAAGATCTGAATTTTTTTGTTGCATAGCAATTTAAACAGAACAAATGATTTTTTTTTAATTATATGATTTAACCTATATTTTTTCTTTTTTTAGTATGAGTCAACAAGTTTTTATATAAAGGTATTTTTTTTTACAAAATTTAATTTAATAAATATTCTTTTCCTTTCAAAATTTGATAGAACAAATATTTTTATCAAGTTAAAATCCTGTGATATTGATGAAATTATCAGAAAATATTATTTAACCCATCAAATTTGCGATTTATAATTTGTCCTTGGTACAACCAATTTTCATTTATTGGAATTGATAAAAAAATATTTAAACTTATCATTGTACATAGCCCATTTTAAACTGTAATTGTTGCCCATAACATGGTCAGGGCAGGTTTGGTTTTATGATAATTTTACTGTTATGAGTTGTTGCATGATAATTGCAGAACAGTTTATTGTCGCCTCAAAACTCGTATTACAGGCGCCAGTCGGTGTAATTTTTCAATTGTAGGACTTCCTCATTTTAATTTGTCTCGTCTCCTTGAAGAAAACAGAAAATAATTTGCTGAAAAGTTGCGTGATTGCAAAAGGCTTAGGTGTATTTTAAATGCTTCAATTATTGCTACTTGGATTCCGCTTTCCTTCAGAATTGAATTATTTTTTTGCAGCTTCATGTGGTTCATGATTCGAGTGTCGTTTGGAGAGCACGACAGGTGTGACAAGGAAGGCAAGCCAGAAGCACGTTTTGTGCTCAGGGCGATTGTGCAGGATTTCACCTTCCTCAACTTCGACCATGACATTGCCCTGCTGAGGCTTAACGACAGGGTGCCCATCTCGGCCAACATCAAACCCATTTGCTTACCAACTAACAAAGGTACACATTGTTTAAAAATTGCTCAATTTTTACTGTGAAAAATAATCTTTAAAAAATCTTCAAAAATTTAAACGTATTTTTTTTTTTAATTCGCATGATTTTATATTTTCAAAACTTAGGGTATTAATTTACAGTTTATTTTATATATTTCATAACTTATTTATTATTTAGCACATGAAGCACAACATTAATGAATTTAAAACGCTAAATGCGTCCGAATTTCTAGCCGCGTTAAATGCATAAATTCTTGGCAGGCGCCCACTTTTGTTATTTTTATATTTTCCTGTGGCTCTGTTGCTGAAATGACGAGGTGTGAATTTTTAATTCACAGACGAGTTATACGTGGAAAAGATCGGAACAGCGTCTGGCTGGGGTACGACGCAGGAAGACGGCAAGCCGAGCTGCGTTCTGAGAGAAGTGGACGTGCCCATCATGAGCAATGAGGACTGCAGGAAGACAAATTACACCGAGCAGATGATCACAGACAATATGATGTGCGCTGGATACCCGAATGGCGAAAAAGACTCCTGTCAGGTGTGCAAAACATTATAAAATATTTAAATTCATAAGACTTAATCATATTAATATATTGCAGGGAGACAGTGGAGGACCCTTCATCACTGAGAGAGAAGACAAGAGATTTGAATTAATCGGTATGTAAAATCTTTAAATACTATTTTTGACCACAAATATTTTTACACATTTACATAAAAATAATAAAAAACGACAAATTACATTACCTCTAGTAATTTTTTTTTAATAAATTAAAGGTTTTTTCTGTAGTTGAAATTTAAAATAGAGAAAAAGAATAAGCAATAATTTTCTATAAATTATTCAACTTTTAGGAGTTGTGTCATGGGGCAATGGCTGTGCTCGCCCTGGTTTCCCTGGCGTCTACACCAGAGTGACCCGCTACCTAGACTGGATTGAGAAAAATTCGCAGGATGGCTGTTACTGCTCCAAGTAACATCACAGCAGCTTTTAAACAGTTACGGGTATTTCCTGCATGTCTAAAACTGACTCTTCTGACTTGACCTCACTGGCAAAAGTAATTTGTTAGAGTCAAAATAGTGAAAAAGTTAACTGATGATAAATTGTGAAAAGAAGCAAAAAATGATAAGCTTTCATTTAATTGTAATTAAATTGAAAATTTTGAGGCGTATACGCTCAACAAATCAAAAGTAGCATTTTTTCCTAAAGCAGAATTTGAATGACATAAAATTTGATATAAATATGTGTGTGCTGCTTTTTCAATACAGTTTGTAAAAGCAAAAAGTGTGTGCAAGTGTCAAAATTGGGCCTTTTCCTTGTTGAATTTTTTATTAAAAAACAATGCACTGCATTAGTTTTGAAGACTTGTTGCTTAATTAAGCCGTGATCAAAAACAAAAACTGAAACGTCTTTATAATAAAAAATTCAACGATACAATATTTAAAAGTCCGACTCTTTGACTTTATCTTGAGTGCGCACTTGTACACTTTGTTTAATTATAGATTAATTAATTTATTTATTGTATTTAATACTTTCTCCTTCAGCTTAATTTATTTTTTGCACAAAAACGGTTTTGTAAGAAAATAAATGTAATAAACACCTAAAACCTTTTACATAAACTACAGAATAGATATTTAATTTGAAGAAAAATCACCCATATTACACTTTTTGGCCCTAACATGGTTATCATTGGAACCCCTGGGCCAGGGTTTGAAAGGAAAAGGATAGTTGATTTTGGGGGGATTTAAAAGATAAGCCTGATTCGCAGTAGGTACGCAGCTTTGGCCTGTATATGTAATGACTGCATTTTTTTTAGTGCCAAAAAAGATAATTGTCTTCACTTGTGAAATATTGTATAAGACAAAAAAAAAGTGGATTCTAGAATTAAATTTTCAAAATTTAGGACTTTCCCTGTATTTCAAATTCAATTTTGAGTATTTTTTTTCAAAGTATTCGTTATTAAAAATTAAAAATATATACACAAATAAAATAGTGAATTATAAACTATTAAATTTGTTATATATGTTAATAACTAATTTATTGTTATATGGGCCTCTTACTCATTTTGACTCATTTGACAGTTTAATAGGGCTGCAGTGGGTCAATGCACTCCATTCGGTTTATATGTTCGGTATAATATAATAAAACTGAATGTCAAATTTTGAATAAAAATATAGCAATGAAATATTTATATTTTCCATTTTTTTTTCTTTCAATCAGAATGTATATAATTGTGGAATTTAATACGGAAATATGAATTAAATATTAATGTATTTTCCAATAGATAGAGTATTTATTGAACACAACTAGGTGTACAACGGGTGTCTAAAGCTAATTTGTCTTCCTAAAATTAATTTTACAATTAAGCTTGTTTCGATAATTATTACAAAGTACAAAATTAGTTAATTCTGATTTTTGCAGCCTCTCTTAGGCTTAGTTTTCGTGCATTTCATTCAAGAATATGATATTGTGAACATTTCTTACCGCAGTGCTTGCATTCACAATCTATTGTCGCTTGAGAATGAAAATTTTTATTTTCCAATGTGATATTAAAAAAATGGTAATTTTTTAATTATAATTATAAAATATAGTTTATTTTTTAATAATTAAAGAAATATATGTAAATTAATTTTAACTCAAAAACTTATGTTTTCTAGAAAATATATTTTTGCTGATAAATTCGACCCGCGCCTAAATTTAGTAATTTATGCTGGGAGGAGGAAGTGAGTTGGGTTCACTATCCACAGGTCGCAGCACCATTCACAAAAGTGACTCGCTGCGGCAAGGCGCTGCGGTGCCTTTTTGCCTATGCCGGCTCGCCAGCCGCATTCTTCCAGAATCAACAGGCCGCCGTGTCACCCAATCAGCCTGCGGGGCCCCTCTCTAGTCTCTTCCATCACAAATTCGGCCAAATCTTCGACTAGTCTCGTGGTCACTTGATCTACTTGCAGTCACTGCAACGCCAATCGTGCGTGACCCTCTGCCCTTGACTGTCAACCGACCCTCGGACGCGGACTGGTCGATTTTCATTCAGCTCTCGGGACACGGGAAAGTTGAACGAGTGACATTCGTCGTCGGAAAAGTCGTTTTATTGGTAAAAATAATGATTAATTGCCAAAGTAATTTTTTTTATTTAGAATTCGTGTTTCATAAATTCCACGCATTACATACATTTGACCGCACGAATGCCTTATTTAGCTCTTTTAAAATTTGAGAGTGTCCTTGAATATAATTAAAGCCGTCACGATTTTGTTCAAAATAATTACACACTCTATGCTAGTTACCTCTTGGTAACCTTGTAATTAAAATTATCATTCATAACTTTGATAATTACATGAATTATTATTGCAATTGTAAAATTTGTGGAAACCAATTTAAACCGGATTGGAGAATATTTAATTTTTAATGATTTTCTTAAAAATTGTTTTTAAATTATTAGTTTATGCTGTCAAATAGTTACTGTTCAAATTTTATAATACTTGATTCGCATTTTACATTTTTTTTAAATAAATTACATTATATTATATTAGCTGAGCTAAAAATTTCACTGCAAGAGTTGTTCATTATACGACAAATTTTTATAAATTTTTTCGGCTTTTTTAATTGTTTATTTTAATTATTATTATTTTTCAAGAAAAATCAAGAGACAACGAAGAGACAAAAATTTTCTGAATCGATTTAAAAATGATAGAAATTTAAAAAATGTTCTGATAAATTCCAATTCATAAATTCTGAGCATTTTATTTTCTCTCTTCGTAAGTGAAGTTCTTGAGCAACTTCATGCGATTCAGACCATTTCTAACAAATATGCAAGGGTCTTTGGCCTGATGCACTCTGCTATCGCACGTCAATGCCTGCATTGATTTGCATCCAGTGATTGGCCTTTGCCCCCTCGTCAGCACTCTTTATTTCTCTCTTATTCTAATCCCACATTTATAAATTTAATCCTATCCTCTTTAATTTCCAATCAGCAGCACCGAGATGACCAGCAAAGTGCTGGTGGTAGGAGGCGGTGGCCGCGAACATGCCCTGTGCTGGAAGCTAGGAAGCTCGCCCAAGGTTGTCTCTAAAATTTTGAAATAATTTACCTCTAAATGGCAGCTTTTTGTAATTAACCGCAGGTGGAGACGATTTTTGTAGCTCCGGGCAATGTTGGCATCTCCAAGGAGCAAAAAGTGGTTGTGGCCGATGTCAAAGTCAACGACTTCAAAGCCGTGGCCGCTTTTTGCAAGCAGAATTGTGTCGAGCTTGTGGTCGTCGGACCCGAAGACCCACTCGCAAGTGGAATTGCAGACGAACTGGCCAAGGAGGGAATTCTGTGCTTTGGCCCGTCCAAAGCGGCTGCCAAGATTGAGGCCAACAAGGACTGGGCCAAGAGTTTCATGGACAGACACAAAATTCCAACGGCTCGTTGGGAATCCTTCACTGAACCTGGCAAAGCTAAAGACTTTATCAAAAAGTATGCATAATTTTGTTGTTTTGAAAAAAAAATTAAAATTGTATAATTTTTACAAGGGCACCAACAAATTAATTTTGAATTAAACAAATATTTTTCTAAGCTCTCCGTTCCCAGCGCTTGTTGTGAAAGCAAGTGGCCTGGCAGCTGGAAAAGGTGTTGTCGTAGCTGCTGACGCTCAAGAGGCATGCAAAGCTGTTGACTCTATTTTGACCAAGCGCGAGTTTGGGGTGGCAGGTGATGTTGTGGTTGTCGAAGAACTTCTTATTGGAGAGGAAGTATCAGTAAGTTGTTTTAATTTTAAACAAAATTATGAGAATCTGTTTTAACTATTTACATAATCTTCAGGTTTTGGCATTTACGGACGGCACAAATGTGCGCCTAATGTTGCCAGCTCAAGATCACAAGCGCTTGATGGCTGAAGACAGGGGTCCGAACACTGGTGGAATGGGAGCTTATTGTCCCTGCCCCTTCATCACCGACGAGGAGCTGAAGCTGGTGGAGGAGGAGGTATTGAAGAGGGCTGTTGCTGGATTGAAATCCGAAGGCACCCCGTTTGTAGGTGCGTACTTGAGACAAAAACAATTTTTTTTTCTTTTTATGAAAATAATTTCTTTTCCCAGGAGTTCTCTATGCTGGGCTGATGATGACGAACAATGGCCCTAAAGTTCTAGAGTTCAACTGCAGATTCGGAGATCCCGAAACTCAAGTCATTTTGCCTCTGATGGACTTTGATCTCTTTGACGTAATGAAGGTACGCAATTTTTAATTAATTTTTATTTTCTTGATTTGGTAAATTTTTATTTGTTTCAATTTATGATTGATCAGGCTTGCTGCACTGGTAAGCTTTTGGAGACTGAACTGAAATGGAAATCTCACCTGAATGCTGTCGGAGTGATCATGGCCAGCAGAGGCTACCCTATTACCTCCTCAAAGGGCCAAGTCATTTCAGGCCTGGATGAAGTTGCCAAACGGGCAGACACCCTAGTTTTCCACAGCGGCACTGCTCTCTCCGGATCCGATCTGGTCACCAACGGAGGCCGTGTCCTAATTGTCGTTTCCATCGCGCCCTGTCTTCCTAGTGCTGCAGCCAGCGCTACCGAAGGCGCCAGAGGTATCGTCTTTGACGGAGCCCAGTTCAGGCCTGATATTGGACACAAGGGCGTCATCAGGGCGATTCTGATGAAAGGAGCCCTTACCTACAAGGCGTCAGGAGTGGACATTGAGGCTGGAGATAGTTTCGTCTCGAACATCAAGCCAATGGTGGAGCTGACAAAGAGGGCCGGAACGCTTGGGTCTATTGGAGGCTTTGGGGGCCTTTTCGATACCAGTGCGGCTGGTTACGAAGACCCTATTTTGGTGTCTGGAACTGATGGTGTTGGGACAAAACTCATGGTAAAACAAGGCAATTAATTCTTAGCTCAATCATTGATCATATGTTAAAGATTGCTCATGAAATTGGCATCCACCACACCCTTGGCATGGATTTGGTGGCAATGTGTGTCAACGACATTCTCGCCCATGCTGCTGAGCCACTGTTCTTTTTAGACTACTTTGCCACAGGGAAGTTGGAGGTTGGAGTGGCATCGAGCGTAGTTAAGGGCATTGCTGAAGGTTGCAAGCAGGCTGGATGTTCCCTTATTGGTACTTTTGAAGACTTTTGAATGACAAGATGTATTTTATAAGCAATTTTAAAATTCTAGGTGGAGAGACAGCTGAAATGCCTGGGATTTATGGTCCAAACACATATGATTTGGCTGGGTTTGCTGTGGGGGCTGTTGAGCGCAAGACGCAGTTACCAAAGATTGCATCCATCAAAGAGGGAGACATAATATTGGCACTTCCTTCGAGTGGTCTTCACAGCAATGGTTTCAGTTTGGTCAGGAAAGTTATGGAGAAGGTTAGAAAGTGCTACAGCAATTTGGCGCCCTTCAGCCTGAACGGCAAAACTTTTGGTACTTTTTTTCACTCGTGAATATTTTTATATTAATTAAGTTAAATATGCAAAATTAGGAGAGGAATTTCTCACTCCCACAAAAATCTACGTAAAGCATGTTCTGCCTGTGCTCAAAAGCGGAAAGGTAAAAGCTTTTGCGCACATTACTGGAGGAGGTTTGCTTGAAAACATTCCTCGTGTTTTGCCTAAAGAATTGGCCGTTGAACTGAATGCATCAAAGTGGACCATTCCTCCTGTCTTTCCTTGGCTGGCTGCTGCTGGTAATAGTAAAAGGCTCCAATAAAAAATAAATTTATAAAAGAAAATTTTACATGATTTTAGGTCAAGTCAACAAACTAGAAATGCTCCGTACATTCAATTGTGGAGTTGGTGGCGTTTTGGTCGTCAGTCCATCAGACAAATCTGCTGTCCTGGAAGCTCTTAAGAAAGAAGACTGTGTTGAAATTGGTCATGTAAAAAGCAAAGGTAATTTTTTGCACAGAATGTTTAGTTGTAATTTCATGGTTTATAATGTTTTAGGCCCAGACGGAGCTCAAGTGCTTGTGAACAATTTTGTGGAGGAAATGGAAAAACTAATGCGCCCTTTCTTGCCCACCCTTCTGCGATCTGGTCTCTGCCCCTTAAAGAAGAGGGTCGGTGTCCTTATCTCTGGCAGCGGAACCAACCTGCAAGCCTTATTGGACCACACGAACGATCCCACCAAAAACAGTGCTGCTGAAATTGTGATCGTAATTTCCAACAAGGTTGATGCTAAAGGTCTTGATAGGGCTCGCAAATACAACATTCCTACAAAGGCAAGTTAGAAAATTAGCTCTAATAAATAAGTAACGAGCCCTTCTCAAATTCTTGCAGGTCATTTCACACGGTGATTTTTCTTCTCGTCTGGAGTTTGATCGCCAGCTCGACAAAGAGCTGAGAGATGCTGGCGTGGACATTGTGTGCCTTGCTGGGTTCATGAGGGTTTTGACTGGCGAATTTGTGCGCAAGTGGAGAGGCGCCCTTATTAATATCCATCCTGCCTTACTGCCCCTCTTCAAAGGAACTCATGCGCATCGCCAGGCTCTTGCTGCTGGCGTGCGTGTGACTGGCTGCTCAGTCCACTTTGTTGAGGTATTTGGCTGTGCTTTAACTTTTCCAAAAAACTTTTCAATGTATTTTTATCATTAAAAAAAAAAAAACAGGAGGAAATTGATGCTGGCGCCATTATCATCCAAGAGGCCGTCCCCATCATGCTTGATGACACTGAAGAAACTTTGCAAGAGAGGGTGTTGAAAAAGGAACATGATGCCTACCCTAAGGCCCTAGAGATGCTCGCCAGAAATGAAATCCAGTTGAATGATCACGGTCGTATAACTTGGAACAGCAACTGCAAGCTCTTCCCCTGAATCAAAATTTATGATCTGATATCAACATATTGAATCAAACTTGCCATTTGGCTCTACACAAAAGTCTTTGGAATTTTTATACCTCTTGTTAATCACGTGCCATAACATGTATAATCTAAAATCAAGAAAGAAATGTTTAAACAATAACCATGTGGGATTTTGGCAATATATTTTTCAAATAAATTCTAGATGAAGTGATGTTAACTTTTTTCTTTGTTTCCAATCTTTATTTTCATATCAAGAGCATTTAATTCACAATATTTGCCTCTTTTTTTTCTTACTTGTAATTACTTTAATCAAGGGATTGTTATTTAAATAGAAAGTCTAAAGTTAAGCTGTCCACTTGAGGCAGCGTGTATCTTGATGAGTTCCTAAGCACCTGACACAGCAATACCTTGCTCCGCACTGTACACAAGTGTATGAGCTGGGGAACCCACAAATGGCGCAGAAATGCCGTTCAGGTAGTTTAGATGGAGGGGCAAGTGCGGATTGATAATTGGGAGGGTCAGGGCGGTAGCATCTCGATTCCTCCAGCAACTGGGCAAAATTTTTGCGGAATCGCATCTTGAACCACTCTTGTGTGCGCTTGCTCCTCTTTTTCTTGTTCTCCAGCGTTTCTTGGAATTTGGGAACCTTTTTGCTCATAACAAGGTCAGCGTGAGGGTCGTCGTGGAAGTTGTCCTGCTCCAGAGCCTCGAGGGCTTTGCGAGCCCTTCGCTTTCGGGACGCTTCATCAAGAACGCGCCTCTGGTTGGCCTCTTTAATTCGGCCACTCTCTCGTTCAGCAACCATGTTTAAGACAGTAATTGATCAGAGTTCAAGAACGCAATTTACATAGCCTTCTCAGTGTAACTGATTTGGTCCATCAAATCGTCAACACGGCTGCGAAGAATTTCAACGATCTCGCTTGATACAAACAGGTGAGTTTCGTCCAAGTCCTGAATGATGAATTTCTTTCCAAGGGCAAGAGTTTCGTCCAGATGCAAAAGGAATTGTTTCATAGCAGGGTCGCAAGTGATGAAAGATCCTTTCATAACATTGACCATGACGAAAAAGAGTCGAGCATTCCAGGAAAATCTATGGTTTAAATTGATCTGCGTTAGCTTTAATCAAAAGACTAAAACCTTTAATCTTACCAGTATTAAATTTTAGAGTCCTCGTCCTCATTAATATATCCTGTGTGAAGAAAATTATGGATTTTTTAAGCCGGTTCTCACACTTCTTTCGACTCTCGACAAGGCACGACATATAAACAGAGAAAATAGCAAGCTCGCCAACCGAATAAACTTATAATAATCATTATTCTTGAGAAAAAAATTAAATAAAGATCATGAATTTTTAAATTTATTATTTTATATTAGTATTTAAGAAATAAATTGTAAAAATGGATCCCAAATAAATAATTTTCAGATCATATTATAAAAATGTGATGTGTTCTTACGTTGGTTAAACTGTTAAAAAGTTGTATTTTTCAACATATGGCTGCCAACTCATCCCTAGACGTACCGACTGCCGCACAATAAAACTTCTGTGTCCACCAGTTTTTCGGACTTTCGATGAGTTGGGACAGTATCCAGAGCAAAGAAATTTGATCCGTAACGATGGAGCGCTCCTCTGCATTCGCTGTGCTCATTTTGAGCATTATATTAGGCGTCGACGGCATCATGTTTCACCTTCAACCCAACATGCAAAAATGCTTGAAAGAGGAACTTCAGGTGGACGTCTTTATGAGTGGAGAATACGAAGTGTCCGAGGCTCCAGGGCAAAAAGTTGACTACGTGGTACGCATAATTCAGGAGGATTTTTTTTATCACTAGAAAATAATCATTCTCCTTCAAATCCAGGTTCGCGATTCAAAGGGCCACATCTTATCTCAAAAAGAGGACGTCAACAAAGGAAAGTTCTCATTTGTGACTGAAACCTACGACACGTTCGAAATTTGCTTCATGTCAAGAGTGCCTCCAAGTAAGCGATTATTTTTAATTTTCAAGCATCATTGATTTAATATGTACTTTTTATTTTTAGCTCATCGAGGTGTGGCTCAAGAAGTGTCCCTTGTTACTAAAAGAGGAATAGAGGCAAAAAATTACGAAGGGGTGAGAAAATTTATTTACTTTTGAAACAAATAATCTATTTAATGAATTAGGCGTTCATTCAATACGTTGCCAGAAAATTTAATCAAATTTATTCATGCATTTTTATTTTCCATGGGGATATATGGTGATAGAGCTTGGTAAAGTTGATTTCCACTTTCTATTATGTTTGCACCTTTCAATTTTGTTAGTTTCCTTGAAACCAATTAAAAGCAATTAACATTACTAGATTTTAAAATAAATAGTGTGGTTTGGACGTTCAATTTGTCAGCTAATCGCATGAGATTGCAGTCTCCTGTAATTGATGTGAAATTTTATTAATAATCAACAAGCATTTTTTTTCTATAGAGCATGATTTTTAAGTCTTAAAATTTATGTAGCTTGGAGAGGCTGCCAAACTGAAACCCATGGAAGTGGAACTGAAAAGGCTTGAAGATTTGTCGGAAGCAATTGTTCAAGATTTTGCCATGATGCGGAAGAGAGAGGAGGAGATGAGAGACACTAATGGTTTGTTTTTTTACTAGTGATAATTTTAACAAGTGTTTTTTCAATTTAAATGTTATTTCAGAATCAACAAACAGTCGTGTACTGTACTTCAGTATTTTCAGCATGTGTTGCCTTCTTGGACTAGCCACTTGGCAAGTGCTGTATCTCAGACGGTTCTTCAAAGCCAAGAAGCTTATCGAGTGATCACATTAAGACAATTGGGCATTAAGAACTTTCTCATAAAATTTTGTCAACGTATAACTTGTTTTTGGTATCTGCTGTTGGTCAATTAACAGGGGGGGGGGGGGGGGTATGAAAGAAGATTATTAGGGAGTGCCGATGAGTTTGCTTTTTGTTAAGTTATTTGAACTTTATGTCTGCTTACAATTTAGTTCATTCTCAATAAATAACTTTTTGAAACAAAATTTTTAATAAATTTTACTTTATTAAATAATTTGTATGTTTCATCGACTTCGCAGGGCTTCTCTCATCTCCAACGGAAACGGTATCACCATCATATCATTTATCCTTGCAGCAACAATTATCTGCAAGCCAAAACAATTTATTCAGTTTATTTTTATTGATATCAAGGTTTAGATTACCTTTTCATCTGCAACATCTATATATCTGAACAGCTTCCCTTCGCCACTGATTTCAGTAACAAATCTTTTAGTCTATAAATATTTGTATAAGGAAGGAATTATAAAACGCTAATTAATGCTCACATCCATGTTAAAAACCCTCATTGAACCACTGAACAAGGTTGCTATAAGTAGATTCTCTGTTTTGACCATCCTTGACACAGTAGAATTAGCTTTCAGGAATCCCAAATATTCACCAGTCTAAAAAAAAAAAAAATTAAAACTTTATGTTCGACAAAAAAGTTGTCCTTAATACCTTTATGTCGAAGTACGTCACACCGTTTGAGACACTTTGACAAAAAAGCGAGTCTCCATGCAGGACGAAATTTGTTGCTACATACGAATAGTTAAATTGTCGCAAATAAAGCCCTAAAAATTAATTTTAGACAATTATACCTTGATTATTACAAATTAGTTACCAGTCGAGGCATCTCGTATGCAAACTGTTTTGTCTTCTGCACCCACAATGAGTATCGATCGAGGCCCTTCCTTAGTTACTAGCAAAGCAGATATTGCTTTGCTTCCACAATCGAGACTGCCCCTTGGAACAAATTTCTATAGCAAGATAACCATTTTTAAAATATTTGAAATTGACTGAAATAAATTTTCTATACCTCAACATCGTAAGTTTGTACCATTCCATTTTTTAATCCGGCATAAAGCAATTTTGAGTTGGTAACGAGATCATTGTAGAATGCCAAGCTTAGGACGGGGCTTGCAACATAATGTTTTGCAACACATTGCTGACTCTGTTAAAATTTAGAATTAGTACACAGATTAAAATATATACATATTATATATTGAATTATATATTTACTTACATGATAACCAAACACACAAATGTGCTCGTCTAAGCCACCCGAACAGATAATTTGTTCTTCTATGTGTTCTCTCCTATATTTAACCGGCAGTAAGCAAGTTACAACATCAACGTGGCCTTTAAATTCATGAGTCTTTTTTGAAGATGAAATATCAAATCCATAGATATTGTGATTGTTGCAGGCTGCGACTATGGTTGTCGAATCTACTACCTGAATTAATATAAAATAAGTGCTAATTCCTTTGTTATCAAAATAAAAAGCCTTACTTTTAAGTCATATAATTCAATTCTGAAACTTCTAATGTCAATCGAGATTCTCTCCTTGAGGACTGTTTTTGCAGCAGCATGTTTTTGCAGGGATTGCTTTTTAACTTCTGCTTTGTCCACTCCAAGCTGCCTTTTGTCATGCACTGCGCCTTCACGAGCATTCTTGTGCAATTTGCTCGGTTTTGGCTGTTTATTTTGGGCAGAAGATTCACCAGAGGGCTTGCTAATTTCACTACTGCAAGAACTTTCAGCAGGAAACTGAGTCGGCAAATCCATTACTGGCATAGGAGGCGGCAGAGCATCTCCGCTGGAACTTGAAATTTGTTGTTCACTTGGTTGAGATGGTTCCACATTTTCCAAAGTGCTTTGAGAGGATCTGACCATGATTTCATGCAACTGACGGTATAATTCCATTTTTCTATGGAAAAATTTAAAAGGGAATTAAAAAACAAAATAAAATCAATTTAACAACAATTACCTGTGCATCTCAGCTTGAATTCTCATGTCAATAATTACGAGCTCCTCCAAAATTTGTTCTGGGTCTCTGATGTTCTCATTTTCTGGCATCTCATTTATAGAAGGATTATCTGACACCAATTGAGGTTCTTCCACAACCAGAGGAGTGTCCGAATGAGTGTTTAGTGGAGGAGAGTTCAGTTGATCCAGAGCAATCTCTTCACTAGGTTGGAACTCAACTGGAGTAAAAAGGTCGCAACCAAGAAAATTTTCCAGCTGCGTGATGATCTCCTGCGGCAAGTCTGCTATCGCAATTGAATCAACATCGCTGAGCACCTGGTTGCATGACGGTGCCGAGCTTGATGTAGTAGGAGCAAGAAGTCTTCTTTTATCAAGTTCCACTCCCTTAAGTGTTCGGTAATGGTCCATGAGGGCTTTGAGAATTTCTTGCGACTTCACCGATTGGGGGTGGTTGACCAGGTTTTTTATTTCAACAAGACCCATTGAGGATATCCGATGGGCGATGTCCTTGTTCACATCACTGTTACTTGATTTTTTGTTTGGGACTTCACTGGCAGAGTTTGATGAAGGCCTTTTTAAAGATTTCTCTTCTCTCGGTTTGCTTTTAGTTAGTGGTTTCTTAGAAGCGCTCGTGGACTTGACAGAAGTTGAACTACTTTTTACAGGGCTTGTGGGGGTGCTGGGTTTCTTTGATTGCTTTGCAACTTCTCCGCAGGGTTTCTTGTCAAATTGCTTCAGTCTTTCAGCGATGGCCGCCCTTTCTTTCTCTCTCGCAGCCTCCGAGCCGAGGGGAGGCGGTTCCTCTGCCTCCTGGTTCTTATGTGTAGGATCTTGTCTGTTTCCATCTCTTTGGTTTATCTCGTGAGGAGTGTTTCTGAACATGCCAAAGGGAGGAGGCATCGGAGGTATCCCATAGTAATTTTGGAAGCCAACGTTGCTGTTCGAGTTGCTTCCGTGTATGCCAGCCGCAAAATTAGAATGGTAGAACGGAGGCCAAAGAGACGGTGGTGCATATTTACTTTGTAAATACGGAGGAGGGTAGTAATAAGGTGGGTATGGCATGTACTGCCAGGGATTTTGGTCTCCATTGTTGCTCCTTGGTTCAGAGGGACGATGCTGATTGTTATGTCGGTCACCTCGATGGCCTTGTGGAGATGCTCTCCCGGCTGCAGAAGACTTATCTGTAAATGAAAGTAATATCTAGTGAAAGATAACAACCTTTTCTTGTATAATACGTTAATTTAAAATTTATGATTAATTCTTTAAATTTATTGTGTACAACTGAACGGCAGAAAATGAGAGGAATTTTGCACCATACATACCTTTGCTGGATTTGCTACGACTGGTTTTAGACTCACTAGGAGATCTCGAGTCCCATCGAGAAGATTTACCGGATTTATTTTTGTTTCTGGTCATCTCGGAACAAGCAATAAAGTTCCCAGGCGTGTTGATTTTTTTTGGAGATCAGAAATTTCCTGTAAGTTGTCAAAAAGATTAAATACATTCTCACATCGACAATTATAGATTTGTGATTCTCCTCGGACCTTTTTTTAGAAAAGGGGGTTTCTCACAGATTTTCTTCTAAAATTAGTTTCAACTTTGAAGATTCTTGAGAGGCCGATGGCCGACTGAAACAAAACAAACAGAAGGCAAAACAAGAGGCACACCCACTACTTGCGCCGGCGGAGTTCTCTGTGATTGGTTTAAAAATGGATCCCGCAGCAAAAACCGCGAAAATAATTTTTTATGCAAGCGATCGCAGACGCAGAAGCTCCATAATAATCAATGATGTAAAAAGAAAACATCGGAAAACATGAAACCAAAGAAAAATAATTGTCAGAAATGCAAATGCGAAAATAATGAAAATATTCAATGTTTAATTTGTTTATTAAACGTTTTATGTTTCCGCTTTATGTTGCATTTCCTGGTACAATTGATATTTTTATGGAAAAAAACTGGGTAGTAAAAAAGGTTAAAATAAAATGTAAAATAAAAATTTCGAAAAATTTAATTTTTGTTCAATCTTATATTTAAAAAGTTTTTTACATATTTCCCTTTAACATGACAAGCTTTTTCTTTCATATTATGAAAATTTATAATTTATACGGTTTTTACCTTATCGCAATTTTCGTGTAACATTTTATTTTTGTAATAATCAAATTAAATTATAATATCCATGGATGTATGTAAAATATGTAAGCATTGAAATCTATTTAACGCTATTTAACAACGACAGTGACTGCAGAATGCATGGTGGTATTTCATTTAATTTGCAGCAATTTTTATGAAATTTATCAATTTGAACCTGAAAAGGATTTTTCCCCCTTTAGTTTTTACTTCTTATCATATTTTTTCATTAAGTAGAAAAAACAAACACAACGCTTATTGAACACGGAAACGGATCTCAGCAAAAACATATTCCTGCTCTTGCAGGAAAAACCAAAAAAATTTTAAAATAATAAAAAATAATGCACTATAATTTAAATCCTTAATATAAATACTTACATACTATAATTTGTGGGGAATCAAAGTCATATAATATGTCATATTCACGAATTAATTTAATAAAATAATAATTAGCATAAATTGGCATAAAATGCAATTTGTGTTTATGGAATCTCAAATATAATTTGTAAAATCTTTTTCCTTTTGTGCTCCTGTAGAAGAGGTTAGCGGTTGAGACCGAAAATGCGTCTGCGAGATTTGACAAGTTTCTTCTTGTCTTGAACGCGCCACAAAAATCTTGCTAAAAGGAGAAAATAAAAAAATTCTCCCACCTTTCCCCACGCACCAATTGAGATAAGTCAGCACCCCCTCCCCCCTCTAACAAACAACAACGGGCAACAAAATTCTGCAGACAGTTTGTTCTTTGTTAGCAAGTCGTGGCAAGTTTCGGCATTCACTGCATTCTTATCTGGAATTCTTTCGCTTTCAAATCATGGCATTCATGGCATAATGACAATGACATCGGTATGACTGTTGACGGGTTGCGACCTGCGAGCTAACAGCGTAAGAAGTAAGAACACCGGCGCCACCGGCCTAGCAGAAAAGCAGGACCAAAAATCACGGTTAGTTACGGCACAGAGCCACATAAGAGCCAAAAAGAGAAATTCAAAATTCACACTGACGGTACGCATTGCATTCGCACGTTCGCACTCGATGCTCGATCGCGTTGTGTTATTTTAATTGCGATCGCGGATTATAGAATCCCATTCTATTATAATTGCTACTTTCGCATGGTTGAATGGTTGATTTTTTTTGCAAATGAAGGGCTGACGTGCTTAAGTTGACCGGGGGCCTCACTCAGGATTTTTTTATTCTGAAGGGGACAAAGGGACACTACGGACAGGGTGCACTTTGCGCCCAGGCGTTTTTAATTTGGAACCATTTTCGTCTTGTCCACCGTGGTTTGGTAATGTGTCTTTTTAAATTTTCAATACACTTTAACAATTATTTGGATGTTTCTGCTTCAGAAGCGTGCTGGACCTTTTCTTGGGCAGTAGGAAGACATTTTGAAGTGTGATTTTACGATGATGATTTGATTAATGTAAGCACATTGCACATTATATTCCATAATATTTACATGAATAGTAACACAATGAACACTTTTAATCCATTTTAAGTTATTTCCGCATTATGGATACTTTCCCATGCTTCCTGTGGGACTTCAGGGACTTGAATGATTGTTTTTTGTTCGATCAATGCTTCCCAACGTTTTTCTCGGTTTAGGGGTCACCAAATTGCAAAAATCCTGGCATTTTTGGTTTGAAGATTACGGTCGCCTTGTGCCGCTTTTTATCGATTGTTCCCAATTCCCAAAGATCATGTCTCCTTTTTTCTTTAGTTTAGACTTAGGTTTAAGAATTTTACTTCTGATCGTTTTGAATGGCAAACCGATTTTTTTTTTAAGAACTAAATGTGTCTCTTATTAATTTTTTAGTTATTGTAGTTAAATGGTAAGATAAAGAAAAGGGAAAATTCTATAAAACAGGAATGTTTTTCTCCTTCTCATACATGTCATATTAATTGTTCTTTTACTACTAAAAATAAAAATGATATTCATTTTCCAATTTTTGCAGATGGATCCTGTTTCAATCTACAAGCAAATGATGGACAGCTCAAAACCTTTTGAGTTTGTCAAGCTGTTTGGACCACAGTCTGAACAAAGAACAAGAAAGCTTCATGATTACTATGATGACAGCAATTCAAAATTCCAATCTGGATTAAAACCAGACCAGCTTGACTATGCATTGGAAGCACAGCAAACTGAGCAGAAGAAATTAGAAACCCAACTAGAGGTTTTTTATACTCTTATATTCATTCCCAGAAATTAAAATATTCAAATGTGGATGCTTTTGCTGTATTTTAAGGTACTTCAGAAAACAATGTCAGGACAGAAAAATCCACATTATGATGGTCCTTTGAATGGCTTACTTGATGTTGATGATGCTTCTTCAATAGCTGACATAGTTCAACTCAACCACGTTAATGGCAGCAAATACGACTTCGTGCGGAAAGCTTCTAACAAAGTCCCTATTATGGAGCACGAACAAGAGGTACATTGGAAATTTTATTTGCAATTAACGTAGTTTAAAATTACGTATGCGTTATTATATATATTTTTACAGATTATCCATCTAGTTGAAGAAAACTCGGTGATTGTCATTGAAGGTCCTACAGGATGCGGCAAAACCACCCAAGTTCCGCAGTTCATTCTTGACCACTCCTTTGCAGAGAATCAACCTGTCAACATTGTGGTTACCCAGCCTAGGAAAATTGCTGCATATGGGGTGGCAAAGAGAGTGAGTGAGGAGAGAAGTTGGCGTCTTGGTTCAGTGGTTGGATACAAGGTGGAAAATTATTGTGAACTTTTACTTATATAGATTTTGAGGTGTGTCCTTTAAATGATTTCAGGTGGGCTTGAAGTCTACAATTTCACGAGATACTCGATTGACCTACTGCACAACTGGCGTTCTACTCCAGCATCTTGTCACTAAGAAACACATGAATGACTTCACTCATGTCATCCTTGACGAAGTCCACGAAAGAGATCAGGAATTGGATTTTCTCCTTCTCCTTGTACGGATGTTTCTGAGAAGTGTTTCTCCTCACATCAAGGTATTTTAATTTATAAGTTTAAATCATGCTGAAATTAAATAAATTTATTATCTTCATAATTTTAGGTCATCCTAATGTCGGCAACATTCAACAGTGAAAAGTTTTCAAATTACTTCTGCTTTCCATCTCCAAATGGAATCAGGAATGCACCTGTGCTTCAAGTTCAATCTGAAACCATGTTTCCCGTAGATGTCTATCACACTGAAGAACTGCAACATATTCTGGAACTTAAAAATGTAAAATTTTAAAAATATGTTGCTTGCTATATTCTGCGCTTTGACTGACATTCAATATTAGTGTAATCAATCCTTTTGGTCAAAAGCGCATGCTGCAAGCAATATACACATATTCAACTTAACATAAATAATAATAACTGTCTTTCCTTTAACATATCTATCTAGCCTTTCAGTGTCATGCCCCAAGAGCCAAGATATATGGCTCAGACTATGGAGCTTGTAGTAAAGTTAACCAGCAAACTGGACAAGCTGGAGAGCAATCGCTCAATTACTGAGAGGGGAGCTGTTCTGGTGTTCTTGCCTGGGATCCATGAAATTGAAGACACTTTAGAGGCGCTCAAAACTGCCAATGAGTGAGCATTTTTACACATTTAAAAAATGTTAGATACACCTCTCTTTATAATTATTTATGTTTATACAGGGGGGACAAGTTGAAATGGAAAATTCTACCATTACACTCTTCTATTACAAGAGATGAACAGCTAGCTGTGTTCTGTGAAGTACCTGCAAATTACCGCAAGATCATTTTATCAACTAATATCTCGGAAAGCTCAATTACAGTTCCAGACGTCATCTACGGTGGGATTAAATTTAACAATATAATATATTATCCATGAAAATAATATAAATATCTTATAATTAAAAGTAATCGACGCTTGCTTGACGAAGCAATTGGAAACTGTCGAGAACACAAACATCTCTTGCTTGAATATTAAATGGGCATCTAAAGTGAACTGCTTGCAACGGAAGGGACGAATTGGCAGAGTTGCCGCTGGAGTTGTGTTTCGCCTTGTTCCGTCTGCGTTTTACAATGTGAAAATCTTCATAATTTAGCTGGAAATATGAATAAAATTTAATTGTTAAATTCTAGAAACTTGCTGATGAACAGATGCCCGAGATGCTCCGCTGTCCCATTTCAAAGTTAGTGCTTCTTGCAAAATTGCTTATAAATGGTGACCCAATACATTTGCTCGGACTTGCACTGGATCCGCCAAAGTTAAGCAACATTGAAACCACTGTTTTAAACCTGAAAGAGGTATACTAATCTGTTTAACAACCATCCATTTTAATTATAAAAAATCACCAGATGGGTGGCTTGACAATTTGTAATAAGGATGGAAAGGCTAACCCCACTGACGCAGAGCTCACTCTCCTTGGAAAGGTAATGGCCACACTACCGATTGATATTCACCTTGCCAAACTGGTTATCTTGGGCTACATCTTTGGTGTCTATGAAAGCAGCTTGATCATGGGTTTGTCAAACTGCATTAAAAACTGTTAGAAGAATTTCCTACCTGTCTTTCTTTTTAGCTTCTGCAATATACGTCAGGAACTTGTTGGAAGCACCACACAACGAAAAGCTTGAGGCGTACCTTTCAAAGCTATTGTGGGCCAATGGATCTGGAAGTGATTGCATTGCATTGCTTAATGCCTTCAAGGTGCTAAATTTAATTTAATTTGTTGAAAGTTCATTTCATTTAAAAAACTGCTCTAGGAATGGAAGTTTAGAAGGTCAACAGGATACTTTCAGCAGAACTTTGCAAACATGACTGAGGAAAAATGGGCCAGAGACTTGTTCATTCAGTTGCGCTATGCCAGGGATGTTGCTGATTTAGTCGAGGAATTGGACCATCGACTGAGAAAAATTGGATTCGTGAAAACTAAAAATGTAGCTGCACAGACAAGATTGGCACCTCAGAAAGAGCACCTTCTGCTAAAGGTACATTTTTTTAATGTTTGAGGGGAGTGACAGCATGATTTGTTGCCCTACACATAAATACTTAAAGGTAAAGTTTTAATTTTTTTTTTTTATGTTAATGTTTTAGCTTGTGATTGCTGGGGCCTTCTACCCTAACTATTTTGTGAACTCGACCAAAGTGAATGATAAGGACGCTTCCAGAGCAGTTGCTGGATTTGACCCTTTTTCAACTGTAATGCTCACCAACTTTCCGCACGGTCACCCTGGAAAAATTTACACCAATCCAGTTAAAAGACTGCTGAGTGAATGTGCAAACACTATGAGGGTCACTTTTGATGGCACCACGTATGTTTTGAAATAACACGAGTTTTGCGACTTGTTACTAATAGATTTATTTTAATCTTAAGGAGGATTTATATCCATTTTGAAAAAGACACAAAATTGCAGTCAATGCAGTTTCCTCAAGGGAATGCAACTCCCAGTTGTGTGCCGCTTGCTGTCTACAAGGCCATCAAACTCCGTCAAATGGGCCAGAAAATGCCGCTTGCTATTTTACCGTAATATATACATTAATCTAAAAAAGTTGTTGTAAATGAAATATAATTTTAGTGAAAGGCTGGCAGTTAAGCAAAAGGAAAAAAAATCCTCTACTTGCAATGTTGCGATGAAGAGTATTTTAAATGCTCTTCATGCTGAAGAGATTTTCAAAACCCATGCGGTACTTCCAATGCTTTCGACTAAAACTGTTGAGCTCAAAGTTACTCATGTAGGGATAGCATATTTGAAAATATTATCACCCCTTAAGATTTGCCCATAGGTGGAAAGCCCAAGTTTGTTCTATTGCCAAGGCACCGACGAGAAAACGACAACTTTACTTGACGCAGTGCAAAAACATTTGAACGCTGAACATGCAGATTTGGGTGACGTCCTTGGAAAACCAAATGTCAAAATGACTTACGCCGTTTACTGTGGACAAACTTATGGCATATGCAGAGCCCGTGTTGTTGCTAATTTACCTTTCAACACAAGCAAAGTATATTTAACTAAAAAATTCCATTGCTTTTTAATTGGAAATTTTTGCTAGGTTTTCTTGATTGACTATGGACAAACGTTGATGGTGAAGTTTGACTCTTTGATGAAGTTGGGGCCAGGACTGCTGAATTTGCAGATTTTGGAAATTCCTCAACTTGCTCTTGAATGCAGACTTGCTCACATTGGCCCCATTGACAATTCTTGGCATTCTGACTCTATTGGATTCTTCTCTCAATCAGTCCAGGGGAAACTTTGTAATGCAGAAGTTTACTCTGTTGTTGAAGGGGTAGTCAGTGTAAACCTTCGTGCTGGCTCTAAAATCATCAATGACGAGTTAGTGCTAAAAGGTTTTGCTCGCCACGCTGCTGAGACGTACCTTTCAAGGGTATATAAAATGTGGATTTTTAATTTTATGTTTGATTATTTTCTTTTGGGGGTCTTCAGGACAACAATGAAGCCAGGGAAAAATACCATGAATTGTCTGAGAACCAAGCCTCGTATCTTTACAAGCAGCAATATTCTACCATGTATGGAATATCAGCTGAAGACCCAGAACCTCCTAAAGCATCAGATTGCACAGAAAATGTGAGATTAATTTAACTGAAAATATAGAAACCTTTAAAACTTTTTTTCATTGAAAGATTTTGCTGAGAGGGCCATTTAGTCCGCTAGAAACTCAAGTGCAACACATGATTAAAAGTGGAAAGAGCTTAAAGACCAATGTTGATCAGAATTCCATCAACTCCATTCTTCTTGTAGATGATCCAGAAAGCATGAACACAAAGTATGTGAATCAAGGTTAGCACATCTCAACAATCGGAGCAAATTTTGATTGTTTCTATTAAGCACTGTGATTTGTTGCAATTTCACTTGCACCCAAACAGAGAGCTGAAACAACAATTCAAAGTTTGTTTTATTGTGTTGTGATGCGCGAATCTTGATGTAAATTTTTGTCCACAATTTGACACCCGCGGTATCTACATATAATTATAAACAATTTGTTCAAGCTGACAACAATATGTATTTTGTTTTAGATTTTTAGTAGCTGGAATGGTGCAGACTGGCCAAAGCAGGGAAAGGCTCACTCTTTATGACACCACTTTGATGCCTCAAATACCTGGTCTCCTGCCTCTGATCTGCATGATCTTCTCACCCAGAATTGAGCTGAGAACAAAGGGTGGAGTGAACCACTTTACCGGTATGATCTGCGGCTTAGGATGTGAGAAGAAAAGCAAAGCGCCCCTTTACCCTGAACATGACATGGAACTTGTGTTTGACACAGAGTTCAAACTGGATGATTTGCAGGAAGTAAGCAAAAATTGAACGCTGTATTATTTATTTCACATTGAATTATGTGTCTCTTGCAATTAAATTTGGATAAAAATCGATTAAAATATGAGATAGTATAAAGGGCGCAATTAATTGAACTTATAGGAATTTCAGATTTTTTATATTGTATTTTTTTTCTTTGTATTTTATAGATAAATCGACTTCGATTTTGGATGAACCTGGCTCTGACTGCAGATCCAGAGGAGATGAAACCAATTCACAATGCTGGAGACGTAGCAATTTACCAAAAACAAAGCCAAGATATTGCACTTGGGTAAATCCAAAATTTTTTTTTTTTTTTTTTTTGAAAAAGATATTTATTGTTCAAATGGTACAAGTCCAGCCAAGCTAAAAAGCTTATCGGCTGGTGCTCATGTTTAACTGACGAGCATATTTGCTCGACAGTTTTTTAACAAAATATGCACAATATGAAGCGTGTGTGTGTAATTAGTTCATCGACAAATATAATTTTTTTATTTTGTATTTAACTTCACATTTTCTTTGCAAACTTTTCAATTCAAGTGGTAAGAGATTCCATAATCGTGGCACAATATACTCGGACGTTCGATCGAAAAATTTGTTTTCGCTCATTGGTTGTATTACAGGGTTTTGTTGTAGCATTCTTAATTAATAGTAATTAATTAATTAATTCTAAATTAATATGTTACATATTGTCAGCTACGCAGACATCGGTCGACGATAAATTATACTCAATTTTTATAAATGGGTTATTATCTGTTCATTTTTGTGCATAGCACTATATATTAATTTATGTATAAAACATCAAATTTTTTAGTTTGCTCCACAAAGAACGTGATAGAATTGAGCCTGTCAGCTTCAAATTGGCTTACTGCTGGAAGAGGATTGATAAAGATTTGATTTTGCATCCAGGCAAGATTTTCACATCAGTGGAAGCAATTTTCCCATTCCACTGTGCTGCCCAAATTGAATCAAAAGTTTCCAGGAATTTGAAGAAGAAAGCAAAAGCTATGCAGAAGCTGCAGAATCAGTCCTTGCAGTAAGACCAATTTCAACTTGAAGATAAATTAAAAATATAATTTACATAATGAATGCTTACAGGTGCACGCTGCAGAAAGGTTATGCTAACTGCAGAGTTTGCAAGGAAACTTTGTTCAGCATTGAAGAGCTAAGAGCACACCTCACAGGTGAGAAGCACATGATGGAGTGGGACAAAATCTTCAAAATGCAAAGCATCTACAAACAAGAATCATAAGTGAAGAAAAAGGTCAGTGCGCCTTTAATTGAACTCATTAACTTTTATGTTTTAATTTTTGATGCAAATGCTCTACAGTTAGAAGCATTTTTATGTGAGCTATGTAAACCTAAAAGGAATTCAAAGCTAAATTAAACACTTGATTTCAAAAGAATAAAATCTTATGTTTTTATTATAAATGTAAAGCAGTCTGTTTCACAAAAGAATTACATAAAATGTTCAAGTCAAGCCCTCTTAAGAAAAAAATAATCCTAAAATTAAATTAAATGCACCATTACATAACCCTAGTTTGCACAGTTGCATGTATCTTTATCTTGTTGTGAGCGAAATTTGAATGCCTTCTTTATTTACCAAAACCAGTTCACCAAGCAAATTGAGATCACTTTCAGGCACGGGCGAGTGAACTATGTAATTACATAATACTTCTGACATAATGATCTTGAGCTGCATCATAGCAAACCTCTGACCTGCGAACGATAATTTTTAATTAACTTAATCTTGCATCAGATGCTATAGAAAAAATTACCAATGCAATTTCTCGAGCCAGCGCTGAATGGAATGTAGGCAAAGGGATGCTTCGTAGTGTTTTCTGCTCCCATAAAACGCTCTGGCTTGAATTTATCTGGTTCGGGGAAATAACGTGGATCTCTGTGCAGCAGGTACAGATTCATAAGGACGGTCACTCCAGCCGGCAGTAAATGGTTGCCTACGAAAACGACAATATGAAAGTCAAGTTTATTTAAATTAAAGCCAAATGTCAATCATGAAATTACAGTCTATCTAAATGACGAGGGAGAAAAAAAAGATTTTTCCAGCTTATTGTTAGTGAGTGCTTGATCATGACTGATGCACCCGGTAAACCTTGAGCGCGGCGCGTGTGTGTATTTGAAGTGCACAAGCCCGCCTTTTTGGCGGCGTGCTATTGCTTAAACATGAGCTTTTTTAGTCATCTCATGCATGCTGCAATCTTTCAAAAGACCAAGGGCACTGCAAGGTTGTGCAAGCGCAGAAAGACCTGACCACAGCCAGTACAAATCACCGTGTGCAACTGCTGTTGCCAGGCCGCTGATAAAACAACTACGTGCGCCCGGTTCGGTTGCAAAATTGAAATCTGACGAGAGGTGAAAACAAACAACATATACGACGAGATCTGAAGTATAATTACGTGCAGTGCAAAAGTTTCACTCATTGGCAGTAATTATTTTAAACTTGTTTTATTTTTTGCTCGTTGCAAAATAAATTGCATTTGAAAAGGCAGCTTGCACTTTTTGTAGAGGACTTTTAGAGGTTGTGTAAGCAGGTAGCTGCAGGCGCGAGTTCTTTTACTCAGTAATTTTTCAAACGCTCTCTGAATATGAAAGACTAAAACTTACAGTCGTGGAATAAATACAGGAAAAAATATTAGTTTTTAGGCTTCAGATAAAAATTATAATAAATACTTCCATTTCGAAAAAAAAATATATGTGAATTTGAAGAGGTTTTAATTAATTTTGTTTTTTTGTGATTTGTAATTAATCCATTGAATTGATTCAAAATTTAACTGTTTAAGGAAAATATATTTCCCATCCCTGCAATTGGTCCTAGGTCCTATTTTGGCAAGGATGTTAAAATTTCATCAATATTTAGTTGCAAAGGTAGTTTATTGGGTTCATAGCACGGCAACTTTGCCCTACATGCGAACTCATCCAAGTTAAATACAAGAAACAAAAAAAACTAAAAGAAGAGAGAGAAAGAACATTAATATTGATTGATAATTTGCTTTTTCAGCGTTGATTTAAAAACATTTAAATTTTCATTTGAGTACAGATTTTACGGTAGTGCATTCCAAAAATAAAAAAGATAACATTGAACTTGGAAGCAGTTTTCCCGTAACTTCCACATTAAAAAATGGAGCTAAAAATTTCATTCGGTGTGCTCTTGTGCGTCCAAGTAAATTTACATCATACATTGTAGTAACAAATTCATTCAGATAATCTGGGCTATTTTTATACGATCATGTCACGGTGTGACATAGCGGATGAGCTTGATTCAGGTATTAGCGCACTGTCAGCAGTACAGCGTACTGGCGGACACGGGCCTTGCAGCCAGGGCAGTCGTACACGGACCGTACGGGGAGTCGTACAGCAGCCATGCACTAGAGAGTTGCACATCACTGAGCAGTTGGACCAGAGTGTCCGACGAGACGCCGTCACCATGGCCGTCATCCAGTGATCCTACATGGACAGTTCCTACGAGTCACCCACACAAGCAATTCCGACCATAACCATTGTTATACCGTCCGGCGCTACACTATAAATCTATCCATAGTGTTATCCAGAACTCACGTACTACCATTTCTACCTTTCCACCCTGTTACGAGGTCCTCTACTACGAGCATGGTGTCACTCACAACTACACAGAGGGCCTCGTGACAATATTTTGTGAGTCTGCAATAGAATTTTCCTTTTGTGTCTATCCGAAATAAATTTCACATTTTTTGTATAATGGAGACAGATTTTGGCCTATCTTGTTTCTTTTTGCGTCGCGTACCTGACAATTAAGCTCTGGCGCTTTAGATGAAAACAAAAGGATGAAGGCCAACCCCAGATGACAAACAATTCACCGTACTGTGTTGCGCAATCCTGCAGCAGTCGGAAGAACTGAAAAAAAATATGATGCATTTTTTTAGCATTTTGTGCAATTTTTGTCTCGACCTTCATTAGTTATTTTTCTACAACGCAATTTTACATTTGGGTCATTCATTCACTGTGAATGATTTTATTTTGGTTCACTCAATTCGTCGCCAGCCGTTAATCCATATCAGCAATTTTATTGCAGCAAAGTTCACGCAACCAAGCTCTAAGTAAGAAATTAAAGAAATATTGGTCTTGTACCTTATTATGGTAATTACTAATATTACTATATGATTAAACACAGCACAAGTGGAACTTGAATAATGACTAGTTACGCGAGGCTTATTATTTTTCAATACAGAAACGTAGGATGTATTTTTTGCTTCGAATAATTAAATTAATATGCTAGGTGAATCTTTGATAGAAATCAGGTGATAATATTGCTTAATGACACAATGATTTTATAATTTTCTTTTGTCATGCGGTGCGAAATAATTTCAATAAAATTATTGAACTTGAAGTAAAAACGTAAATAAAATGTCCTCGTACATTTTATTTATTAAATAGAAAGATCAACTATTTAAATTTAAATCATTAGTTCAATTTGAATGTTGGAATTTTTGATGAATTTAAATTCCGCGTTAAAATACAAATTTGGCAAAGTGACATTCGTTATTCTATGGCAATTAGCAGCAAAGTTAGCGAATTAAATGTCAATCAATAATATATTAAATTGGAAAAAAATTCTTATTGTCAAAGCAATAAAGCATTATAAGTTACATCATTTTGCCGAACTTATATTATCAGGAGGATACAAAATACATAAAAAGCTTTCCGAAACTCCAATTAAAAGGAGGGGAGTGGAGGCTCTTGCCTCTTCTTATTATTCTCCTTGGTGAGCACCAGACATTGCGATTTGGCGCGCGAATCTGAAATCACGCGCTGAATTTGGGCCAATCACAAGATTTGGTGGCAAAACCGGCCAATGAAATTTATTTGATAAATTTTTGTGTTGCAGCTTTGCTGCCTGAGTTCTGAGTCGGCCGACGAGGAGGTCGGAGGATTTATTTTACGGCCAAGAGAAAATATAAGCATCTCTCGGACGGCTTTCGTCAGTTTCGTCCATTTAGGACGCGGAAGACACACAGTACGTCTGGCTGGCTGAAATTCAGATTCAGAACCCCGGAGAAACAATATTCCGAGGGTGTCGAGTTCAAGACCATAAAAGCTTTGGACCGGTGAGAACTTTGTGATATTTGCCTCTAATTTGCCCATTATTGGTGGATTTGCACTGCAGAAATTTCGTCCGGTACATGTATCTCGTGAGCCAAGCTTAAATATAGTGCAATTTTGTGTTTCAGGTGACCATTTAAGGCCACGCCGCCGTCTTATTTGTCTGGATTTCTGTTTGTCACGCGTCCTGGACTGGTCCCAAACTTCTTTCGATCTTTGCATGATGGCAGGAAGGCATGATAGAGAGTAGGGTTTTTCAATTTATTTTTAAATAACCATTGTATTTTCATTTCATTATGACAAAACTGTTTCAGGGCACGCCATCCCATCCCCATCCTGATGGCTAAGTGCATTTGCGGAGCCGCCGAGTTTGAGCTAAAAAAATTCAACAAGCATTTCAAACCCTCCGCTGGCTCTGGTGGTGGAGAACTTCATCTTCACTCAAGTATGGTCGGTTGCAGTGAAGATGAATTCAAGGAGATGTACTTCATGGGCGCCCAGTGTCCCATCTGTGACAAATCGCTATCGATTAACAGTATTTACCTTCATTTTCAAACACACAACTTTGATGGGATCAGTGAGGAGGAGGGCCAAACTGCGTTCACTCTTAAGTATGTATATTAAATTGTTTATGGAGAAAAATTATGAAAATTTTATAAATTTCAGTGTGAATATTTTCAACCGCAAAACCAAAGAAATGGTACCTGTGATGACAGAGTCAGACAGCAGCGACAGCAGCAACAGCAGCAGCAGAAGCAGCAGCAGAAGCAACAGCAGAAGAAGCAGCAGCAGCAACAACAGTAGCAGTCCTGATCAGGAACAACTCAAAGATCGTCCTCCTCTTAAAAAGTTGAAGTTGGAGGTATGGAATTTTGTAAGGGTTTTTGCCATAAAAATATTATTCTGCCAACGCAGCAAGTGGTGGATTTAGCACACCTAGCTGACATTCTAGTGCCTTCCGGGTGACACACCCGGTTTTGTTTAATCTAAAACCAAAGAGTTATTAAATTTAGGGGGCCACTGAGGCCCAGAAAAGGGCGCAGCTAAAATCTGATACCTTTATTGGCTGTTGAGAAAAGGGTACGAATATAAATAATTGTATAGATAAGAAATCATACAATATTTGGGGGGGGGGGGATTTCTGCGCTTTATTCTTCCAAGCGCCTTTCTTCAGCTTGTTTGGAGAATTAAATGAGTGGTGCAGAGGTATGAATGTCTCACATAATTACACAAACACACACAAGGTATGGGTGAGAGGGAGGATTTATTTATATAGTCAAAATTTTTAATGAGTTATTTAGCATTTCTTTCTCATATGTATTATTGGCAACAAATTTATTTTTTTTAAATTATACTTGAATGTTTCTAGAGTGAAGGTGCACCTTCCAACGTTAAGGTTATTGAGCACAAAGAACTCTCCGATATATTGGTTGAGATGGGATTCCCTGTAGAGGAAGCTCAAATGGCTGCAGATCATTGCACCAATGTGCAATCCGCCTTGGTTTTCCTTCATCAAATTTGCCAAATTTGCCTTGATACTTATCCAATAAACCAGGTAACATTTGGGTATCTTTCAAAAGAATTATTTGATATATCTATTTACTGAACATTGAGCAACCTCCTGGCAAAGCCTTCAAGTTGCTCCAGTTGCTTATAGCATTCAATTGGTGTGTGTTGTAGATGATCTCAATGATGACATGCAACCACCGCTGCTGCTTGGAATGTACGAAAACTTATTTTACCATTGCAGTCCGTGAAAGGCTTATCACAGACATGGTCTGTCCAATCTGCAGCGAGCCAGCCGACTTGCTGAGCCATAGGTACAATATCACTTTTTAACCAATTTTAATTCTGAAAATTATATTCTGTTAAATTTTAGTGATAAAGATGAAAACTTCACTTATTTTATCCTCTTGGAGAGCACTCTGAAAAATATTTTGGATGACGAAGTCTTCATCTTGTTTCAACAAAAGCTTCGAGACCATGCTTTAAGCAAAGATAAGAGGTTCTTGTGGTGCAAGAAGGTAACGAAAAGTTAGTTCAAGTAAAAAGCTATTTATTGCCAATTTATTTATCATAGGCTGGTTGCAACAGCGGTTACATCTCTACTGAAGGAACGGTAAAAGCAACATGCCCCAGTTGCCTTCATGTCACATGCACCAATTGTACAATGCCTGTGAGTTTTTTTTTAATAGGGAAACATTTTTTTCTATAACCTCTTCAATTTTTTGCAGTGGCTTAAAGAACATGAGAACATGACATGCAATGAATTTAAAACATGGATGAAAAGAGAGAATACTGCTGCAGAAAAAACTCGTGATAGTTTTGATCTAACTTCAGGAGAGTACATCACATGTCCCAGCTGCGACGGAAAATTTTCCTTAAGCAGAGGAGGATGCATCCATTTTGTCTGCACATTTTGTCGTCACAGTTTTTGTGGCTGGTGCAGCGAAGTTTTTCAAAAGGACTCAGAATGCAACTTCAGTTCTGAGTGTTCGCGATTTGGTCTACACGCACACCACCACAAAAACTGTTTCTTCTACCTGAGGGACAAGGATCCAGCGGAGCTGGAAGAGTTACTTAGGGCAAGCTATTTTTTTTTTTTTTTGTATTTTTTAATAGAAAATGATAAAAAAAAGCATGAATAAGCTAAATTTAAATTTTAAATTTGCCAGTATAAAATAAGAAAATATTTGAATGCTGATTGAGTTATTTTATTATCAAAATGACATGTTACAATTCCATAAAAAGACTTAATTTATCAACTTTTTTTTATTATTTAAAACAGGTTTTTTTGTATTACTATTTAACATCTTCAAACTTTTTATAGTTAAAATAAAACAATAAAATTATTATTAAAAATAATTTGGTAATACCTCATAAAATTAAAATTCATTTTTCTTTCTCGTTTCAGTCGGAACTAGTCCCGTTTGAGGCTGAAACCGAGGAACCACCTGGCGGAAAATGCCAAATTTCAATCCAGCGTGAGCTGCCAGCAAGAGGACTTATTGATGACCAATGTGGCGCAGATGTCGTCAAAGGCCACGAACTGTGCCGGTAAATTTTTATTCTATAATACAAATATTGTCCCAAAATCATCAAAAACCCTCATTTTTAATTTACATGATATGGTAAATTTCATAATAATAATGGGCTTGTGAGTTTAAATTAAAAATTTTCATTTGGAGATTTTCTTATTAAAAAATTTTTGCCATGGATCAAAAGTGCCGATATAGAGCAACAAAATATTTTAAATTATAATGAAAAAATTGATAGAAATAACTATCAGAGTCCAAAAGTCGATTGAAAACTTTTTGAGACTATTTTGGTTTCTGTGATGTATCCGCATTTAAATATTATATCAATAATAACAATTTAATTTCACAGAGCTCATTATATTGAGCGACTGTGCACTATAATTCGAGACAACAATGTCGACCCTACAATCATCATGACAGTTGCCGAACTCGAAGCAACACTTGTGCGATATGGGAAACGACTACCGCCCAGATCCCTTCCTATTGAAGAGTATCAAAAGGAATTGAAACAAGTGAGTTTTACTTTATTTATTTATTTATTTTTTTTTATTATTATTTACCTTTTTTGTTCAGTTAACTTATAGAGTTTAAGAGATATTTTTGAGAAAGTGCAAGCTGTCAAAGACAATTATCATATAAAATTTTGAATGCATTTCAACAAGAGAGTAAAGCACAAAAAAATTAAGTTCTTTTTTTAATTTTTGCTAGTATTGATAAAAAAAAACAATGTTAAAGGGATATGAAGATAAACTGGGAGGTGATCAAATTTACCATCTCATAGGCTTATTATATATGCATGAAAAATAATCAGACGTATACAATCATGTGTTAAACGGCGCAAGTAGTTATGAGAGGGAGTTAAATTTTCAGAGAGTTGCAGAGCTCCCCTTGAAGCAGCTAAATCAGCCGCAGTAGAATGAACCTAAGGGCATATCTCGGATTTGAGACCTTGGAGTTATGGAGTTAGGTGCTATTTTTGTACCTCTGGTGATGGCAAGAAAGTTATTAGTTTGTTTCAATCGTAAATCATACCACACAGTAAGTCCAGTGAAAGTATTTTGGAGTTTTTGGCACTTCTGGTTCTGCCACCTCGGTATGCACTCTTGAGAGGGTTTGCATCTTATGTAAATCTGTTAGGTTTTTCGTTTAAAAACCGGCTTGAGAATTCTCAATTCTTAAAAGGAAAGCAAGTATAAAATTGAAGATTTTTTGTTTTTCAACTAATTTTATTTATGTTTTATGTCGTACGTGTTATTAAATTTGTCCAAGCAAGAGTAGTAAAAAGAACGAGTCTGCGTGAATAAAAAAATATTTTGTTTGGCCTTTGAGTTGTCCGTAGGCAAATTAAATAATAAAAAAACGTCATAAATCCCATAAAGGATCTTACTTAATTTTTCTTCAAAAGTTTTGATTTTCGAAAAAGTTCTTATTTGAAAAATATCAAGGAAACGTGTTATAACTCTGCACTACGTTAAGATATTTTAACAAAATTTGAATATGGTTAGTGTATCAGTTCTTTATCTGGCTTGCTGCAAAATTTCAAATATTTATTTCAACTGAAACTAATATTTTCTATTAGAATTTGCGCTGATGTAAAAAATCATTCATCAATTCCTGTTAATGTTTAAAATTGAAAGGCACATTAAAAGCAAAAATATTTATTTTTAAAGAATAATATCTTATATGTTTTTATTGCAAATGTAGATCAGACCAGTTCACAAAAAAGTATAATTTTATTACATAATGTTTCATTCAAGCCTTTATAAAGAAGAAAATCAGAAAATAATTAAATGCAAAATTGCTTAACCCTAGTTTGCACATTTACATATAATGCTCCTCATCTTTTTGAGAGTGAAATGTGAATGCCTTCCTTATTATATTTACCAAAACCAATTTCACCATAAACGAATTGAGATCACTTTCAGGCTTAGGAAAGTGAACGATTATACTTCTGACTTAATGATCTCAAGCTGCATCATAGCGAATCTCTGACCTGAAAATGATATTTTTATTTTTGCATCACATATTTTGGAAAATATTACCAATGCAATTGTCTGGATGGAGGATTACCATGCGTCTCTGTGCATCAGGTACAGATTCATAAGGATGGGGGACGGGCACTCCCGCCGGCAGTAAATGGTTGCCTGCAAAAGAACAATATGAAAGCAAAGTTTATTTGAATTTAGAGCAAAATTTCAATCATGAAAATACAAATTCTATCTATATGATGTGAGAGACAAAAATAATTTTTCCCGGCTTTTTGTTAAGCGAGTGCTTGATCATGCATGAATGATGCACCTGGTATACGTGTGTATATTTGAAGTGCGGCCGAGTAATAATGCAGAAATGGCAGGTTTATTTTGTTATACATCTTTTACGTTTTCACCAAGAAATATAAATTAAAAATTCGAGTGAAAATATTTTATTTTTAAGCAGCAGATGATGATCAGTGCAATACGCTATAGTTAAATAAGTGTCAAACAAGTTAAATAAATTCCTTTCCTATCAACTTTCAATCAATGTCGCAGATATGATATAATATATAATGATATGAATATGACTGGTGACTGCGGTTGCGAGCACACAGGCACACCGAGCAGAACCCGTCTATATCCCGATATAGTTTTACGAGCACAGACACAACAGAATAATTTGAATATAATTTAATCACTTGAACGGAAAGCAGTATGCACGCTCCCATGCACTCTGCTCTTCGCTTTATTTTTGTTCGTTTATTTTTCATCACAATTGAAAATTTGATTCCCACTACACTACATGCTGTTTTCTCATGGTTAATTTCTCTTTGCGAATGAAGGGTTGACTTGCTGAACTCAACCGGGGGCTGCAGGAATTTGTATTTTGAAGGGTGCACTTATTGCATTCCAGTGTATTTTATGACCCCACAAGTTAAATGCAAACTCTTTTTTAGTCCATCCTGTCTGGCATGTTTTTTATTTTCAAATTTTACAAAATCAATTATTATGCATGTAACTTTGTGTTACCACAATATATATGTTATTGGTGAACCTTATCTTGGACAGTATTTGTATTTGGGCATTAAAGGTAAGGGTGGATTTATAGTAATTTGATTATGCACCAAAGTCAAAATTCCATTTTCCAGTATTTACAATTGCAAAATGGATACTGAGCCCCCTTTTAAGTATATAATATAATAATATTATATATTATATAATTTCCACATCAAGAGAGAATGAAATCTTTTTCCATATAATATGCTTCCCTGATTTTTGCTTCTTATATTAAGGACCTACAGGATCCGGCAAAACCAACCAGGTTCCACAGTTCATTCTTGACTACTCATTTGCAGAGAATCGACCTGTCAGCTTGTAGTTACAGCCTTGAAATTTTACTGCATATGGGGTGGCAAAGAGAATGCGAGTGACGAGAGAAGGTGGCGTCTTGGTTCAGTGGTTGGATATAAGGTGCGGAAAATTATTATGAATTTTTACTTATGTAGATTTTGATGGTGTGTGTTTGAAAATGATTTCAGGTGGGCTTGAAGTCTACAATTTCACGAGACACTTGATTGACCTACTGCACGACTGGTCGTGTCCTACTCCAGCATCTTGTCACTAAGAAACACATGAACGACTTTACTCATGTCATCCTTGACGAAGTCCACGAAAGAGATCAGGAACTGGATTTTCTCCTTCTCCTTGTATGGACAGAAATTATTTAAATTTATTATCTTTAGTGTAATGCCCCAAGAGCCAAAATATACTTCTAGTAAAGTTGGCTAGCAAACTGGACAAGCTAAAAGAACTCAAACACTAAAAGGGGAGCGGTCCTGGTGTTCTTGCCTGGAATCAATGAAATTGAAGACACATTAGAGGCGCTCAAAACTGCAAATGAATAAGGATTACATATTAAAAATGTTTTATTATTCCTGAATAATTATTTGTGTTTATATGTCGGGTGCAAGAAATTAAAATGGATATTTTCCCATTACACTTCTTCAGTTACAAGAGAAGAACACCTCTCCGTGTTCCGTGAAGTACATACACATTTCAAACTGGATGATTTGCAGTAAGTATGCAAAAATTGACGTATTGAACGCTTTTTAAATTTATTATTCATCAAATTGTGTCTTGCAAATTAAATTTGAGCAGTTATACTTGTAAAAAGTACAATTTTTAGGAATTTCAGTTTTTTTTTTTGTATAAATTGGTTTATATGTAATTTATAGAAGATAATTGACTTCGATTTTGGGTGAACTCTGAATGCAGATCCTGAGGAGATGAAACCAATTCACAATACTGGAGACATAGCAATAATTTACTAGAAACAAAGCACTTAATAATCTTAAATTAATATTTTACAAATCCTTGGTTACGCAAACAAATGACTGACGCTAAACTAAACTCAATCTTCAATTTCTATAATATATTATTTTCTGTTTATATTTGTTATTAGCATTATAAATTAATTTATGCATAAAACATCCCATTTTTTAGTTTCCTCCTCAAAGAACTTGATAGAATTGAGCCTGTCAACTTCAAATTGGCTAACTGCCGGAGGAGGATTGAGAAAGATTTGATTTTGCATCCAGGCAAGATTTTCACATCAGTGGAAGCAATTTTCCCATTCCACTGTGCTGCCCAAATTGAATCAAAAGTTTCCAGGAATTTGAAGAAGAAAGCAAAAGCTGTGCAGAAGCTGCAGAATCAGTCCTTGCAGTAAGACCAATTTCAACTTGAAGATAAATTAAAAATATAATTTACATAATGAATGCTTACAGGTGCACGCTGCAGAAAGGTTATGCTAACTGCAGAGTTTGCAAGGAAACTTTGTTCAGCATTGAAGAGCTAAGAGCACACCTCACAGGTGAGAAGCACATGATGGAGTGGGACAAAATCTTCAAAATGCAAAGCATCTACAAACAAGAATCATAAGTGAAGAAAAAGGTCAGTGCGCCTTTAATTGAACTCATTAACTTTTATGTTTAAATTTTTGATTCAAATGCTCTACAGTTAGAAGCATTTTAATGTGAGCTATGTAAGCCTAAAAGGAATTCAAAGCTAAATTAAACACTTGATTTCAAAAGAATAAAATCTTATGTTTTTATTATAAATGTAAAGCAGTCTGTTTCACAAAAGAATTACATAAAATGTTCAAGTCAAGCCCTCTTAAGAAAAAAATAATCCTAAAATTAAATTAAATGCACCATTACATAACCCTAGTTTGCACAGTTGCATGTATCTTTATCTTGTTGTGAGCAAAATTTGAATGCCTTCTTTATTTACCAAAACCAGTTCACCAAGCAAATTGAGATCACTTTCAGGCACGGGCGAGTGAACTATGTAATTACATAATACTTCTGACATAATGATCTTGAGCTGCATCATAGCAAACCTCTGACCTGCGAACGATAATTTTTAATTAACTTAATCTTGCATCAGATGCTATAGAAAAAATTACCAATGCAATTTCTCGAGCCAGCGCTGAATGGAATGTAGGCAAAGGGATGCTTCGTAGTGTTTTCTGCTCCCATAAAACGCTCTGGCTTGAATTTATCTGGTTCGGGGAAATAACGTGGATCTCTGTGCAGCAGGTACAGATTCATAAGGACGGTCACTCCAGCCGGCAGTAAATGGTTGCCTACGAAAACGACAATATGAAAGTCAAGTTTATTTAAATTAAAGCCAAATGTCAATCATGAAATTACAGTCTATCTAAATGACGAGGGAGAAAAAAAAGATTTTTCCAGCTTATTGTTAGTGAGTGCTTGATCATGACTGATGCACCCGGTAAACCTTGAGCGCGGCGCGTGTGTGTATTTGAAGTGCACAAGCCCGCCTTTTTGGCGGCGTGCTATTGCTTAAACATGAGCTTTTTTAGTCATCTCATGCATGCTGCAATCTTTCAAAAGACCAAGGGCACTGCAAGGTTGTGCAAGCGCAGAAAGACCTGACCACAGCCAGTACAAATCACCGTGTGCAACTGCTGTTGCCAGGCCGCTGATAAAACAACTACGTGCGCCCGGTTCGGTTGCAAAATTGAAATCTGACGAGAGGTGAAAACAAACAACATATACGACGAGATCTGAAGTATAATTACGTGCAGTGCAAAAGTTTCACTCATTGGCAGTAATTATTTTAAACTTGTTTTATTTTTTGCTCGTTGCAAAATAAATTGCATTTGAAAAGGCAGCTTGCACTTTTTGTAGAGGACTTTTAGAGGTTGTGTAAGCAGGTAGCTGCAGGCGCAAGTACTTTTACTCAGTAATTTTCAACGCTCTCTGAATCTGAAGCTTTTGCAGTCGTGGAATAACAAATAAAATATTAGTTTTGAAACTTAAGATAATAATTAAATTAAATTAATTAAATTTAAAAAAAATGTTTATAAAAATTACAAGGGATTTTAATTAATTTTTTTAGTTGTAAAATTAATCATTTGAATATAAATTTTTAATTTTTAGAGCGGACACGATTGAATTGATTTAAAATTTATTTTTTTTAAGGAAAATTTATTTATTTCTTTTTTCCTCAATTGGTCCCATTTTGTTAAGGATGTTAAGATTTTATCAAAATTTATGTCTCTGACTTAAAGAAGTTGTGTTATCATTAAGATTACTTGGAATTTCGTTTTTCAATGTATAAAAGCAAACCTCTTCAAGTGCTATTGTTGATTTTTTTTTTCATTATCTTAAGATGAATTTGAGATATCTTGATAATACCTGACCACACTCATTGTGAAAGGCCGTGTCCCACTATAATTTTATTGGGGGCCGACTGCATGCCTAAGCCGGTTTAAAAGGAAATGCCAGCTCAATTTACTTAATCGTTTTTTTTTATTCCAATTTCTCTCTCCGGAGAAAAAAGTTAAACGAGGGCTGAGCTGGCGCTTTCCTCGACCAGCGCAGAAGTTTTCGCAACAAGTGCTTCACTTTAATCGTCTGGTCTTTTTAGGCCAGCGTTCAATTGCCAATATGAACGCTGCCTGCCGGCCGGGTACTATGCAGAAATGGCAAGGTTACTTGCGCTACACAGCACTGACCTACTCAATAGAAAGCCGCAGACTCCAGCTGGTCTAGAACGGGTCTAGACAGGCTGTAAGTCTTGACCTCGGACAAGGCACTTCATTATTCTCTTTTCATATCACATTGTTTTTATCTACAGCGCAAAATCTCGTAGTTGCTGAAGGGCGTGTTTTGTGTATGCAATGCACTTACCAACTTGCAGTGGGCTGTGAAGGTCACGGGCGATTAGAGGTGCCACTGGGTACAAGCGCATCACCTCGCGGATGCAGCAGTCAAGGTAGTGCAACTTTTGAGTCATCGGAAAGTCGAGTGTGCCGTCCGCCGATTCCGACTTGACTCTTAGCACCTCTTCCACGATTTTGTCCTTTAAACAAATAGCATTGCCATTTAATTTAATATATGGGATTTATTAACTTTTCAACCGGAAAATTTAATATATTTTTAAACAAAGAAGTTAATTTTTGACGTTCTCCAGTCTGTGCATATTTAAGTTAAAGGAACTTTTTGCCGACGTGCAGATTTTTAAAAGACTGTCACAGTAGTAAAATAATGTGAGAAGTGCCTGTGTCAAGTCCGCTAAAAAGTATGCAAGAGAAAAATGAGCTTTCTCGCAAGCTCATGTAGACATCGAGTTGAATGCACCTTTTTAAGGGCGCTCGGCTGGCGCTGCGTCCAAAAGTGAAATGCTTTCCAAACATAAAATTCGACAGTTCATTTACCTTTCAACCTCAACGGCCAACTTCAGAGTTCACGTCGGTCAAAATTAAAAAAAAAAACTCGGCCAACACGTTTCATAAAAAACTGAAAGACACTGAAACTAGTTGGAAGTTTTATGCCGCATGCGAAGTCTAGATGTTGAACAATAAGCCTACGCGTCAGGGGCGATAGAAAAGAGCTCGACTAGGACGAGCATATAAAATAAAATTATCAATCTTACCTGCACGTCGGGATGCTTTCCAAGCACATACAGACACCAGCTAACGGCAGTGGCAGACGTATCGTGGCCCTGTTTTAATTTGTGTTAATTTTGGCAAAAAAATATTTAAAATTAACTTACAGCAAACATAAACGTGTTGGCCTCTTCGCGAATATCTTCATTTGTCAGGCCGTCTTTCTGCATCTCCAGCAGCAAGTCCAGTAAAGCGACTCGGTACTTGGCTGGAACAAGAAATTTCAGATGAGATTAATTATTGTAAGGCCAAAAGTAGTTACGAATCAAACCACCTTTTGATGAAGTTGTGAATTTTGTGGTCTCGCTTTCCACGTTGCCGTTCATTTGCTCTCTCATTTCCAACTCCTTTTTGCGTTTCTCAATTATCTAATTTCATAAAATTTAAAAATAATTATTTTGCAAGATTGTATTTCTATACAATTCACGTGTTCTGATACGGCCATTTTTATTTTGAAATTTTAATATTGTCAAGAAAAATTGACAAATAAAGCTTTAAATTTAAAGGTAGCAAACATTTTAACAGCGCCTTCTGATTTTCTCTCACCTGCCGTCGGATAAAAAAAATTCAAGTTTTCAAGGTCAGATAATTATAGGTTTGAGTTAAGGCTTTTGCTTTTTTCTAACTTGTCATATATTGGACTGGAGTTGTTTTAAATTCTGAAATACTCACACTGTCTACGTGTCTGTGAATCACTTCGACGCATTTTTTCTGTTTGATGCCAAGCGGCGAAATCTTAAACAGGGCTTCTGGCTTCAGCCAAGGTGTTATGAACCGTCTCTGCACGATTGAGCAAATTCTGTGAGAAAGCAATAATTAATTCGCCGCCCATACGGAATAATGAATGAAGCGCTCATACTCTGATATCGCCTCGACGTAATCGCAATTCGTGTTTCTCTGAAAGTCCATATGCTGGCCCATCACGGTGTCTGCAATCAATCATTTTTACGCGCATTTAATTGCACGACCATTTGATTTTATTACGATGATTTTACCACAAATTAGGTCCAAAGTGCACAGCTTGGCCAAGGGCACAATGTCAAAGAGTCCAGTCTGCTTTCCTAGACACTCGATGAAAGTATTCACTCCAGGCTGCACGGTCGATGCGAAGTCTTCCATCACCTTATTGTGGAATGACGGCGTCAATAACTTTCGTCTGGCGTGCCATTTTGAGCCTAATTTAAAAATAAATTTAAATTAAAAAAAAATGATAAACTTGAAAATTAGTAACTACCTGAGCTCGTAATGAGACCCGTTCCAACCCAGTCGTTGAGAAATCCGTACTCGTAGCTTTTATCAATGTGCATTGACGAGTTGAGCAAGGGCTGAAAATTGGCGTCAGTTTAACCATTAAGGTGTTTCTTTTTGCGTCGCGTACCTGACAAGCTTCGGCGCTTTGGATGAAAACAAAAGGACGAAGGCCAACCCAGATAACAAACAATTCACCGTACTGTGTTGCGCAATCCTGCAGCAATCGGAAGAATTCTGAAAAAAAAATATGATGCATTTATTAGGATTTTGTGCGATTCGCGTCGCGACCTTCATTGGTTATTATTCTGCAACGCAATTTTACATTTGGGTCATTCATTCTCTTTGAATGGATTTATTTTGGTTTATTCAATTTGTCGCCAGCCGTTAATCCATATCAGCAATTTTATTCCAGCAAAGTTCACTCAACCAAGCTCTAACAATAAGTAAGAAATATTGGTCTTTGTACCTTATTATGGTAATTACTTAATGATTAAATACAGCACAAGTGGAACTTGAATAATTAGTTACGCGAGGCTAATTATTTTTCAATCCAGAAACGGAGGATAATAATTAAATTAATTTGAAATGTGAATTTTTGATAAGAATTAGGCAATAATATTACTTAATTACAGAATGATTGATATAATTTTCACTTGTCGTGGTGCGAGATAATTAAAATTAAATTATTAATCTTACAGTAATACCTTGTAGTAATTTTTCCTCATACAAATTTAATTTATATGGAAAATTTATTTTTACATTTAAATCATTGGATATAAATAAACTATAAATAATAAATTGCCGTTGTACTAAAAAGATGATCATATTGCATCGTTGCTGACTCGATTGCGACGTCTTTGCCATTATTACTGCGCGAGAGATAATAGTGTTAGCGGGGCATTATCTGTAGTCGCGAGAGCATCTCTGTGCGCGCCACTACCGCTTCCTAGATCTCTTTGCTGCATGAGCACCATAGTCAGCTCAGCGCCGGTGCTCAACTCTCGCACTCTCATTCATTGACACGGCCGACTCGGCGCGGCTACACGTGGAGGAAAAAAAAGCAGCGCGCGCGACGCTTGAAAACCACACATGACCTCAACCTCACGTAGATTGGCCAGCCAGCCCATTTGTGTGCCCACCTTTATTGCCGAAGCTTCACACTTTCCTGTCAAATTTTATACAACATAGCACGGCTAGAGCCAAATTGCATAAAACGATTTGCATAAATGCGTGTGTAGCCGTGAAAACTAAACAAGAAGTAATGCAGCTTTAACCTGACAATCATGGGATTCGGCTCAATTTTATTTAATTTGTTAAGAAAAAAAATGATTGAGGATGTAAAACTATGAAAATCTTTCATTTTCACTTTATTCTCACTTAATTCTCGCTTTTTTTCCGTTTCGTGATTTTAAAAATTGTTTATTATAACTATTTCGAAAAACATTAAATTGAAAATTAACTCATTTTTATAACCGCTCACAAATTCTTTGTGAACTAAACAGTGTTATTTCAAGGTCACGACCACATAGTATTTCTGGATTCAAAATTTAATTTTCTTACAGCGACCAAACGAATTAGTTGGTGAAATGGTTAATTAAATATATGGATTATTGTCTTGTTTGCCTTGATTAATTAAATTCCTCGTGGAATAGCCAGAAATTTCTACGTTATATAAAATGTAGCTAAATCTTTGCGTTTGCATAGAGTGTCCGCCACGTGCGATTTTAAGTGCAAATATATGCAAAACGAATCAGCAAGTTCGCTACAAAGTTCAGTAGGTCTGATGTCTGATTCACTATCGAGAAGCACCGGCAGTCGCATGAATTATCATAAAAAGGAGAACGGCGACGCGCCATATCAAACTTCCTGGTTCTCGAATCACATCATTAAACACTTTTCAAAATTTTGCATGAAAAACACACTACACTTTTGGTATTAAAAATTAAAATAATAATGAAAAATATGCTTTGCCCGAAATTTGAACTAGGCCTCTGAAATTGCAAGTGGTCCATGTCATATTTTGGATTTTCGTCAACGGCGAATACGAATAGAATAGTCTGTTTTTGCAAAATTAGGAAAACGTTTAAAAATTTTGAATTAAATTCTACCACAGTTTAAATTTTCAAATGAAGTTTCTTGGTGTGCTACAAAAAAATATACCTATTTGAAATATTTAAAAAAAAAAAGTAAAGGGGAAAAGAAAGAAAAATAATTTTCTGAAAAAACTTCAAAAAAGCGAGAAAATTCAATTCAAGATTTTCACACGCCTTCAGTTCTGCGCCTAAATTGCAAGTCAAGCAAAATAGAAAAATTTTGGCCTACCATCCTGTCCGGCGGTGAGAATGAGCGAATTTCCGATGATGGGCAGCGCTTTTGGTCCAGGCACATTTTCCATGGCAAGGGTGAACCTCCTTCGGGGCAACACTACCCTCTGTACAAACAGCAGGGCGACGCACACTAGGAGGAGACAGAGGAGCCCTGGCCAAACAGCCGAGGCGGGCACCACCGCCGAGATCGCCATCGCCAGCACCATTGTTGTTCACTTACTGCCCGTGTGTATCCAGAGTGGCTCGTACTTATACACGAGGCTGCTTGCGATCGACACCCGCGCGCCGCGCATCCCGCCGCCACTGCTTGAAACTCTCGCCGAGAGACACACACACTCGAATAAAGGCGTCCGTCCGTTCGTCCTCTTCCGCAGAGTAATTAGACAAAATTCCGCAGATTCCCATTTGCGCAGAGGAAATTTCGGCGCGCCGTAATTGGAAGCGCGCAATTGCGAGCGCGACAATTTAGATAATCTGCTCGTCCCAAGCCTTTTAATTGGGCGCCCGTGATTTATTTGCGTTAGAAAACAAACAGCCGACGGACGGCGCACCGGACGCCGAGCGCGTCTCGCTCAATTAATTAAGCGTAGGTTCTTCTCTCGCGAAATAATATTGGATTGTGTTCCACTTTTTTGCGTTTGGATCGTTAGGAATTTGCCCCGCTGCGATTGGTTCCGAGATGGAGCAAAATTCCTGTCGGCTGCGAACAATTCAACTTTACTGCTTTGAACATCAAAAAATTTCTCATATTAAACGTAATGGTACATCGTTATTTTATTGGTGCCGAGCTTGTTTTTACTTTGACAGAACGTGAGAAAGAACTTTTTTAGCGAATATCAAAATGATATATAGAATTATTTAAGAGTTTGTTTGCATTATTTGAAAATAGTAATTTGAAAATTATAGCTACAAGCAGCATTGACCAAATTGTATTTTATTTTTATAATTAACCTGAAACTGCATTTTCTTAAACTATTTTTTCTTGAACTCTATGAAATATTTTCAACGAAGCAAATTTCGACTTTTATTAGTTTCTGGAACATCTCGTATGAATTGTTTAAATTAAATTACCTGAACATATGAGAATTTTGAAGGTATATTCAAATTTCAGTCATGTAACATAAAATTTAAATTTAAAAAAAAAAAATCATTTTCAAATCATTGAACCCAAAAATCATGGATATGTTTATTGAGGTTACTCGATCAATTGAAAAATACATATTGGTTAAAACATGTAAAAGTAAATACATTTAGTTTTGAAGATTATTTTATAATTTTCAGTTATTTAAATTTTTTGGCAGCTTTGATAATCAACTTTTTTTAAATAAAACCTCTTAATTACTCTTAAAATGTAATTATTCAGTGCCACTTTTTATCGCAAACCAGTCGCACAAACTTTCTTTAGCGATCTCTCGCTTGATCTGCTTTTGACGCTGCAAATCTCATAAGTATGTTAAACGGCATCATAATAAATAATTACAACTGACTTGTGCAGAAACAAGTTGCACGCGAGCGGCCTTTCATCTCCGTAACTGCCATTCAAGTATATTAAAATAGTGCATGCATATTCTGCAAATATTATCTTTGTTTTCAAAACGGGACTGAAACATATGCGTGGTGATTGAGACGTCAGAAGGCTTGTTGCAGATTAAATAATAATAATTAATCTAAATAAATCCTGCAGAAAAGGGCGACTTTTTATATCCCCCCGCGGAGATAATAAAAAAACACTATTGTTTCATCGTCGGCGATTTCTTTGCATAACCAAACAACGCTTTTGATAAATCTTCACATTAAGTTATAAGAGTCTTTGATTACTATTTTTCCATTCTGATTTACACACGCGACTGCAGTGGAATTTTGATCTTTCATCAAAAGACCAGAGAAGCAGAGCCGACTCTGCGCTCTTAAGGTCCATTGCGACAGCCGAGAGGAAAATGCACACGTGTGCAGAGCGAAGTTTGGTTACGCTGGTCAAAACCGACACGTGGAGTAGGGCAAGTGAAGGTCGCTGTACCTGAGAAAGGAGCCGCCTTTCATTGGGTGCACCCGCACCAGCGCGCCGCGGGCGCTTCTCACGTATATTTTTCGGAGCTCGAGCGGTCCACGTGTGCGCGTCAAAACAATAACAAACGCACCGCGAGGCACTTGCTGGAAAAAATAAATTATTATTATAATCATCAGGAACTCTGGTATTTTTGAAATCGAGAGCGCAAAATACGCTTGTTGCGGCACAGAGAGCGCGTCGACCGTGACACGCATCCAAGTATCGCCATAAATCTATAGGATATACACACTTTTATTAATGTCTTGTGTGCGACTTGCTGAGGGAAATTAATTGCGAATAGTAGTAGCAATGTGCGATTTTTTCCCACTCAGCGCTGGTGAAGGGATAGGGCATAAAAAAAGCGCGCGCAACAATAAGGAAACCTGCTTTGATTTAATTGCACCCTGCGGAGAGAGAGGCGCCCAGTGTTTGAAGTTTTTTTTCATTTGTTTCCTAGTAAAGTTTGCCGTTGGTGGTCGCGTTTAAGATTTTTTTCTGATTTACCAAGCAGTTTGGGCCATTAGGTTTCCTGGCAAGTGTGTATCCTAACCATAAATAAAATTATTTTAATTGATTTTAGGAATAAATAAATTATAAATTATATTAGTTGCGATTTTCCGCTAAAATTTAAATTTTCCCGAGCTAATTTAAAATTTGGAATTCAAAAATTTTTCAAATCTGATCTCCACGATAAATAACTGAAGTAAAAAAAGTGTTAAATTTTATCTGACAATGAACTGTATAATTGTGTGATTTATTTTCTAATTTTATTTAAAATTTTCGGCATCCCTTTAACAACAGGGGCTAAATTTTTCAAAAATCACTCCATCAAATTAAATATTAAATTTTATAATTATTATATTTCTACTCTAGTTTCTGGAATGAGCACAAATAATATGTCCGTTTTATTGTCCTTTTCCAGATTTCAGAAAAAAACTTTTTAAACTTCAGGCTTATTCCGATTATTAATGACACCTTCTTATTTTCAGTTTTCAGCATTGTTTTTAAATTTCTCGATTTTTATCATTTTTTATTTTTTATAATTTTTTATCAATTCGTATTTTGACAAACCCATATTTTTAATTTTTTCCTACTACGCCATAAAACGTAAAATTTTCATTCTCTATGCACAAAAATATAGATTTTGCTTTATTTAAAAACATCATTACAATACATAAAACGCTCAGCTGATATGCTTTTAACATTTATTTTCCGAGAATCGCTCTTGTTCTTCTTCTTTGCCAGTGCTTTTACCAAGTATATAGAAACCATAGAAGAGGAAAACTAACGTCGAGAGCTATTCTGACACTTGGCATGCCTGAAAAACGTGATTGGAACCCACTGCGCATTAAGTCCCAAATGACCCATTGTAGCACAAAACACACGTGCGTGCGTCTCATTTAATTCGACTCGCCCTGGGACGCCCCAGAGATTGACAGATGGGAAAAGCAACTCCCAGAATCGTGTCATTGAAAAATAAAAATAATAATTCTCCGTCAATTTATAAAAATTCAGTTAAAAAATGTTTTGCCCAGTGGCCTGCAGACTGCGCCTCTCTGTCTCACGCTTGCATGCATGCGAGCTGATACTTGTAATGAGGCAAATGACGGTAATTTTGCAAGCTGCGGGACGCGGCGTGCGCGCTCTCGGGTCCATTGTCCTTTTTTCGGATGCTGCCGAGTCATCCCCACGAGTGAGAAGCAGCGACACGTGCCGCTCTTTCTCGACCTTCACGGTGCGTCCCCACGTGGACGGACGGAGGAAATTTCGTGATGCGCGTGTTTTTGTTTTCATTCCAACTTGGCTTTGCCCCCCGCCACAGCTTCTTCTCATCTCCCGAGCTCATTTTCGAAGGCTCCGCGAATTATTTGTTTCCCTCGCCGGCCGTCGTGATGTAACAATCCGCGGGCGTGGGTGAACGCGGCGTGTGTGTGTTTTTCTAATTCTAACTCACGCGTCCCACGTGGCCGCCTATTAAAGAAGCCTTGCGTATTATTATTTGCAACTCCGTCAGGTGCTTGTTATTATTATTTATTTTTTCTTTCAACCTGCAGCTCTATTCTCGGCGTTTTTTCATACCTGGGGCGCATTAATTAGTCTCCGAAAAAAATACGAGTTTCCTCATCGGTCTCCCTTATAGCGGTCGATGGTCGCGAGACGAGCTGTTGAAATTCGATAATCTTGATGGGATTTTCAGTTGCGTGCTCTAGAATAGTCGACCGTGAAAATGTGAACGCTGTCACATTCCCAGATGACACGCATTTTCTTTCCTTACATTCGTAACTCTATAATAGGAAGTTTATATTTGATGCATCTATTAATAGTGACTGACACGGATCCCAAACACACCTCATATTAATTTCTCCGAGGAACGACTCTAAATTAGCAGCAAAAGATATGGTAATTCAAAGCTAAATTTATACAGTTATTGATTACAAAACACAACTCAATAGTGTCAATTTCCAAAGCTATTTATAATTTTTGTTGTTAAAACTTACCTTTTCATTACAATTAGTTATCTAGCGTCAAATCATTTTTCCTTTCTTTTAAGTGTATTTTATCAAATTATCTGTCGAAAGCAGTGAAAGCACGCTGATGAGCTATTTTTTTTAATTGAAACCAAAAATTGGTATTTTGTTGTCCTTTGTTAACCTTTTTACTCCCCAGAGCGGCCAGAGCTATGTCACAAAATTTGCACACTTCTTTTAAGGGTCATAATAAATTGGTAAAGAAGGCTCATAATTTGAGCAGAAAAAAATTGAAACCCTTGGAGTCTCTCATAAGAAGAAATTAAATCACTACAAAATGTATTTAAAATTTAAATGCATTTATTTTAACTTTGATTTTTAACGCCAAGAAAAAAAGCAGCTTTTTATATTACAAATTTAATTTATAAAAAATATATTATAATTATAGACCATTTTTATATAATTATTCTTTCAACAAATTAAAATTATACATTTTTCCTTACCATCAATATATTTTTTTCAACTGTAAAATATAATTATAACAATGCCTTCTTTATTTCAATTTTGCACACCAGACCATTTAAAAGAACAAATTGGTGAATTGCAAATTTTTCTGCAGAATATGGAAGTAGAAGCTTACTTAGCAAATTTGGCACAAAAATCGTGAACTTTGGTCCGGCTGCAAAGCGGCGCTCGTGCCGATTTTTTCCAGCGGCATTTAAAGAAATGCGCATTAGTAAAATGCAGACCTAACTAATCGTTGGATAGAAAAGAGGAGTGCCTTGTCGTCGTGAGCAAAAGAATTTTCTATTCGCGTGCAGGTGTGTCATCATCCTTCGCGGCCCCTCCGACAAAGGAACACTTGATTATTTGAGAAAGTTCAGCGCGCGCCTATTTTGCATCTGAGAGCGCGGCGGGACGCATTTATGCACATACATTTTTCACCCGTCTAGCCGCATTGACGTCGAGCGTCAGACCCGACACGGGCCGTCGATGAGCGACCCGAGGCGCCGACGCCTCACGTGCCGGACGAAACGCAGTCCATACCTGCCGGCTCGTTATTCATCAATCGCAGCAATGTGTTGTCTCTCGCTCCCGGATGCTGCCGCCGATGTAATTCATCAAGCGGATTTTCGATCCCCAAAGGGGGAAAAAAATTCTGCTCCAGGCCGTTTTTTGGCATAGCCAAAATCTGAAAAATTTTCTGCAGGGTAACTGATATAAAATTTATATTATTTTACTTTGGTTTGATATTCAGTCATGCAAACTTTAAAACCTTCTTGTATTTTGTAATAAATTTAAAATAACTGTTTTAATAAATTGATAAATTGATTTTTGTTATTCTCAATTCTACTTTTTGTCCGTGGCCCTTTTAAATAATTTACTTCGTTTTGCAAAATATTATTTTAAAAAGTGCATCCAATTTGGATAAAATTGCCATTGGTTTTTTTTTTCAATTTTTTTACAGCAATTTAATTAAGAAACAATTTGAAAGCCAGTTCAAGCATTTAGTTGTTTGATCAAATTTTCAAAATAAATTAAATAAAACGTAATCATCAAGATTACAAAAAGCCTTGGAAAAATTATAAAATAAATAACATCTCAAGATTTTTTACTTGCTTGGATAAACGCTTTGCCCGTTGAATTGGAAAGACGCGCTAGTTACTTTATTGTCTTCGCCGTCTCATAAAATCAATTAAAAGAGACGTAATTGATAACCATCACACACTCACGAGAATCGAAGGCAAAAAATAAATCGGCATTTGGTTCTCAATAATTTATTGCCTCTCTATGAATAATTTATTATTTTTGTTTTTGTGATACACACTTTGTTAGAACGAATCTTCTTTGTCGTCCGAGGTCGTCCGTCCGCCTGTCGAGCGTCTCTCATTGAAATCTGCGGAAGAAAATCACTGTCTTTAATAGAACCCAAGACGCAGTTTTTTCTTTCGCGTGCGTACTGATATGTTACATGTGAGCACTGCCGCAATTGCAAGTTGTAACAAAGTCGTACCGAGTTAACCCCCACGGTGCTTCGAGGGCAATTTATGCATTAGCCACAAGGGGAATCGTAATTCCAAGCAACAACCATTATATTTATCATGTTATTATTGAAATAATATATGGATTCATACACGTGGAGCTGAACGACGCGGGAACTATCTGTGTATTATGTCGAAGCTCAAGTATTATGTTGAATCATCCATTGCCGGCAGAATCGCGCGGAAGAAATAAATTATTCATTAAACGCGCAAGAATTTAGTGAGGAATTTTTGGCTGTACACTCTGTGGTCTAACTAAATATTGACAAACTTCTGTTGAAGTCCATCCATTTAAGGAACATGTTTGCTCGTAAAAAAATATTCATGGATTTAGAAAATAATTTGATCCTTGTTCCTATCTTTTCTTCAAATTTTAAATTTTATTTAAATGTTTCAAATTTGGCTTAGAAGAATAATAATTATGGCAAAAAAGGAGGTAAATTAAACAAGCTGACAATATCATCATTATTTGTCATTGCGTTAAGCAATTAAAAATACTGTTATTAAACTAATATTAACTAGTTAAATTTAAGCTAATACTTTAGATGATGAAAATTGTTTAAGTAAAATAATATAAAAATTCATAGAAATTTTGTGTATTTTGAGATAAAATAAAATATAAAGTCACACAAAAGATAAACGAATTTTACAAATTTATTTGTCCACAATATTACGTTTTCAAATTTTGTATAATTGAAGAATCAATGAAAATAAAATTTTATAAAACTTTCATCTTCTGATATAATTTATTGAGGTGGTTTTAAAAAAATACTAGCTTTAGCTTCATATCCATAATTTCTGTTGTTAGAGAAGAAAAAATTATTTTCAACGTTTTGAATTTTTACCCACACTTATTTTCATTATATCTCGCGAAGAAATTCTTTTGGGTTTTATGATCAAAAAGTACTATAGGAAACTGCACAAATCCGCAAATTCAGAGAAACTTTTCCTTATCGTTTGAAACAAAACAAAAGAAAGTCGCGTGCCAAAAGCGTCAATGGGCCGTAGAGAAGCACTGATAAATAGAATATCACCATCATATATTTCCCTGCGAACACAAACAAGATAACCCGAATATTTTTTTTCCTCGAAAATATAAAAAATTTCTCGCTTCCTTGATAGAGTGCAAAGTTGATTTCGTAACCAGAGAAAAATAATGGAGAGAGAGAAAAAAAGAAATAGAGGCACGTGCTTGCTGGCGGCTCGAGAGAAAAACTTGTACTTTTTTTATATACCTGCGTGCGTGTCCATTTATTTCCTCAGACGAAATTGCTGCAACAGCACCTGGTAATGAGCTGGTGCTCCTGGCACGTGTTGGCGTGCAGAAAACTGCAGTCGGCGAATTGGCACTCTCGCGGCAGCGGGTACGCTTGCGGACCTGCAAGACAAGGAGCGTAATGAGAGCGCAAATTCGGTGCAAACAACTATGAATGAATTACCAAGCGGGTCGGCGCCGCCGCCCGAACAGCAGCAGGCGTCGTGCAGCAGCTTGTCCGAGCAGTAACTGTACACGGACGAATCGCAATAGGGACAGTACGGGTTTCGTTGTTTCTGAAGAGCGGCGGCGGCCGGTCTCTGCCTGAACAGCGCTGAAACAAAAGTCACACGCCCGCGGTCAAAATCGGCCAAATCGGCCCCACAACAAATAGATTGTGACCCGATTTGCTGATTGTTCTCTAGAGCGTTAGCGGTTTCATCGCCGTTTAAAGTTGTTAGGCCGATGACATTGATATTTACGAGAACTGTAATGGGATTCTCCTTTAAAAGGAAAATTTCCTGCATTCCTTATGAGAAGCACCTGTATATCTTTGAGAAATATTTGCTGTATCAAAATATTCCGGCTGCAAATTGAGCTTCTAAAATAATTTGGAATAAAAAGGTACGCTGTAAAGTTCAAAAATTCAACAAATTCTTTTGCCAAGGATTATTATGACTAAGTAAAACTTGAATAAGTTCTTGACGACTTCATATTCAAATTTCAAGCAAAAGTAATTGTTGATTACCTCGATAAGTTATTAATTACCAGAAATTAAATTCATACGCTCCAAAGGTCTTCCACTATTTCGCACGTCTCTAATAGTTATTAAAAATTCCTTGCTCAAGTCACGAAGGGCGAACATTACGATTATTTAACTGAGATTGAACTTGACCTACGCCGCGCGCTGGCCTTGGCACTTATCTCGCAGCAGCACGCAGAAAGCAATAGTTTAAAAACGCGCTCATATATGTTGCAACGCCAGGTTTATTTTCATCGTGTAAGTAGTTTTATTCACAGTTACACCGCGGAAGTCACAAGTTATGTGTTTTTTAATTGATCCATAATTTCTGCTCTCTTGCGCGTGTAAAATGATGTTAACTTGTTTTGGCCTCTCCGCAGAGCTTACATGAAATAAAATAAGATTTATCAAACAGAAAATGTTTTGAATGCGGACATGCAAAAGATTATGCAAACCGTGTGCCCTGCTTTTATGAGTTCGTCACCTCTGCTCTGACTTGTTGGCGCCGGCTGCATTATTACTTGTGTTTGCATCTGAATTGGAAGTGATTTATAAAGAAATGATGGAAAAAAATTTAAGTTCACTCGGTGACGAGTAACTGCTGCTATAAAAAAATAATTGGGGGAATTCACATGCTAACTTTCTTATATTTGCTGGTGCTAACTTAGCACTTGAATATCCCCCATTAATTACTGGATATCTGCATTCTAATTAAATAAGTTTTCTTCCAGAAAATTAAAAAGATTTATTACAAAATAACCGAAATAATCTCGCCTGGTAGTCCTTGTTGCGTGCAGTATTTTAAATATTTTTCAAGATATTCCTTACAGAGTTGAAGCAGCAATCCTTGCAGTCAACTAATTTTCAAAGTAAACCAGCTTTCTGTGGTAAATTTATTTTATATTTAATTATAGCGTACTTGTCTTATTCTTCCTTTTTGAAAAGAGAGAAAATTTGCATAGGAACCGAAAGCTATCAACTTCAGGTGTGAAGGTCTTTCAGCTCTAACCCAGTGGCATTGAAATTTTTTGCTTCGCCTCCTGAGAGCGTACCTTTTAAGGGTCGGCAAATCTGTGAATGTAACTTTGTTGGGTCTTGTATATACGTGACTGAGGCCACGTCGGGAATGGAGTATCTATTAATTCTTAGATAAACCCCTGCGTTTTTTTTACCAAATAAAAAGAAAACAATCAGCAAACAAACAAGGAAGAACCTTCAATTTTTTTTCTAATTACTCTAATTAGAAATTATGTACCTGTGTAAGCTTCGCTGCCCCGCAGAACGGTGATCTGGGCCAGGGTGGCGGCCACGCAGAGCAAAAGGGTCGCAGACACCAGTGTTCGCCTCATCGTGGTGAAGAAGACACTCGGTTCGAGAGCAACGCGGCCTCGGCGGTCACAAATGCCCCGTTTTTACGAGTCACGTGACTCGTCAGGTCGACGACTCCTTAGCTGGGAGAGCAGATCTGTAACAATCGCGGCCCTGATCACCTGCCTGGCGACTTTTTCCGTCCCGGCGGGGGCACACGTGGCCCTATTTAATGTAATACGTGTTTCGACTTTCAGAGCAGGGCGCCTCTCAGTCCGACCTTGGGTGACCTATGTCAGGTCGAGCTAGACGTGCGGATTTCGTCCTGACGTTGGCTAGAAAAGCTGTCAAAGACGGTGACGGACGTGTAATTGCCGCAACCGAGCAGGTCATTAAAAAAGCATTAGGCCTGTGCAAATTTTTTTCCAACTGCCTGGCGAATCCATGATTAATTTTGCACGCGAATATTTTTGCATCTTGTGCACTTGAAAAGGAGATAATGAGTGGCAGAACGACTATTATTAGACCTGCGGTCTGCTGTCATGGGAAAATAATCCACGAGAGTGGATGTGTGTGTGACATGGTGAAAAATGGATTTTGCAAAAACAACGAAGGACGCCCTCCACCCTTGAATAGATCTTTCCGATTATAAAATTCGGGTCTATTTTTAGCAACAGTCATTTATCACGCCTGATGGATCCAAGGCATGGCCGCATAGTTTGAATTAATACCATTATTTAGACATTAATCATTGTCAAACAGAAGAGGCCCTAAAACCCTAGCGCAGCATTAAAATTGTTCTAAAATATCCACAATGGAATTATCCGAATCAATATTTTGCAAAAATCAATTCATGTTGATAATGAAGATAATCTCAAATCAAATATTTTCATAGTTATCAATATTCAGGTCAAAATGGCAAAATAAAATGCAGAGAAATTCATTTTTAATTTTAAAACCAAGGGAATCCGCACTGGTTTGCTATTTAATGGTTAACACTGACTTAGTTAGGAACGTTACATTACGTTAGACGATGGATAACACAATATGAATTTACATAACAAGACTCTATAATAATACACGCGCTTTTCACACATGATCGCGCGCGGAGCAAGTAGCAAAAATAATTATCATTGAAATGTATAAGCGAGTGCACAGCCAGACCTGTTGTTCTCCGGTGACGTCACCACCTGAAGAGCAGCATTGCCAATGTTGCTAGAAGTGCGACGAGACCTCCTCGCGGAACATGTGCGCCTGATACTAATTTGTTGTGCCCTGCAATATTCATATTAATATTACTTTTTTCCGCGGTTAATTTATGGAAAACAAAGCAAGCTCTAACACAACAACGTTGAAAATCAAACAAAACGAACCAGTGATCATTAGAAGAGCGTTTGTGATGTGCTTTCGAAATTTAAAAGTTCAAGCACACTGAAAGCATACTGTGCCGTTCCGCATGCGTGTCGTGAGTGTGGCCGCACCGACCAGTCAGTGAAAGTTTTCCATTGTACAACAGAGCACGCTTCAAAAATCAATAGGTACTTTTTGAGGCTAATTTTATCAAAAAAAAAATGTCATATAACCAAAACTATTTCCCATTTAAAAATTACCTAAACACACTTTAAATAAACCATAAACAAAGAGAAATTATGCATATATATTGAAAACTAATTAGATTTAATAATTTGCAAATATTTAAGCTAGAGTTAAAATTGATTCTAACGAATTTTATATCTTAAAACTAGATTAATTATATTTAAATTATAAATATATTAAAATGTAAACCAAATTTAAAGGTGCACATTTTTTTCTGAACCGTCTGATTTGAAAGTTATTTCGTGTCCGAAACAGATTGTGTTAGTTAAATTAAGAATGGGGAAAAAAACTTTGACTTATGCCTCGTGCGTGAATGAAAGTAATATTTTTTAGTGACGAACCGGTTTCATTTAATGGAGCGAATTGTGGAATTTCGTCTGACAGGGAAAAGGAAGAGAAGTTTGAATGAGGTTGAAATTGGGAAGTGGCATATGACTGGGCAGAAGATTGGCCGGCATGAGGCCTATTTGGCACGGGGTCGCCGTAAGGTTCCCTCTCTGACCATTGAAGGCCCATCAGAGAGAAGAGCGAGGCCAGCCATCCGCTGTGCACAGGACGGGCCGGAACTGAAAATTGTATTTCTTTTCTGCGGCTGCTCATATCGTCACATAATTTTCATGCAGTGCGTTCGAAACAAAAAAAAAGTGTAAATTTTTACAAATATTACATCTTTGCTGGAGGATGTGCTTGCAGCAGCAGTCGTAAATTCGCGAGTACTGCGCGCAGTTTCCTGCTATCGGCGCGCAAGGAGCCGCCGGAGGAAGATTCACGTAACATCTGTGGGGCACGAACGGCATCGGTTCTAAAACACAAAGTGCAGATTAAGCGTACACTCTAGAAGGGGCTCTTTGGGCTCTGTTTTATGTTGCCGGTGATGAAAATAACTCTTGCAAATTTGAAAGGCGCAGCACCCTATCAGCAGAACGCGCGCCAACGCCAAGTGAAAATAAACGGAAGAGGTGTGCAATGTGCAAGGATGTCCTGTTTTAAAGTGTTACTAATTCTACGTGCGGAGAGATCATTGGGTTCAAAATCAGAACTTCGTGACAATTAGCTAGATAAACTGATTGTAAATTGAGGCTTTGTAACTGTTTTCTTAAAAATTTTCTTTTCGGCAGAATAAAATAAATTTGGAAAATTAATGTTTAAATTGTGTCTAAATAATAAATAATTTTTTCATTATATCCTAAAATATATTGTTATTATTTGGCAGATTTAAAACAATTCATTTTCTCACCAAGGTGTTTGTCGCAACAGCAATGGTCACTGAGGACAGCGTCGCTAACGCAGTACATTCTCTCTTGGAGCGAGCATTTGCCGCAACCAACCTCATCACTCACACCTGAAAAATGTATTAAAATCAATTTTTAAAAATGGAGTAATATTCAATAGAAAGTAAGAATTAAATTTTAAATTTAACCGCAGAGGAAAATAATTTATTTAGTACTCAATTTAATTGCTTGGTAGCCATTTAATTGCATCGGACCATCGGACAATGAGTCACTACAATTTCCTGGGAAGGAAATAACTGAAATGCCACACCTCGTATGTGATTTCTTTCTTATTGTTAGTTTATATATTCCACTATGAGCAACTTAATTAATCAATATTAATAATGAATAAGAAAACGAAATTGCTAAATTTTGTCTATAATTGAGAGACATTGAGAATATTAAAATTAATCAAGAGTTTAATTAGTGTTTTGTTAACCACCTTTGCTTTTTGTATGAAAGAGTGCATGAACTTCATTTATAAAGTAAAAAAAGCATGGAGATGAATCGACTGTTTTTGTGATAGTTTTAAAATTTTATTACAAGTTAGAAGTCCTTCCTCAGTGGGATTTTTGAAAGATGTAGTTTATTGTGTTATAGGAAAAAATTTAAAAGATTCCTTTTGAGGAAAAGCTGACTTTTATAGTGAGTCACCTGCATGAGTGATTCAATTGCGCAATCATTTTACAAGACTTTGTGAGATGTTGTAGACTTTCTTTATTATTAATTTAATTACTGTTAAATTATTGTTGCATATTTTTTCCAAATTGTTACAAAACTGTGTATTGAAAGAAAAAATCATTTTTGGGATTTTGCCAGACAAAAAGGCAACACAGCTTGAAAAATACTGCTAAAAATTCCAAGATAAAAAAACCTATAAATTTAAGCCTCAACTGAATAATTTTTGTTTTCATCTTTTAAAATCACGGGTTTCTAGATTTGAATAAAAAAATGTTGTAAAATCACATCAATAGCACACCTTTTTTTCAGCGTTTTCTAGCTAAAAAAATAAGTAACAAACAAACACTGGAGAAATAAATAGGTCAGTAAGACTCACCGAGTTTGGAGACGTCGAACTTGGACGCAGCCTGCGCGGCCTGTTCTTTGGTGACGACGTGATCCAGGAACTTGCTGGCCCGCTCGCCGGCGGCGGCGTCCGGCTCCTCGGAGGCCAAGGGCGGCTGGGCGGCCCTGGCGAGGAATCTGCACAGAGCGCAGAGCAGCAGCGCCGAGGGCAACACCTGCATGGCTAGCGCGCTTGTGGGTGCTGCCGTTGCAATTGTAGGCCACGCACCTCCTTGTTATCGGCAATTAGCAGGGGTCCAACAACACACATTTTTAGCACGCGTCGCCGCACGTCTTTCTGTCACTTTCCGCTGCCCGCCCGCCCGCCGCTAATTCTCTTCTTTGTACAAAAGAAGGGCCGCAAGGAATTTCACTTTTCGGAACTGCCGCCCCGCGACAGACACACACACCCGACGTCACTCCCCGCGATCGCTCTCGCGAGCCGCCGCGTTTTTGCTCGTGATAAGCAAAATGCCAACTGCTCCAGGATGTAAATTTGACGCAGAGCTGCTGCGCTGCACTTGCTTTAGGCACCGCCGTACTAAATTTATTTTTACTCCCCGAGGCTGCCGCTGGTTAATTTGCAAGTCCGAAATTCGCATATACAGGCTAATTAATTTAAGTGCTCTAATTAAATTTGCTTCAACTCAGTCATTTTTTATCTTGTTGAGTTGCAAGCGCTGAATGATTTCGGAGATTGGCTTGTGAGATTCAAAAATTTGATCTAGGTAAAAACTCAAATGAGCGCAGTAGAAAAATTTTTTGAATTTTTGGTTGTTTTTAAGTTTTACTACAAATTTAGTTTTTATTTTTTTTATTAAGAATTCAATTTCCTTTAAGAGAAAAAATGTTAAACTCTTTCAATTTTTAATTTTTATAGCTCCTATTTTTTGGCATTATTAATTACTGAATTAATATCAAATTTTCTAAAGATGAAATCCAAAAGACAGGACGATTGTATTTTGCTGAGCTATAAATTTATTTTGTATTTTTTCATTTCCTTAAGCAAGAGCTGTCAACAATTTGAGTGTATTATGGTCCCTGGCCGTGCCACCAGTTTACGATGAGAGTGTTCAGTGCCCTTGCCAGCAGTTCTAGAAAAAAGGACGCCCGCAGCAGCAGTCCATAACAAAACGGTAGTCGGAGCACAGTTGGTCGCCCCTAATGGGACACTGCAGCCAGTCAGGACAGTGGATTGGCTTGTACTCTGAAAAGTGAAAACGCACAACATTATTCAAATGAATTTGGTTGAAAATTTTCTGGGGCAATGATATTATGGAAATTTTACCGAGGAATCCACCGCAGCCGCAGCAGTATCCATGAACAACAGCCGAGTCAATGGAGCAGTCAATAGGACAAATGGGGAAAGGCGTCGGGCAACGGGAGCCAAAAAAGAAGCTCATAATACCTGCGTTGAAAGTATTGGAATCATTATAACATTAAATTTAATGTTAATTAATTCAAATTAATTAATTAAATTTTTATTTCTAGTGGAAAATATTTTGTTTTACTATTCATAATTTCTAAAATACAAATTTGGAAAATAATAAGTCTTTTTGGTTTCATAAATTCTTAGTAAATAAATATTAATATTTTATTATAAAAAAAAACGATTGAAAAATATCTTTTAAATAATTTTATTTCATACCTCTTGACTCCCTTTGTGATGTGACGTTCAAATTATTCGCATCTACTGGAGGTGCGGCGGAATTCATCTGCGCAAACACGCACAGAACTAACGTCACTTCTAAAAATCTGGAAACCATTTTCCTCGAAGCAAGAGATCTGTGCACCCTTCTAGACAAAGGTAGAGTGGAAAATACTAGCGACGGAGCTTAAATAAGTATTATTGGTCCGTGCATGTTTAATTATCTGTTGTAGTTTTGAAATGTAAACGCGTCTCTTCAAGAGATAAGGCAAATGAGCTCCAGCGAGACATCAATCGAAAGCAACACACGTGTGCAGCAATTAGTCTGCAATTAGAATAATAAGTGTGACGCGAGTATTTACTTTCAGAATATGTGAGTGGTAAATGTTATAAAAACAATTAAAAACGAGAGGCGGCGTTTGATTACCATGAAATAGTAAACTGTGCGTAGCGGCAAATAATCTACAAGGTAGAGATGCCATTACAATTGCAATAGGTATTATTTTCATAATACAATGTCTCAATCTGGTCTCAATGTTAGCGCGTAGTCGTCCACGAGACCTTGTTTCTATTGCAAAAGACGAATAAATGATAAAACTAAAATTATTGCATTATTTGATAGTCACTCTATCTTGAATAAATTGCAAAATAAGAATGGAAATTAGGTGAGGAAAATTGCAACAATGTTGCTCGTTGATATAAAAATATCATTATTTATTATCACAGTAAAAATAATAAAATTTCATCGGTTATCGGTAAAAAGGTAAAAATAAAATTTAAAAATATAAAAACGCAAAATGCAGCCACGACGTGTACTTGCGCGCTCTTTTTCTGTGCAAAATGACGTCATCAGAGGTTTGCTCCAATCGTACGCTGTAAATAGCCACGCCCACCTCGCTCACGTGTATTATTTCACAAAAACATCAGAATCGCAGGATGAAAAATTAGAAAAATTAATTTAAATTTGTTCGCCTTTCTAATCTTACAAAGTTTGGTTTTCCCATTGAACGCGAAGAAGTTGATAGAATGGGGAGCGCTGACGAAGGATCAGACGATGAGAGAGTAAGTGGAAAAAAATAATGGAATTATAAACTATATTCAATTTTGTTTTGACAAATTTTTAGACTGCAATTCGGAAGGAATTGTCTCACATGACTTTTGAGGAATTGATGAAATTGAAGGAGCAGCTTGGCACAAAAAAGTACGATGAGGCTATGTTTGGGGCGTCAAGCTCGAGAAGCAGAAATTTGGATCACAACAGGACATTTAAAAGGGCCAATAAAAACAGGTACATTATTAATTCATATTTTTGTAAAAATAATGCATTTTTTATTTTATTTTCATTTTTCAGGCCTAGAGAAATGTCATCGAAAATTAAAGTGGCGCCAATCCTGGACGCAGGACTTCCGAAACAGAAGAAAACGCAGACCAGAGACCCCAGATTTGACTCTTTGTGTGGAGAATTTAAGGAAAAGGTTGATTTTAATCCTTGGTTGCCACACTATGTATCAAAATTAAATTTAACAGGTGTTTAGAAAAGCGTACGGCTTTGTAGAGGACATTAAAGTTCAGGAAAAGCAACAACTGAAAGAGGAACTGAAGAGTGAAACTGACGGCAAGAGAAAGGCAGAGATCAAATACCTGATTCAAAGAATGGTGCGTTGGATGTAAAATTATTTTTCTGCTCTCTGACTGAAAAATCGTTACAGGAAAACCAAGAAAGAGAGTTAAAGAATCGAAAGGCTAAAGAAGAGAAGGAGGACGTGGAGAGAAGAGAGAGGGTGGAAATGCTGAAACGAGGAGAGAAACCGACATTCCTCAGCAAATGTATACAAATTTCATGTTTTTTTTAAAAAAAGCTTCAAATTTTTTTCCTTTAGCTGAAAGAAAAACTAAGGAGCTGGTTGAGAAGTTTGAAGAACTGAAGAAGAGTGGAAAAATCAGCAAGCACATCGAAAAGCACCGAAAGAAGAAAATCAACCAAGATAGGAAGAAATTCAAAATTCTTAAATAATACTTAAATAAATATCATCTCCTAATTTTAGGTGCTAAAATAAACAAGTTTAGTATTTACACAAGCACAATGTAATTTAATTTGATTAAGTTATCTACAAAATTCTTGGGTTTCTCACTAATTCACTAGTCTCCAGTTTATTGTCACTAAGCAGTTCTCATCATTTTTGCTTCCTTGATTTCCTGCAACTCTTGCTTCTGCTGCTCCACGACTTTTTCTCTCTCCTTGAGGAACTCCGCGTACTCTGCGGGATCGTAATCTCGGACCACTTCGATTCCACATGAACGTGCAGTGCCAATGATCAGGGCACAAATCTCTTGCATCGTGAAGAACTCCAGAGGGGGATCCTTTGCTTTTATTTGTGCTATTTCGTAGACATGCTTCAAGGTTATTTTTCCAGCTGTTTCAACACCTAAAAAACACATATACATATAATTTTAGAGAATTATGCTTTCATTTTAAAACATGGGATCTGTAAAAGGTTACCAACCAGGTTTCATCGCAGCTCTTGTAATGCCTGCTGCTTGTTTTACAAAGAATGAGGCTGTTGGTTGATGAATGACCAATTGATAACTTCTGTCGTCGTTCACCCAAATTCTGCAGGGCAGCGGGACGCCTTCCCTCATGTCTTTGGTTCTTTCGTTGAAATCCTTGCTAAAAGCTGCCACATTGATTCCTCTCTGATAAAAAATTAATCCTTTGTTACAAGATGGAAACTTTTTAGTCTGCAAAAAATTAAACCTGTCCAAGCTGTGGTCCCAAAGGCGGACCGGCCACAGCCATGCCTGCAGGAATGTTTGTCCGCATCTTCCTCTTGTGTTGCACCGTTTCCACGACTTTTTTGACATTTTTCACCGCTCTAGCCACTTTCGACATTTTTCAAATGTGAATTTTCCTTTACGGAGATTCAAAAAATGCCGAAATTGACACGAAAAGCGTAAGACGCAAACAAATTTTGCAGAAACACCAAGAACAATACCAAAATCAAGACCAAAATATTGCTGCACCTCCAGCTGCTGCCGGCCATGTGATGGGGGCGTGGTCACTATATTTTTCTTAACAAAAGTCGGACATAGAACTGCACGAGCTGTACAAGAAAATCTTCCCTGCAGCACGACATTAACCAATTAGACCTGTCCTAAATTAGATCTGGCTGAATGGTCACCACCAAAGCCAAAAAATACCAACAACAACAACAACAACAAAGTCGGACATCAGCAATCGTTTTTCATTTTTGATTGAAATTTGAAATTGTTTTAATCTGCCACATTTAATTTGTTTCATGAGTAAAATCATGAAGGTTAAAAAAGGCTTGTTGTCTAACAAATTCGTCCTTGCCACGAGCGCTGCAGGAACAATATTTGCAGGAGCAATTTTTTTGAAGTGAGCACTCTAAAATGTTATATTACAAAAATATTTTCACTTGCAAGTAAATTAATATTTTATATGCATGCTTTCGAAATTTTAATTTTCAGGGAATACATGGGCGGAAAAAAATTTGAAGGAAACGAACGAGCAGATGACAAGATCGTCATAATCACAGGCGCAAACACCGGCATTGGTAAAGAAACGGCACGGGAATTAGCAAAGAGGGGAGCCAGAGTTTTTATGGCATGTCGAGACATTCATAAGTGTGAGGAGGTAACTAACAAAAATAAATTGAGGAAGAAGTATTGATGATTAATAAAATTAAATTTTATAGGCTCGAGAGGAAATTGTGATTGAGACTAAAAACAAATTTGTTTATTGCCGTCAGTGTGATTTGGCATCCCAGGAATCAATCAGAAAATTTGTGCAAAGATTCAAAAATGGTGAATATTTTTTTCTTAACTTTCGTTATTATTTTCTTTCTCTATTAATTCCAGAGCAAAGCCGCCTTGACATTTTAATAAACAACGCGGGAGTCATGAGATGTCCACAGTCTTATACCAAAGAAGGAATTGAGTTGCAGCTTGGTGTGAATCACATGGGCCACTTTTTACTTACCAATTTGCTTCTTGACTTGTTAAAAGTAATTTTTTTATTTTTTAACAAGGCTCAATATTCATTTGTAAAATTTAAAAATTTCAGACTTCACAGCCAAGTCGAGTCATTACGGTTTCCAGCATCGCTCACACAAGAGGACAAATCAACAAAGAAGACCTCAATAGCAAGTTAAAATACGACCCTGGAGATGCCTACAGCCAAAGCAAACTGGCCAATGTGTTATTTAGCAAAGAACTAGCCTCTAGATTGAAAGGTGGAGTTTCAATTAGAAAAATCTTACAAATATAAAAGTTCTAATTTAGGCACTGGCGTTATTTCAAATTCACTTCACCCCGGAGTGGTTGACACGGAGCTGTTCCGGCACATGGGATTTTTTAAGAGCACCACGGCTAGTCTGTTTGTTCGTCCGTTGATGTGGCCCTTTGTGAAAACTCCGAAGCAAGGAGCTCAGACGACTTTGTTTGCAGCTCTCGACGAGTCACTGAAGGAAACCTCAGGGAAATATTTCAAGTAATAAAAATTTCTATTAAAAATGAAATATATTTAAATAATATAAACTGTTATTCAGGGATTGTGCAGAGTATCCTGTTGCTCCACAAGGAGACGACGATTCCATGGCCAAGTGGCTGTGGGCTGTTAGCGAAAAATGGACTCGACTCGACAACAAATGAATCAAAATGTGATAGAATTGGTGCAAGGTATTTATGCTGAACCAATAGACTGTTAATTGTTATTCTTAAATCTGACATTTATTTCCAATCATTTCACAACACCAACAAGGGAAAAAATAAAGATTTCCACTATCTAAAAATGCAATGCGGAATGCCTCAAAATAAATTACTAGCAAAATTCAGCACATTAAAAACAATGATTGGCGTTACATTTAGTCTCGTTGTCATCATATTTGGTATTAATTTAACTTTAGACACATTCATGCTTTAATCCTGATACAAAAGCTGCTTCCGACAACACATCAAGCTAATTCCCCCCATTTTTTTTATTGTCAAACATGTTAGTGCTTGCTCTTCTCGATGCCTTTGATTCCGACAAGCTCGCATGTTTTCTCGTACAGCTCTTTCGTCAGACTTGCGTCGTGGGCCTTTTCTGCCATGTTAGTCTCAGAGCAGTCCCTAAGTTGAGAGAGTTAAAATTTCTCTTTGGCAATTTTATAAATCAATTATAGCTTACGCGTAGTATTTTCCAGTAGTTTTCTCCAAACCTGGCTCTAGAGCCAGATACAGGGTGGTTTGGCAACCTTGGTGTGGGTTTTTGGTGAAGAGCCAGATCCAGGGAACCATGGGTGCCTTCAGGATGATAGAGCTGCTGAAGGGTGAATGGCGCATGTGCTGAGTACTGCGGACCATGCCGGGGTGAAGCGCGTTGATAGTCACACCAGTGCCTGCAAAATTTCCAATCAATTTATAATTAGCTTTATAAAGTGCAGTTATTTTTTTTAAAACAATAGTTAAGTAAATAAAAATATTTAAGTTCCTTATTGCAATCTAATGGGCCTTTTTGAGATCACATCTATTTTATTTGCTAAATACTTTCATTATTTATATTTCATTGTATACAATTTGTAAAAAAAGCTATTGCAAGAAGATTAATTCCACCGCTTTTGTAGGTGGGAAGCCTCTGCAATGCCCAACTTATGCAACTGAGTGCATTTTCTTGACACACAGGTTGCATATTCGGCCTTTTGCAGGGGCTTGAATTTATTTATTACGATAAAAAACTTTCACTTGCCCTTCAGTCTCTTTGCCATTTCTGCGGTCATCATTACAAGTGCCAATTTGCTTTGTCCAAACGCCTCTCGAGCTGAGTAACAACCTTCCATGTTCAAATTAGACATGTGAATTTCCCCAGCAAAATTCGCCACGCAGCTCACGTTGATAATTCGTCCTTTGCGAGCTTTCAACTTAGGGAGTAGCAAGTGCGTCAGTAAGAAAGGGCCTGGAAACCATCAAATATGAGAAAATCATAATTTTTAGTAGGAAAATATTTTACCCAAGTAGTTCGTTTGAAAGTGATATTCGTTTCCATCCACGGTTCTTCCTTCAGGATGGAAAACGACTCCGGCATTATTGATTAAAATGTCCACCTCCGTGTTTCCTATTTTTACTTTGTTGTTAATATTTTTTCTGAATATTTTCTTTCCAAAACGTACCGAGATTTTTTACAAATTGTTTGATGGATTCGAAATTGCACAAGTCGAGCTTTTCAATGACGAGCACAGCATTCTGCGCCACTTTGCGAATCTCGTCTCGCGCCTCTTCGCCTTTTTTCTCGTTTCTACACGCCAAAATGAGTTTTGCTCCTAGAATAACCATGGTTAATCCATTCTTCTAATGATACTCAAATAATCAAAGAGTACCCTTTTTGGCAAGTTCTTTGGCAGTCTCGAGTCCGATGCCACAGTTGGCTCCGGTGACGATCACCCACTTGCTGTCGATACGCGCTTTGCTGGGGCACTCGGCTCCCCCCATGTATCCCCTGCGATTGTAACACACGCGCTAGTTTTAAAGCTCTTATTCTTATATCGAAATGAACTTACTTAATGCAGGTGACCACTCCGACCACTAAGGCAACGATCCATGGCCACCAGCTGGACAAAGGGTCCTCGCCAAGGCGTTTTAAGAAGTCGGGCGGCTCGGAGTCCATTATTAACTCGCCTCGTTGGCTGGAGAAACAATCGCGCCGCTTGAGGCTCGAGTAGATTTTTTGTTGGGCCGGATGGTTTAATTAAATCAAGAGAGAAGGGGATCAAAAAGAGGCGTGCCTGCAAGGGCGTTTATGGGAAATGCAAAGAACAAAACGCTTTCACTCTCCTCCCCCATGTCTCTCTCTGTCCTGCGTACTGCGGCTGATACTCTAGTGAGCACGCATCCTCCCCCATCGTAACCACTCGTATAATGTAATGATCCAGACGGCGTGTGAATAATGAAAACGACTTCCACATATGGTCAACGAACCCTCTTTATTTCCAGCAGCATTCAAAATTTTAATCACTTAAAATTTCATATCTTATATAAACTCTCTTGCGTTAAATCATTTCTTTGTCCCCGAATGTTCATAAATATAATAGTAAATTCCACGCTGTGTTCTTTTTCAAGAGTAACAAATGGAAAAGTGAATTAAAAACAATTTATAGGTATGGATTCCATCAAAAACGAATTGCTTCTTGGCCGCTGCTTGCAAGCCTCTCACATTTTACGCAGTGGAAGAGACGGCCAGTTTCTTGAGGTGGTCCATGAACACCTGCAGGCTGACGTCATCTGTCAATACTGGAGCTCCTCCTTCGCCCTGCGGTAGAGATATTTTTTTTATTAATTTTTGCTGGAAAATTTATAAGCACTCCCAAAGCTGGTAGGTATTTACAGCACAGCGATTTTCCCAGTAAATAACCCTTGATAATATAAAAGTGCAGAAATGATTGAATTTGAAAAGAGTGAAATTTGTAAGAACTGAAAAGGAGATAAATGAAAATTATGGAATAAAAAAATTCATTAAAAGATCCAGATTACAAACGTCGCATGGAAAAATCAAGAAAGCAGGGTTAAAATATTAGATACTAAAGCACTTTTGAACATTCAGTTTAGTGACTGCATGCGTGATTAAAGCAGATAATTGAACAATTAAATTATTATTATTTTCATTTGCCCCCACAGACCGAGTAGAAGCAAATAATATTAAATAAAACTCTACCGATTGTGGAACTGGCGTCATGAGCTACAAATAAAAATTCAATATTACTCATTTGATAAGCATCACATCAACAAAGATCATACTCTATTAATACAGAACTAGTGTGCATGGATCAAATAATAATCGGCACAATTGAAACTTGCAAAAAATCAAAGGTATACTTACGCCTCCGTACGCGTACATATTGTTGTGTGTCTGGGATGGATTCACTTTGGAAAGGAGAAAGCGAGCCTAGAATAGTGAATAAGTTAACTTGCTTCATTATTTAATAAGAAAAAGCACTAACCTGTGATCCGCCTTGTTCGGTATCAATGTAGCGAGGCATTGGGAACCTGCTCTGCAAGATTTCCTGCGCATCATCGATAGGGGCTTGGAGGAGTTGCTTGAAGTTTTCATATTCAGGCAATTCCTGGTACTTGGCAGCTCTCCACTGGGCAATGGTCTGAAAATTCAACAAATTAGTAATTAAATTTTCCTGCGCAAGTTTGTCTTTTTTTACCTCTCCGTGGAATATAAGAATTTGGAAAAAGGTGTCCATGAGCAAAATCCTGTCTGGCTGAATGCTGCTTGTATCTAGAAGCACAGGTTCAGGAGGACCATTGAAATTGTAGCTGTACAAAATGGGCTGAATCATGACGAGACTTTGGGTCAAGTCCTCTCTCATCAACATGTGCCTATTTATAATTATTTTAGTAACATTGATTCCAAACTTTTTAAATTTTAAATACCTGTAGAACGATGTCTCATCAGGGCTGTTGTTAAAGACTTGCAAAAATTGTGAGCGCCGCAAATGGTACATGAACTGTGGGTATAAACTGAAGTTGTCTGGCAGTCGGAAGCTGTTCGGATCATCCTTAGCGTACTCACCAAACTTTTGACACTGCAAGAACAAAAAATGTAATACCAGAAATTTGAGGTCACATCATCTTACAATGCGAATGAGCATTCTGTCGACCCAGCGCAATGTGTCGGGATTTTCATCGGTTTCTGCTCTGAACACTGCCATTCTGGCCATCAAGACGGCAGCACATTCTTGATCAAATCCAGCACTTATGTGGTGCAGATTTGCTGCAGCATCTGCCCAGCTGAAGATTTAGAATTCAGTAAATGTTTCAAGGGAAAATTAATTTAATTACTTTCTGGTTATTGATGTCACTCTGACTCTTCTCTGGCCACTGGAGTGCTGGTAGTGTGTTATAAATTGGATGCAACCTCGGCCACCTTGAGGAATTGGTGCTGAATGCTGTAAGGGTTTTAAGATTATTTTCAAATTTGAAATTTGCATTCCAACTCTGCAACCGACCTGGCTAACAACCTCGAAGAATACTGCAACAGCTGAACTTGGGCTAAGAGTACAGAATTTCCACTGACAAGTGTTTCCAAGGCCTATTTCTGTTTCGGAAACGCATCGGCCTTTGACGTTCATCGACACACAAGGCCCAATTGCTCCAGACACTGCAAAACTCCCAATTAAAAAGCAATTCTCTTCATTATTATTAAAATTAAAACCTTTGAGCTCTCTTGATGTCTTGACTTCTAAAACAGCGTTGAATGCCATTTTGAAGTCCTGTTTGTGGTCGCGCACGAAGACGCGCTGGAAAGTTTGCTTGAAAAGGGTCGAGTTGAACGAGTCGCCCATAACCATATGGCCACTGTGGAATTTATATTAGTTTTAGCCTTAGTGTGTTGTTTTTATTAGCATTTTACCCTGTAGCATTGCAGCACTGCTTCATTTCTAAAAGTCCAGTCTGATCGAGTGCACAAGAGTAGATGTCTATGGCGTGGCCGTTAGTGGCTGCCCTGGTGGCTAAGCCCTCGTAGTGCTTGATGGCCTTCTTCATGTACTTGGCAGCGTCTTTGTGGATGTCATGGTGAGAGCGGATTGGCTGCTTCAGTTCGTCGTTCACTACTTGTCCAGGGCCTTCAGAACACGAACCTCCGACAAACAGCATTATTCGAGCACCAGTGTTGGGATATGAGCACTGAAATTATGCATATTTTGATTAGAAAAGAAACTGAAAAGAAATTCCGAGCAGTATTATTAAAAAAATTCACGGCAGAGCAATGTTATGTTTGGGGATTTTGTAACAAGAAACGATGATGTTATCAAGGCCAAGGATGACGTTTAATAAACAACTCCACAAAAAAAAAAAATATTTTTTGATTATGAAAAGATGCAAAAGCAATGGTTATAAAAAAATTTGGATTTTGTTCAAGGGACATGATCAGGCAAATTCACAAAGACAAACTGCTTCATCTGTGATTTACCCTGGAGGGATAGTTCTTAAACTCTGGGCCAATACAAAGGGTGGCCTGAAATGCAAATTAAAGAGACCGGAATTACTCCAAATTAAATTTAAATTCACCTCCAACAAGCCGACTGCGATTGAGAGCGCAACACCAGTTGCTCGAAGTGGTCGCTTTCCTTGTGACACAGGCCATGGGTCGTGCTGCAGCTCTCCAAGCAAATCAGTCAAACTCATATCACACTTGTGCACAGGCTGCAAGAATCTGGAAATTTGGGGAATTGAATTGTATGCAATTTTTTTTTTAAATCAGCTGAGAAAATACCTGTTTGCAGGTGTCTGCGGCTGTTGAGGCTGCGGTTGCATCATGGTCGGCATGCCTGGCTGTTGCGGCTGTTGACGGGGAGCAACCGGTGCAACTTTACCAATCCCCAGCATATCCTGGACTTGCTTGGCGGTTAAATCCTTTGTGCCCCTGAAGACATAGCTCCTGGAAACTCCTTCGCAACACAACTCGTGCACCTAAGAATATTTGAAATAATTTTTTAATAAATTAAGAAATAATTGATTGACTGCCAAACAAACCTGAATGATCTTGCCAAAGGTGATAAGTCCTACAAGAGCGTTAGGAGGCAGTAAACTCAGGGACATTTGCAGAGAATCCCGAAGGGCAGTGAGTTCTTCATCGTCAATGCAAGTGTCGACCACAAACAAAAATATTGGTGGCAAGCCTTGGTTGCGCTAAAAGAAATATTGCATTTTTTAATTTAATATAAATATTTGCTTTCTGTTTAATACACACCATCAAAGTGTATTCTATGGTAGAGAATTGTGGAATCAGCTCGGCTGGTTGATGCTGCTCAGATATTGCAGCGTACTGTGGTGGGAACTGGAAATTTGATATTTTTTTTTAACGATGCATTATTGCACTTTTAAACTGATTTTATATACCGGGTTTCTCTGGAAACAAAAGTTGCACACCCACAATTTTGCTCTGTAGTCGACCTGGCACAGAGGGTTGAGGATAGCCCGGCACTGGTTTCCACCACACAAAACAGGGTCATATTGAACGGGTGGCAGATCTAAAAAAATTTTTGATGATGAATTAATTTATGAATAACAATAACATGAAATATTGGTCAATTTATATGGATAAATATTAAAGATCGATGCGGCGGGACGAGTCAACATATTTTGTAAGAAAATGAAAGTACCTGGGCGTTCCTTTAAAGGTTGATAGAGACAGCCCAGTGGCACGACAAGACGCGAGGCTTCGAGTCTGCTCGATGGCCATACATTCCAGGTACAACGGACGCCGTCCCTGTCTTCGTTTTGTTGAATAAATTCCTCGTAAGTGGTCATTTTGCTCCGAACGATGGCTTGCACCAGGGAGCCGCACTCTCAAACCCGCCTTCGTTCCTGTGGTTTGAGGAAATCAAAGTCTTAATGATTATTCGAATGAAAATTTATAGGTAAATTAATTAGTGAATTGATTTTAAGACCAAAATTTGCACAAACACTGCCAAAAATATATAAATAAAATTCGCTGTACCCGAAGTGTCGAGTTGACCGTATTGCCCCGATGACAGATGATAGACCACGTCACTATATAGCAGTGTTACCAACATGATGGCTTAAAACTAAAAATTTATCTCGTTGAAAGATATTTTTTCCACTGCAGCACGCAATGAGAAAATAAACGCTCGATCTTCCATCTTATTTGCACAAGAAATTTTAGATAGTTGTTTTTTAATACAAAGTAAAAGATAATCACAAAAATTCTGTTAAAATTTGAATTAGTTTTGAATAATGAAAGATATTGCAATAAAATCAGTATTTGAAAGTGATATAAAATGTATTAATTTATTTTCATATTTTTCTTTTTAACTTTTATTACCACACCTTTGTTATTTGTTTCATTATCTGCAAAATATGAAGTCTTATAAAAGATTAAAAAGTTTTATTTTTAACTCTTTACATTTCTTCTGTTTCCTCTTAATATATTATTAAACTTCATTTTAAAGCCACAGTTTATCTTACAGACAGATCTTGAAGACCAAGGAAATATTTGCTGATGTACAAAATTGTGCAGAGGAAAATTCGCGGAAAACACATCAGTAGTATTTAATTACTTTTCAAATTTTGTAGTGATTTCCTCGAACGGTTTTACTCCATCTCTCCACTAAATAAAGATATTGAATTAGGTAATTTTTTTTGTATTTAACGATAGCAATAATTACCAATTCTTCAGCGAACTCAGCTTGCATTTTTTGAAAAGCAGGGAAGAAATATCCCTCAACAAACTCTCTCCTAGAACGGAAATCAGCCTGGGCCTTTTGCTTTTCACTAAACAAAAAACAAAACAATATTTTTTTTTCTTCAAATTTGAACAAAATTACCTCCCAACTTTTGACGTCATTTGCTCCACGTCATCGAGTTTTGGCATCTTCTCCTTCTCCTTCACCTTTTGGAAGCAGATAGCTCGAACTATTTCAATCTTTTCATTCAGCTCCTGCTCAGACTGTAAAACATTTTAAAATTATGTGTAATAAAACAATAAATTGAGGTTCATTTTTTTTAATTATACCATTCGGCTAAAGCTCTGGCTCTCAATAATCTTGCTATCAAGTTGATCGCAGTCATTCAATATCTTCTGGAGCTCTTCCTTTTGTGATTCTCCAGTTTCCGAAAGCTATTTTAGAACAAAGTAAGATAACTTGTTTAATATAATAAGAGTTATAAAGGGGTACCTCCTCGATGTCCTTTACAAGTTTCAAAATGCATGAGGTGTCCCTATCATTGTTGAACTCCATGCCTTCAATGCCCTTGCTCCAATAGCTTTTAGAGAGCGCCATCTGCTCTTTGGCATCAGCATGTGTGGGGTTGTGTGTCCACTTGTACTGCTCAGCAAGCTGATGCCCCAGAACAATCTCATTGATCTCATGGATGATGGAGCGGATCTAAATAGAAGACTCGATCAATTAAGACAGATAATAGAAGTTAAAAACTCACATCTGATTGCAACTTGGTTATTTTCAAATCAGAGGTGCCTATAATACGATGGACCATTGCCAGATGTTCGTTTTTAGTCTCAATTTCTAATTTAATTTCTTTGCACTCTTGCACAATTTTGTCCCTGTCGGTGTGTCTCATTGGTTGTCTTTCTACTCTGTCACTGATTTCAGAACACATGTCCTGATATCGATTGTTGTCACCCTCTGTAATTTTTGATAAATTATAGGAAATAACTTAATTGAAAATGATTACCAAGAGATCTTATTGTTTCCTTTTCAGTATTGATTTTTGCTTTCAAAGTGCCACAAGAAATTAGGTATCCTTCAATTTCCTCCTTGTACTTGTTGATTCTTCCTTCGATGATGTCAATTTGCTGGACCTTTTCATCATCCTCAATTTTACGAGGGTCTTCCATGAGATTCTTAATCTCCTGCTGAATGGTGTTGATCATATCATCCAGCTGTAGTTGTTCCTCAGGAGACTCTCCCATTTCGCACACTGAAAAAATGAATTTTTAATCAGGAATTTTTATATAAAATATCACTAACTCAAAACGTCATTAACTTCCGTCTGTTCCAAATCGGGCTCGCCACTTTTGACATGATTGTACCACCTAAGAATGGTGCCACACAGGGCTTTGTGAGTCTTCTGGTCGACGGTATCAACAGGGAAGCTGGTTTTCTCAAAATCCACAGTCATCGTGAATTCAACGCAGTCCACTAACCAAGACAGCATGGCCAAAATTTGAACACCTCCGTGACCTGAACCAACTGGAAGGAAAAATATAAGACAATGAAAAGTTTAGTAGGGAAAATCCTCACCAGCCACAAAACTAGACTTGCTGATGTTAGAAGGATATCCCAAATTCTTCATTATGTTGCTGATTTTGTCTGCGTAGTCACTGTTGGTAACTTGGGTGATGGGATCCAATTCCTTGTAAATGGCGTTGAAAACCTGCACCAATGTTGAATTGCTAAGCGGCTTCAGCTTGATGTTTGCCAAGGCAGGATTCGAACGACGCAAGAAATTCTGTATTTTGGATATGGCATTGGCTTGGAAATTCTTATCGCTGATGGGGCGCGGGTCCTTCAACTTCTGTCCTGCATCAGAAATAATGTGCAACTTGGAGCTGTTGCGCCTAGACGAGGCACTTCTGTAATTTTTATGACATGAAATTTAATGATAAAACAAATTGATAAAAATATTATGCATTTTACCTATTGACAGAGGAGAGGCCACTGTATCCTGGACTTTTGGCTATATTTGTTCTGACTGGGGTAAGCAAGAGTCCTGCTGCTTTACTATGCTGATCTGGGCCTCCTACACAAAAGGTTCTTCTCTTGTCAAGAGTCGGAGGCTCTTGAGACAGCGAACGCTTTCTACTCCTCGACTCTGTGTTATAGCCAAACCTATTGGACCTTGAAGAGGATGGCATGGCCTCTGGGAGCATGAGAGTCTGCCGGTTGCTATTCTGGTTTTGCATGAACCTAAAAATATTTCACTGGGAATTATTGCTGATGGAAAAATTAGAGCCACGGGAATAAAGAATTGGTTTCAAATGAAAAATATACACAATGAATTTATTATTTGTAAGAACATACGAGTAAGAAGCGGCTGGTGGCCTTGGAGCGGATGGCATTTCATTGCATTCCTGGCTGCCTTGGCTGCCTATCATGCGAGATACCAGGGAGGACTTTCTTCGACCTCCCCCGGCATTTCCAAGAGAAACGCTGCTCTTTCTGTTCATAATGATCTGAAAAATTATTAAATCAATTAAAACATTTATGTCAGTAAGGTTTTATTCAACAGCAAGGAAATTTTTCAGGCATAAAAATTGACATTTGATATGAATTAAATTTTCATTGAAAATCAACATTTTATTTACCAATTTCTTAAGCTTCTGATGCAGTGAAGTGTCCTTAACCGACCAGCGTAAGTACCAGGAAGGTCAAGGTCAAAGTTCATCGTCTGTGATGCGAAATATAAAAATTTACAAACGCGGACTGACGGACGAATGCAAACCGCAACAGAAATCAACAATCGCCGCAAACGGTCCAGCTGGATAAAAAGAAACGCGCCAAACAAGTGGAGGAAGGGGGGATTGCTGCTGCGCTCTTGGCTGCGCTTTGCTCTCAAGACTGGTGCTGCCATCTCTGATAGGCGCCCGAACCGCGTTTTGCGGATGCAGGATGCACGAGCAGCTCACCGTGTCCTTTGTTGATGGCTGCATAACCTTCTCAAAACTTTCAGCCGGTGAGCTATAGTCGGATTCACCTCACCTGTATGTAAAATTTCCACGCCCTCCGCGCTCTATTGGGTTTTTTTTTTATAAAAATTTAATCATTTCTGCTTCATTCATTAGCTAATTTGGGTATTGCATCTACAGAGTTTGTCTTTCTCGAGAGGTGCTGAAAAGGACGCTGGTTTTGATGCATTGATTGGCAGCTTTGACCGAAAATTTGGTCTGAAAGTTGAGAAGAGGAAGCTTGCCGTGGTCCAGAGCAGCAGATCAAGACAGCAGGTTAGAATTCGCAAAATTTTTGTGTTTGCTTATAAAATTAATCATTTATTGGCAGTCCCAAGCAAGTTATTTGCTAATGTCTTCATTTAATCAACGCGAGCGAGAGAAAAACGTTTCTTAGCGGGATTCCATCGCTAAATTTTTTGTTTTCTTTTCTCCATCATGTTTAATTTTGCCGAATCTTGGATTTCTACATACATACACTCTAATATCCAATTAATCGTGATTCCAGGATGACCTCCCAGGCGCCACACAGTCGCCGAAAGGTGTGTTATTATTACGACAGTGACATTGGCAACTACTACTATGGTCAGGGCCATCCGATGAAGCCGCACCGCATGCGGATGACCCACAACTTGCTCCTCAACTACGGCCTCTACCGCAAGATGGAAATCTACCGTCCGTACAAGGCCACTGCTGACGAGATGACCAAGTTCCATAGTGACGAGTACATCCAGTTCCTCCGGTCCATCCGACCGGACAACATGTCCGACTACGGCAAGCAGATGCAGCGTTTCAACGTCGGCGAGGACTGTCCCGTTTTCGACGGACTCTTCGAGTTCTGTCAATTATCGGCCGGTGGTTCTGTGGCGGCCGCTGTCAAAATCAACAAGCAAAGTTCCGACATTTGCATCAACTGGGGTGGAGGACTTCACCACGCCAAAAAGTCGGAGGCGTCCGGCTTCTGCTATGTCAACGACATTGTGCTGGGCATTCTCGAGTTGCTCAAGTACCACCAGCGGGTGCTGTACATTGACATTGACGTCCATCATGGTGACGGAGTTGAGGAGGCCTTTTACACCACAGACAGAGTCATGTGCGTCTCTTTCCACAAGTATGGAGAGTACTTCCCTGGAACTGGTGATCTCAAGGACATTGGAGCTGGAAAGGTAAAAAATTAATCCTATAATACAATTAAAATTTCATTTAAATATATATTTTTTCTGTTTCAGGGAAAATATTACTCTGTTAACATTCCCTTGCGAGACGGTATTGACGACGAGAGCTACGAAAGCGTGTTCAAGCCGATCATAGCCAAGGTGATGGAAACCTTCCAGCCAAACGCGGTGGTACTGCAGTGCGGCGCTGACTCTCTCACTGGTGATCGCCTCGGCTGCTTTAACCTAACCATCAAGGGCCACGGAAAGTGTGTTGAGTTTGTCAAGAAGTACAACATCCCCCTTTTGATGGTAGGCGGGGGTGGATACACAATACGCAACGTGTCTCGCTGCTGGACATTCGAGACAGCCGTCGCCCTCGGAGAAGAGATTCCTAATGAGCTTCCCTACACAGACTACTTTGAGTACTTTGGCCCCGACTTCAAGCTGCACATTAGTCCGTCAAACATGACCAACCAAAACACCACCGAGTACTTGGACAAGATCAAGAACCAGTTGTTCGAGAACCTGCGAATGCTCCCTCACGCCCCAGGTGTCCAAATGCAGGCCATCCCTGAGGACGCCATGCAGGTGGACAAGGAAGAGGAGGAGAACCCTGACGCACGCCAGAGCCAGGGCGACAAGGACAAGCGGATCACTGCCAACAACGAGTTCTCCGACAGTGAGGACGAGGGCGACCGCAAAGACCAGAAATCTCACAAGGGCAAGAAGCCGAGGCTGGAAAAGCCAGAGCAGAAGGCCAAAGCTGAGGACAAGCCTCTTGAAGAGACAAAAGACAATGGTAAGGAATTGCTCGTTATAAGCTTTCATTTTTCGAATTCAATTTAAAAACAATTTCTCAATTAAATACTTTGCTATTTGTTTCAGGTGCAAGCAATCCAACTGCCGCCGCTCAGTAACAGCAGCAGGTATTTTAAAGCCAAAATTAAGACTTTTTAACTTTTTTTTTGGTAATTGGCCTTCAAAAATTATTTAGTGCAAATTCAATTCTGACGTGGCTCAATAATCGTTGGTGCATCTGAAAAATATTTTCGACAAAGACAGACAAATCGCGTAATCACGTGTTTGCATTTAAATCAATTTTCTTCCTCTACGTATTGTGAAAAAAGACTGTTATGAAAAAATACCTACAACCTTCCACTTTTTCTCCACGTAATTAAATAATACTACCATACAACTCAGTTGCTTTTTGTAAAGATATGATAAAATAATCACAAATCTTTCTTAATCTTAATTTTTATACCGTTGAAGTTCAATAAATCAGTGTGACATGTGAAAATCTCAGTTTTATTGAAAAGCTTGCAGGCTCAAAAATCACAACTCTTTCTTTTCCATCTTCATTTTTTTAGTCGTCTCCTTAATTTTTGGAGCTGCGGTCATTTTCTTATCTTTCTTCTCTCTACTCTCTGGGGCGGCGGTCGTCTGCTGCTTTCTCGTCTCCGATTTACTTGCAGATTTGTCCTTATCATTTTTGGAGTTGTCATTTTTCACTGGCTGGGCAGGCGGGGCTCCACACTGGCCACTTGTTTCGGGTAGCTTGTGAGTTTTCTGATACTCGGGTTTAACTTTAAGTCCGTTGTCGAGAAAAACGACTTCCCACTCATCTTGAGGTAAAATCCAAACGGGCACATCGTCAACAACCTATTGCCATTACGTTAAAAAATTTATTTAACTCTGATTTGGACATACTTGGTCGTGATCTCCGTAAAACGTCACCACAGGTTTCTGGTCCTTGAGTCTCCAAATTTCAACGTTTTGACTTTTTAATATTTAAGGATGAAAATCAATATTTTGAGTTCAATCTTAACTCTTTAGGGCTAATGAAAGTTCTCAAGAAACAATTTTAAACTAGAGAAATAAGAAGGCGCTTTTAAATAAGGAAATGATGTACTAATTTGTGATATTAGTGAAAAAGGATACTAAATAGGTACAATCTTCTTGTAGAATGCGCACATCTTCTTGAATTGAGTCTCTTTGCAGTTCGTAGGGAGCTTAAATGAACAAATATTTTAGTTCTTCCATTATTATTAAAAGAATAAAATACCTTTACTACAGCACGGACAGCTCCAATATCATCATAGTCTTCTGCTAATGCAATGCCCAGTACAACAAAGAGCGTGAACAATTTTGAAATGAATTTCATGGCTGCAGGGAAATTTTCTGCCAAGCTTCTCAATAGGAAGGTCAACACCAAGTGTCCACTTCAATAAAAACACGCGAGAGTCTGCTTTACGTTTTACGTGTCTTTCCAACTTCCGGCAATTTGTTATACGACACCCTTCCAACTTACGTGGACGAATACCTAACGCTTCACGTGGGACAAAAGTGATAACAAATTTAAACAGTTTTTATCTTTCATTTTTAATGGTTTTTATTTTCATTAAAAAACATTACATTTCCTCTAGTTAAATTTTTTTATTTAGATACGCGGCATCAATTAACGGCCCCCAATTTATTGGTTTGCGCCGTCAACATCATAAATTTTCTAAATTAAAAAATTTAACCTTTTCAATTTTTCATATATGTTATGGTCACAAATCATCTCGAATTTTATGAAGAACTTTGTCCTCTTTAAGTTTTATGCCATAGTGTTTAAACATTTCTCGTAATTCTTCTTGCTTTTTTAAAAACACAAGCTCACGTGCGACTTCCTAAAAAATTTTTTTTATATTAGTATCAAATAACGTGGACTAAAAAGTATTTGAATTTTAGTCTAATTTTATTTTTGTAGAAGTTGAGAAGTCTTCTTTTCTATAAAGGGCAAAAAAAGTTAATAGCTCACATTATCATCCTTGTCATAAAAGACAAATGTAGGCCTCATGCCCTTTTGTTCCACTACCTTAGCATTCTCACTGAAAACAGAAAGACGTGATTTTATTTATTTAAAATAAAGAAAAAAAAATCAGCATTAGATTAAGAACTTTTTAGTCAAACTGTCGTAGCCTGGAATGATTTAAATCAAGAATTAAATCTTTTTAAATGTATATAATCAAACTTAAATATAATCTGATCAAAAGTTACTTCTTGCAATTACACATACTATTTTGGAATGTCTAAGTAGTAAAATTGGGTAGGCCCAGGCCACAAACTTAGCGATCACCCTCCTGGTGACTACAATTAAAAAAAGAATAATATGAAAACTTGGAGTGATAATTATAATCTTCAATTAGCGTCTTACTATAGCTTCAACCCGAAAAACTTGCGAAGATTTTGCAGGCATGGCGCAGATCATCATTGGGAGCACCAAGAAGATAATTCTCATTGCTGGTTTGCACAACTTGGAAATTTCAAAACCTTCGAAACTGCTGAGGTGCTACTTGACAGCAAGTTAGAGGTCTGTTATTTTGTTATCAATTAAATGGAAGGCTTTTTTGTCGTGTTCCGAGAAGCGGGTTTCAGCGACGACGCACCGTGTTTTATCACAAAACTTCTGCCTTGGCACCGCTCGGTGAATTTAAATTTATTTTATATCAAATATACACACCTTTGATGCGATTTCTTATAAAAATTGAGAAGAAGGTTAAAAAAAATTTGGAGGAAAAAAATTTCAGAATTCTTTTCTATATTTAACAATTAATTCCTTTTTAAATTATCTCATTAAAAATATGCAGATAATACATGACCATTATTTATTGCTATTATTATAAATTATTTACGATTATTTATTCATGGCCAGGATTGCAGACGCAGATCAACCACAATAAGTAATAATAATGTATGGAATGGAATTATACATATTGGATTAATGAAAAAAATAGTGCTTCTGTGCCGCGTGGTTTTGTCTTTATAATTTTATATTATTTGGCTGGCGCCACAGAAGAGAGGAAAAATAACAGTCAAAAGCCATCTGGCGTTCAAATGATCTAACATAGAAGTAAACATTTTGATCCTCCATACTCCATAACGAAAACAGTTTTGCGTAAAACATTGTTTTAACAACGATTTCCACCCTATTTCGTTGCACGAGGGCTTAATTAGTATTTGATTGATACTCGACAGTTTAGAAAAATCCTGTAATCATGGGTCGGAGGTCAATAAATACCACGAAAAGTGGAAAATACATGAACCCCACCGACCAAGCCAGTGAGTGTTTTGAATCTAAAATTTATTAATACATACTTCACATTTGAATCAAACTTTAATTTTTCCAAAAAATCACAGGAAAAGAGGCAAGGAAAAAAGAGCTGAAGAAGAACAAAAAGCAGAGGCAAGCTGTGCGGACGGCCGTGTTGAAAGGGAAGGATCCGTCGCAGATCATTTACGAGCTGGAGAAAATCGATAACATGGGTAAATTTTCAAGCATTTAAACAAAACTATTCATAGTACATCTATTTTTTATTTCAGAATTCAACGTTTATCAGCCATCGCCTCTGAATGAAAAAGTTCTCAAGGACAAGAGGAAAAAATTGAAAGAAACCTTCAACCGAGTCATGAAATTATACGTTCGTGAATTAAACTTCCGTTCATTTTATTTATTAAATATAAAATTTATATTAATAATTAAAATGAACGAAAATTATTTTCTAAATTTTGGTTTTATGTAGAACAAAGAAGATCCAGACAAGTGGGTTGAGATGAGGAAATTGGAGATGGAGTACGACAAGAGGCGGGCGCTGCTAATTCAGTTTTATGAGAGCGTCAAGTATGCCCAGAACGTGTCCGTGAATGAAATCCCACTGCCAAGCATCAACATACCGGACAGCATGACGTCTAGCATTCCTCTACCAACAGACATGCCGTCGTCCATCGTTCATGGCATATTGAAGAAAACTTCAGCTTATGGGTAATTCTAAAAATCACAGTTCTTTACACAACACAATCGGTGGGTTTAATCAATGAGTTTAATTTTCACTTCAATTTGAATAATTAATAAAATATTAGCAGGATTTTGAAAAGAATTGGGTGAGTTTTTTACAATGAAATAAAAATAAAGCCACACAATCCAATATAACTTTAAATTGGTCAATTGGTCGTTATCTCATTTAAATTAAACCAACCTTTATTGTTGCAGGATAATTGATGGACAGTGTCCTGGTGTTCCTCCAGGCCCTCCACCTGACTTGTCTGCTGAGGACGACGAAGGAATCGATGGTACCCTATTGATGAAAACTGCAAATTTCATGACTGATTTATTTTTCCTCAGCAGAAGAGGCAATGGAAGCTGTTATAGAAGAGCGACCTAGGACTATTAGATTTGCTGAGGACAAATCCGAAGAAGATTTGGTTCCTCCGGCAACAGAGGACGTTGAACTGCCTAATAGCTCGAAACCACAGCCGACAGCCTTGCAGCAAAAAATGCTACAAATGGCTGGGCAGGATATTGACGAGTTCATGAAAGAGGTCAGATTTTAACACTAATATCAATAAATTAAAATTAACTTCTTTGAATTCAGATGGAGGAGGTTCACCGGAAGAGAGAGCAAGACAGACAGGCTGATTTAAATACCAGAATATCGAGGCTAGAATCCGAGGACAAACCTGTGGATGAAGTTCCAAAGTCCATCCCTGGCATGATTGGTTAGTTTTTTTTAAAAAGGGTTCTCGAGTCAATTAATATTTAATTTAATTTGTAGCTCCACCTCCGCCACTGATGTACAGGCCTATGATGAGGCCCATGATCCCGCCACCCCCTGGCATCAGAATGCCACCTGGTCCTCCACCCACGAGGCCAAACATACCACCACCGCCTCCGGGAATGAGAATGGGCATGCGAATGCCTCCTGGTCCTCCTCCAGGCATGCCACCGAGAATGCTCGGAAACATGCCGCGGCCGCCCGGTGTGCCGCCTCCGCTCGGAATGGTGCCGCCCCCACCAGGTGCCAATCCCAACGTATTGTCTGCCGCCCCTCAGCTTATCACAAGGCAGCAACCTACGGAGTCGACTTCCAAGAAACAGGGCGCCACCATTGAGGCTAAACCTCAGATCAGGTACTTTCATTTTATTATATTGTTTCAATTGAAATGAACTCAAAATGTTTGCAGAAATCTGAGTGCTGACATCACTCGATTCATGCCCATGTCAGTAAGGGCCAGGAAGGACGAAAAGCCAGGAAAGAAGAGTGACTTACGAGCCGAAGCCAACAGCTATGCAAGGGCTCAACTGCAGGCAGCTGCCGCAGCCCATGCACAGGCCAGTGGCCAGAATAAGGATGATGCTTACATGCAGTTCATGAATGAAATGTCATCATTGTTGTAGTTCTTTGTCATTTGTATCCAGGATGTATGATTGAATAATAATAATTTACAAACATTATAAAATTTTATGAAGTATGCACCGTATACACATAATTCAGAATTTCCTGTAATATTGTTCATGTTTTAGAACATCGAAACTGACAAGGAATACTGCAATAGTTCTAAAACTAGATCTTCAATAATTTTCTTAAATAAATGATTATGTAAGGAAAAATCAGCTAGAAAGTGGATAAAGATAAAAAAAAAGTATATGTCAATTTAATTCTTGACTTTTGCCTATGTAATTATTTTGGTGGGTCAATGAGCTTCATGATAATTATACTGGTAACACACTCCCCCTATGCGGCATGCAGTGGAACTACAGGCGTAAACATTGCCACTCTTCCGATCTTGCTTCCGATGCTTCAGCTTCCTTCTTGGCTTCTGATTTCGTCTTGTCCACGCTGCGCCCTTTTTCCTCTTTTTTAATCGAAATTGTGCTTAAAAAAATTTTTGAAACTAATCGTGACTCTGGTTTTCTTAAACGTTCATCCTCATTAATCGGGAAAACTGTTAGAAAATCATGGGTGTAAGTTTTGATAATTTTAAGGAGAAATTTAAAAAAAAAATTAAAACTACAAAAATATACACCGGTCGAAGAATTTTCTGTTTATGCACTATTATTTTTTCATAACATATCTCTTGTGTTGTTCTGTATTGTCAACTCATAAAATTACGGATATATTTTTATGTAATTTATTTTTCAGGTGCAGTAAAAATTAAACTGACCCTGAACTGACCATGGATCCGCCGCCTATGAACGAAGATCAGGCAGTGCCTACTGCAGAGGTAATGGACACGTCAGAGAAACAATCCAATGATGAACAACTGCGGACGGTGCTTGACGAGACTTCAACCCTACTAGGTTTACCAGAACCTAACCAGCAAGAAGCACCCGAGGCATCGAGTTTGGACAAATGCAACTCACCATCTGAAACACAACAAAAACCAGAAGGCGAAAGACTTGCGGCGACAAAGCCTGACGTCTCTACTGCTTCCACAAACATAAAATTTGTGCAAATTGCTCAGGCCTCTGTTCAGTTTTCTTCCTCACACCAAGAGCAATACCTGAAAGGCTGCAAATGGGCCCCGGACGGCACCTGCATCCTGACCAACAACTCTGACAATGCCCTGCGAATCTACAACCTGCCAAGTTTTTTGTACGAACAGTCCAGCATTCTCCCCTCGGAGCCGGAACTTGTTCCCCAAGCAGTGGTCATCAAAGAGGGTGGCCTTATTTTGGACTACTGCTGGTACCCTCAGATGTCCTCGATGGACGCCGCCACCTGCTGTCTCCTTTCCTGCAGTTCCAAGTGTCCGGTGCATCTGTGGGACGCCTTCGACGGACGCTTGCGTGCCTCTTACAATCCAATCAACAGGGTGGACGAAGTGGAAGGCTGCTACAGTCTGGCGTTCAGTGCGGACGGGCAGAAGTTCTACTGCGGCTCTAAGAACTTTGTTCGAGTGTTTGACCTTTGTCGTCCGGGACGAGACTGCGAGACCAGAGAGCTGAAGCATCACAAAACTCCGGCCGAATACAGGCAGCCGGGAATTGTGTCTGCCATTGCTGTAAACTATGAAAATCCCAAATTGTATGCTGTTGGGAGCTACAGGAAGAGTGTTGGTCTGTACTCGGAACCAGACGGGCGGTTCGTCAGTCTCTTGCATGGACACAAAGGAGGCATCACACAGCTATCTTTTTCTGCCGATGGCTTAAAGCTGTTCAGTGGTGCAAGGTAATGGAAATTTTAAATTTTCATAAAGGTATATTTTTTTCTAAGTAAAATGATGAATTAACAATATTTATTTATTTTATATTTTATTGCAGCACATAATATTTATGTTTTTTTTTCCAATCAATTTTCTCTTGATTATTTTAAATTTTTGTGCTTCTCAATTATTTTTGAATTAATACTTTTCAATCTCTGTTATTTGTCCCCGCAGAAGTGACAATGAGATTATTTGCTGGGACATCCGCTCTCCTGGCTGCATCCTGGCTATTCTGCAGCGCAACGTGGCCACCAGCCAGCGTGTGCAGTTTGACCTGAACCCTGACGGACTCCTCTATTCAGGCAACACTAACGGTTTGGTGACGGTTTACGATGTGAACCAAGCCAGTGGTGAAACCTGCCCTGTTGGGGTCAAGAGAAGTTGGAAGGCGAGCGGCGACTGCATAAATGGGGTGAGTCTGCACCCCACCCTGCCAATAGTAGCCACAGCCAGTGGCCAGCGTCACTTTGTTGCCTTTGAAAAGGACGACGACGATGAAGAGGAGGAAGAGGGTGAGAAGGAAGAAATCGAGTGTTGTTTGAAAATGTGGTGGCTCACTGAAGATAAGTCGTTCTGTGATAACAATTTATAGTTGTTTACTTTTCAAACTCGCAGAAAATAATTAAATTTGAATAAAAGGATTTGTATAGTTTTTTCCATTGATTGCAAAGATGATCATATTATAGAGAAATTATTCCTATTTGTTTGATTTTTTATCCTACTCAATTAATATAATATTTTAATTTTTAATATTTATTCCAAAGAATTCATTCGAAACATTATTATTATTTTGGAAAATGTTAAGAATTTGTATTTTATTTTTGTATATTTACAAATCCTTTGCATTGAGAATAATCAAAGGAAAATAATCAAAACAAAGTTAACCTCTAAAAAATAATTAGCTAGAGTTGAAAATTGCAACCAAAAATCCATCAAATTGATAATTTGTTACAATTTTATTAAATTTTTTAATTTTACAATGGGAAGTTTTGAATTTGTCTGGTGATAGACAACGGCGCAAAAACGGCCAATAAATTTTACGACGTCGGGCCAAAAGTGTAAAGCTGTGAAAAAGAGGGGGAGCCGAATAAAATCGATCTGCATATCAAAAGACGCGCGATAGTTAAAATCTCTCTTCACAGCACCAGCGGCGATCGCAGATTTAAAAGGCCGGCCGGCCGCAGCGGAGCGAGCAGAGTGGCTCAGGGCGGCCCGCGGGACGGCGTGATTGGCCCGAGTTACAACAATAAATTAATAATGACACGATGTGACATCATCCTTAATTTTATGCGAGCATTTTTTATTGCTTTATAGGCGCGGCGCGGTGAGTGTGTTGTTGGTGCCTGTGTACAAACAGACGCGCGAGAGGGAGAAAAGAAAAGAGAGAGATGCTGCGAGGGCTACTGCGATGCTGCTGCTGCAGATCAAAGGTGTGATTCACTGCCACAAATAGCCATCAGGTGTGGTTGCCTGCCCGCTTGATTATATTCGCCGTCCCAAATCGCCTTTCAATTAATCATGCGGCCGATTTCGCGCGCGCACCGACACACTCACACTCGCCTGCTGCAATATTATTGTTGACATAAAGGGACATTATTTATTGTCCGCCTCGCCACACCTTCGATAATTACGATGAGAATCTCGCCATTGAACTCGACACTTTATGGAAAACCTTGAAGCGTTGTTTTCAATTTGCATGCGAGAGAGACGCATGTACATATTTGTGGCGCGCAAGCCGCGCACTAAAGGGGCTTTCTATTTTTTTTCCTCCAAAATAATGATATGCATTGTGCAAAATACAAGTGAAACGACCAATGCGCATTTCGTATTAAGGACTTTTTCAATTAAGACTTGATGTGACTGATCGATTAATGCACAACAATACTGCTGGGAAAACTGCTTCTCTGGTGTGTGCAAAATTATGACACTAATTTTAATGCAGATTATTTTAAACTTGCAGAATTTAATACATATTTCCAATCAATATTAAAATCTTTTCCACCATCCACCGTTTTTGTACCGTCAATCTCAAAATCAATTTGAAACGAAGTTTTTCTGGATATAATTTTTACAATTTTTTAAGCTATAGCTGCCACGTTAATTAATTTTGCATAACTAATTTTTAGTTCCACGTTATTAGTTATAGAAAACGGAAATTTAATAAAAAAAATTAAATAGCAATATGTAAGAAAGGCTGATAAAGTAATAAAATTAGCCTCTTGAAAATATTGAAAGGCACATAAACATAATTCATTACAACCATCTTACGTTAAAAAACAAGCAAATGAATGTTTGAAAAAATCAAGCAAATAAAATACAGCCTTTTTGTAAGCCAGTTCTGTAATCGATATCCATACAAACGAAATCTTTTCCAGATGCTTCTTCTAATTTCTCCAAGAACAAACTCAAGCGTTTGGGTTTTTTTTAATTTTTATTTAATAAATCAGCAAGGCCGACAATGAACTAATCCTCACCAAAGTGGTGTTTTTCAATTTAAAAGATAAGCCCCATGTTATTTTTGCGTATGAACTAATGCTTCTTAAGGACGTCCAGTTTAAAAAAATTTAAAATACTCGTTGACCACACCATTAAAAATGTATTCGAACACATAAACTGCTGCAAATTAATGTTCCCTGACAGTCCAACATGATATATTAAATTTTCGCACGTGAGTGAAACTTTTAATTATTTTACTGGAACCATTCGCCGTCCGCTGTCGAGCGAATAAAACGCATAAAATTCGCCATGACTCATCCGCGGTATTAGCCTCGGGCAAAAACGAGGCGCTTAAATGCGGCGCGCACAAATTTATCAATGATTGCTTTTTCTGGCGCCACAAAGAGAGCATCATGGTCGTCATCTTGAGAGATATTAATATTACGAAAAGCGATCCGCCGACGAGGTCAAAATTGCATGTGTAGCAGTGGCCGAAAGGCCGCAGCAAGCGCCGGCTGGCAGCACCCATATCCAGAAGGCGCCGTCCGGCCGCGCGCGCGCGTATACTTATCGGCCGCGCGAGAAGGCAGGTCGATTCATAAGCGAAGTGACTCTCGGGGTCAATCCGAAATGAGCGACCGACCCGCCTTAAATCAACAGTGTCTGCCGCCCCACGATGTCTCGCCACTGAAGCTGCCCCTCAAGTAAAAACTCCATTACGCCAATTTGTCTCAGTTTCCGCGATTGTTATTTGTCCGACTCTTTTTTCGCGTTATCTGATTTTTTCGGCGTGTTTTGGTGACGATTATTGTTTTCTGGCGATTTCGATTTACGCTTGATGGGTCGTCACAATCATATTAACAGATGTAGTAATACGCACTTCCATAATTATCTTGGCGCCAGATCGCTTTTATCGGTCAGGTGCGAATCCTTGAAAATTATTTTTATCGCTCGAGGAAAGAGGCACTGAAAAAAGCAGTAAAAACAATCAAGAAGTGGATAAATGGACGTTAGCTCAAGACAAATCGTAATCTGACAAATCTTGAAAAAAATATTCTGTGCTTTCAACTCTGTCATTTTGCTATATGGTAAAGTAATTTTTGCGTCTTTTAATTCTTAATTTAATTACACAATAATCATGTTATATAAATGCATGCCCAAACAGAGTCATGAGCTAGGCCAATAATACATATCCATAAATGAGAATTTTTCCAAGAAAGTAATTTGGGCAAGTAAACAACAAAAATGACAGTAATCCAAACCTAAAGTCTTGTTTAAAAAATTTAATAATGAAGAATCCAAAGGAATAATTTAAAACGTCTAGAGCTCTTTTTAATTATTTGACAGTCTAAGGAATGCTAGTTCTTTTTTATCCTTTTTATCGTCACTTTAAAATTAAAAAAGATTACTAAAAAAAAATTTATTCAATGTTTATATTTTTTAAATAAATATTTTTACAATTAAATTATTATTTTTCAGTTTTTTTTTTTTAATTTTCTTCTAAAACAGAGAAAATTAACAAGATTATGGCTTTTATGCAGAATATTCATTTTTATTTAATTTTAAACAAAATTTTTAATACAACCAGCTCAAACTGGAAATAAGAGCACCATATATCTACTTTTTTCCGCTTTTTTCAATAAATAATTGAAACCAGGAAATTTATTTGTATTTATCATCAGAGTCCCAACTGTAACACACATTTTAAATGAAAGTTCTCTAATATAATTTCAACTAATCAACAAACAATAAACACGGTAAATCTAAAATTTTGCGACCACACTACAGCATTTCAACCAAATATAATTGCCAGAGGCAAATTTGACCCTTCAACCTTGGAACGGAGCTTTGCCAAGCCATGACAAACGTTCAGGAGAGGTTTGTTTTTGCATACGGAGAGGAGCAGCATTCGAAATCTGCGAATTTTAAATCGACGCTCACGTTTGTGTTGAGTCATAGCAAAATTGCAAAAAGCAAAACACGGACGGACGGACGGCGACCCTCGAGTTGGATAAAAGAAAAGCGTGTCAAAAGCGGTGCGCCATCAAAGGAGCACCGCGACACACAATGACCGGCCGCGGTCTCCGAGGTGGGCCCTCAGATGCACGGGGTGTGCTGCTGATAAATGCGCGCGCGCCGTGTTTTCTCGCACCTCTCGGATGACGTATCGATGAAGAATGTGGTCCGAATTTGAAAAGAGCATTATGCCCGTGCGTTTTTTTTTTGCTCATACGTACCGGCCGGGCTTGTTGCTGTCGTGGTGGCGTGCGAATTATGAATAGCAATCGGCGATGGCCTGTGACCCGCGAAGAGAGTGCGCCCGCCGTCCGTGTGGGCTGAATCATCGCGCGAGAAGGCGCGGCGGCCGCGGCAATCCCAGCCAGCACACATCAAAATAGACAGACCTTCGAGCAGTCCATACTTTCTTTGTCAGGGAATAAAAATAAAATCAGTCAATCATTAGTCACACGCATTAATCTCTATTTTCACGCTCGACACTCTGTGGCGCGGCTGAAAAGACCATCCACATTGTCTCGATCGCCGTTCACACTAAGTTGCCGCCGCCGTCTCTCTCGCGGCGTGTGCGTGATTCCATCTCTAGTCCGTGATCGCTGGTACACGCCGCGTCGTGTCATTGCGATTTGCACGGGTGTAGATCGATTGATTTGATTATTGGTCTGCAACACGAGCCTTTGTCTGAATTTCGCGACTCAGATTCCAACTAGGGGAATCAAGAAATGTCGGCGAACACGTGGGAAAAGTTGTGCAATCAAATCAATTTGCAAATTTTAAATTTATAGACACAAAATACAATGTTATTTCAGTTTTTAAGTTTGAAATTCTTGTTTGTACTTAAGAAAGGGAATAAAAACACCAAAGATCTCTCAAAACGTTGACAGTTGAATTACTAATTTCACTTAATTTAACGTAGTTTTAGGTTTTTTTTCTAAATGAAAAAGTTGCGATTATAAAAGTGTTTTTATTTTTGTCTTACTTCGAAAGAAAGAAAAATATTATTGAAAATCTGTGGTTTATTTAGTGTTAAAATTTAGCATAATGAATAATTATAATCCGTGTAAATTTTTTATTATTATTGCTTTTTATTTGTCCACATTTTTACAAATAAATTTCTCACATTCATTTGTTGAAAACAATTTATTCAAAAAGGAATTGTTGGAAAAAACAGCACCACACCTAGCAAGAATTTCGCTAAAACTGACGAGAGAAAAAAGAACTCATCCGCCGCAGTGAGCCTCGAATTCTGATGAAAAAATTTTGCTTATAGTGAGAGCGAAGTACAAAAAAATATTATTTCTTTTTACTAAGAAATCTCTTTTTTTCATCCCTTAATTCTTATTTTTTTCACTATATTTACTCAAAGGTATAAATAATCAAATTTTGTATAATTATTGTGTTCTAAAATTATTATGACATGGTATATTGTAATATAACTATGCTGAAGAGTGTTTACGCTTGAAGCAGTTTTTTACGTTTTTTTAATATATCTAAATTTGCATTTGTTTTAAGATTTGACTTAATTATATTATAAGTATGTGTTATTTTAAATAGTAATTTATTAGAAATAAAATTGGTACCTCTTCTATTACACCGGCATTTAACAAGGAAAAGATAAAAGTCAACCTACACAATGTCTCCGATTCCAATTAGAACAAAATAAACTACAATTTATTGCAAAATCTGGCTGTCTGAGATCTCTGATGCGAGGACAAACAAGACCGTCATAAATTAATATTCAACAAGAGACCATAAATTTCCAGCAGCGCGGAGAGGCGAGCAATTAAAAGCAGTTGTGTTATGTCTGTAATTCGAGAGGCTACATTGCAATAAACCCTCGATTAGTAGCCCACAGTAGCATACATATATGAGATCAGCAGGTGTCCGTGTTATTCGTGTATACGCGTATAAGGATTCGAAGGAAAAATAAAAATCTGGAAAAAAAGAATGCAGTGTACAGTAAATGCAGCGCAGCGGAAAACGAGGTGTCGCCGGAGCGCGCGGGTTTGTGTCACCGGTGCCGAAAGAAAGAGAGCGCATGCAGTAATTATTTTCTTGTTAAAATTAAATAACACGTTCGGCGGTGGAAGCAGCAGAAGGCTGGGAGCGAGATCGGTGTGGTGCTGCCTTACAAGTCGCTGGCCGCCGCCCCTGCCGCTCGCCCACCGCCGCTTCCTTCTTGGACGACGCGGCACCTCCACAGAAAATCGCAGAGTTTGCTCAATGAAAATGCCATTAAAAAGAGCACGTGGGCTCTCTCCCTCTCGCGCATGGAAATGTTGGTCAAATTAAAAAAAAAAAAAAAAAAAAGGAAAAAGAAAAGGAGCGCGAAAAAGGAACGAGAGAGCCGTGCCGGAGAGCTTTAATTTATGATTAGCGCCTGTGTTTTGGTTTTCCATACTTGGACTTCGGGGGTTCTCGAGTGAGCGGTGGGCAGATCTTAAAAGTTATTGACTGTGGAGGGCTTCAATGGACGTCCCACACGCAGCTCGCCGCGAGATGTGGGATTCGCCGCCGCTGATGCCGAACCATTCACATCTCGAGTCGCTCTCTCGCGCGAGAAGAGAGGGCACAATATGCATAAATACGCGCTCGCGAGTGCATTAGCGCTCATTTGTTCTTTGTTTTATTTATTGGCGCCTGCGGAGGTTTACGATATTGCGGTGCCGCCGCCGCGCGCTGCCCGTTGTTCGCGGAAGGCAGAAATTGCTCTTGACAGATAAAAATCAAATGACGCTGCCAATTTGCTCCTGCGCGACTCCTAAATGCCGGTTTTGTGATTTACGAGATGGGGGCCTCTGCGCATTATTCTCTTTTCCTTTCTGTGAATCGCAACCAGGATGTTTCCATTGTGTCTGATATCTATTTTCAAACAGAAAGAAAACAAAACTTCAATTCAAAACGGGCACTTTTAATCTGCGCAACACGAAAAATAAAGAGAGAAAAAGAATCATAAAAAAGATCCGCGCTCGTAATTAGAGGGGAGGTGATTTTTTCCTTTTTCAAGAAAAAAACTAAGTTCGGTTTGATAAGAAACGTTAGCAACGTTTGAAACAAGTTGTAGTAAATTATGTAATTTAGAGTGGATATAAAATTTGTGTTAGAATGAATTTTTGTTTATAAATAAAATAAAATAATATTAAGAATTATAAATGAACTAAATTTTAATTCAGCACATTTTATCAAATACATACATCAGTTTTGTTTTTGCACAAAAATTCAATTATAGATCTTGATTATTAGCTAAGTAGGGACCACTTCAAATCTGCCAGTTTACAGAAATTCTGATAAGCATATTTTTGTTATTGTTTATCTGCTTCATAGTTTTAAATGAAAAGGAATTTAGAAAATTTTCATTAACAAAAATCTCCTCAACTGTAGAAAATCTACTCATCAGATTAAAAAGTTAAAGGATGCAAATTTTGCAAAATTGAATTACGAATGCATTCTTCAATAAAAGAAAGTGAAGGAAAAATGTTGTTGAGACGTTATAAACAAACAAAGTTTTAGCGTAAAAGTAAAATATTGATTAAAAATAGTGAACTAAAAATTATTAAAAATAATAACAAGGATAATAATTTTGACGCCGGAGTTAAATAATCTGCAACGGTCTCAAAGCATATCATCAATCCTCACATCAGTCCACGCGACATCGAAAATCTTGCTGGAGGCGTCACTTCACTTTTTCGCAACACCTCGCACGCATTAGTCAAAACACACCAAAACATCATTAGCAAAAGCGAGCAGATAAGACAAATGGCTCATCAGGGCGCCATAAAACGATGTTCCCGCCGGTGTCATATCTCAATTAAGCGGCCGGTCGGCTGTGTGGAGGCGGCGCTCGGTCGTTAAAATTAACGCCGCACCGCCAAACGTGGCGAGCGCGACACGCACAAAAGCCGCGAGATTGCCAATTTCTTAAAAGGGAAGATGAAAAATGGGTTCGCTCGGTGCCATTTGACGTTCTCCAAATTTGGCCAGGCCGTGTGTTATTATATTATATATATTATTAAAAAAAAGAAGAGAGGAAAGAAAAATCACAATAGAAACAGCGGGGGAGAAAGCGAGTCAATATCCTTTTTGCATTGTGTATGTTTTTGTCATTCGAGTATCAAAATAAAATCCCACGCGGCTTGTTTGTCTTTATGGGTCGTTAAGTGTGCGCTCAGTGGGCCGCTTATTGGGTGAAGGCGGCATATTTTCACAGAGGGTTGCAGACGCGCACAGCACCTGTGAAATCCTGCTCGCTGCAGCCGTAGGTCGGACCCTTGTGTGGGTCGCGCCGCTAAGAGCTGCCTCGTCAAACCCACACCACGCACCACACCACCGCGTCTTCTGCCCTCAAGTTTAGGAAAATTCCACGAAAATCGCTCGTTTCCTCGTTTGCAAACGGTGCCTTATTTATATTCCGACGCCCAGCAGGGATCCGAACGCACTTTCGGGTGCACGTTGGCGTCGACAAATTGCCCTTCGCCGAAGAGGCCGACTTTTGCGCAGTTCCTACAAGTGCCCAGCGGGTGCTTGCGAATCCCACTTTAATTAATTTAATGTCAGAAGGAAGTGTTGTTTCAGTTTGATTAATAATTTCGATTTGGAAACGAATTTTAATTTTTAGATTTAAATTACTTAATTAAAATATGCTGTTGGGTAGTTTTACTTTTTAAAAAGTTTTAAAACTTTTAGCCAAAGCAGGTTATTTTAAGTTATCTAATCAAATTAAATAATTTAATTGTTTTTTAATTTTCAGATTTTTCAACAATTTTGAGACGGCAGAGGAAATTTAATATAAATACAGTCTTGGAGAAATTTCGAATTATGTTGGAGCTCTTTTTAAGAAAATCATACCTGTTAAGGGTTCATAGGCAACCGGTCACTCTGACGTGTTGTGCAGACTGCCTACCTGTGCAATGATCAGGGATCGTCGGTGGATGCGGGTGGCTGCGTGCTCGCCTGTGTCTCTCAAGGGTCTCGTGGGCCCGGCGAGGTGAATGGAGCGGACGGCCGGAGAGTGGGTGTCGGCAGGCTGGCTCCTGGGCGACACTGAAAGTTGGTCATCAACAGGTGTGGCAGGCGCTTGACGGCGACGCCGAGTTGAGATTCTGCATATATTTGGCAGCAGCCTCTTAATATTTTTTTTTTGCTCGATGAAAGGCGCCTCTCCTCTTTCTCTCCAATTATGTGCGAATATTTGGAGGCCGTTATTTGGCAAATTGCGCAAACTTGCGTTTCTCATTTTGTTCTGACCTTTTTAAAATTCATCGTGAATGAGCAAGAAAGGAAACCACCGCGATTCTAGTTTAAATATTTTTATTGCTAATTTTCTTTACATTTCTTTCGTAACACTGGGACGATGATTCAATTGCTGCACCGGGACAATTTGGTTGTAGCCTCAATAATTTCAAATCCCGCTTTTTGAGTTTTATAGACACTTATATAGAATTTTCAAAATGGCAACAACAGGAGGAGAAATTTTCTGCCAGACGACTTTTTTTTAAATATTGCTTATTTCTTTCTTTTTATTTACACATAGTCAAGGATTCGATTAACAATAACAAATTTGTGCTGCAGGATATTTTTAGTTAATCTCTCTCTAAAGGCTTTTCTTGATTTATATAGGAGTGCGTTTTTGTTATAATTCTGCATACAATATATAATAATATGCACGTTGAGTTTCTCTGTACAATTAAATATATATCTCTGTCGCCATTAAACACTTAAGAGCCGCCCTTCATCCGACACACAATTCGTTCGCGGCTCGTGTATTTATTATTTTTTGTTGTTTAATATCACTCAAGAAAGGAGCACTTTTGCATCGAAACTGTTTTGTAAAAAGGGTGCGTCGTCGGCCAATCTCATTTACTTGCGAGTGAATCTCATTAAACGATTTCTTTCTTGAGCAATGCGATTTCTCCTTTTCTACGTTCCTACTGAGGTACATGAATTCGCAGAGTCGCCATCTTCTCTCTATTATCTCTTTTAATACAATAGCAATAATTAGGCTAGCCATTATGTATGTACATGCAATATAATTATATGCACAGGAGTTGGCTGGTTTGCATAAGCTACAGCTTCTCTCTCTCTTTCTCAAGTCTTCTAAATGCAGCACTTTTCTTGTTTTATTTTTCTTGTATAATCCGCGCCGTTCGTTGAAAAGGTAGGAATGTGCGGTGAGAGCAGTAAATTTGGCAAAATGGCACCCGAAACCGTCCGCGGTTTGACAATATCAGTACCATCATTAAATTAATCAATAATTTTGAAATTTAATATTGGCCATTTCTAACTTTTTTCTTTTTCATTAGATTTATACACATCAAAATACTTTGTCTCCTTCACTGACTAACAAGTTCAGTCCGTTAAAATGCGTTTTTCCGCCAACATCAGCCAAATATTCATTTTCGTCTATGCAAACTCTTGTCGTAACTAATTTTGGGACACATTACTGGCATCGTTGAGGAAATCAGCGGCTCAGCCGCCAGTCCGGGTACCGCGTTTCGGCCATTATTTGACAAAAAACTGCTGTGGTTTTATAGCGAAAAGAATTTTGAGGGAGAAAATCCCAAGACTTCCAACATTGATATTAGACTTGTCAGACTCAATAGGTAAAAAAAATTCAGCAAAATTCAGATGTATCAAAATGAATTGAGAAATAAATTTGGTTTAAATGAAAAAAAAATTAATATTTAATTAACAGGAATATAATAAATAGGTATTTAAATTCAAAATTTTGAACTGGGCCCAACTTTCTGACAAGTCATCAGGAAAAATTGCACATACATAAGTTAAGTAAGACTCTCTTTGCAAAGCGGCATAATATTCGAAACAACACAATTGCCCGAGCACTCAGGTTCCGTCAACGGCCACACGCACTAATGCACGTCCTGGGGATCACGTTGTCAGTGTGAGTCAATCCGTTTTGGGACAACCGCACTCGCACCTTGTGACCACGGGCACCTCGACCTTGATCCACTTGCAGCCCTTCTCGTACTTGTGGCTGCAGTGCCACCTGAGCAGAGTCTTGTAGTCGGTGCCTGCCACCTGGCAGTGCATGCCAGGCGGGATGGAGCACGAGTGCTTCCTCTTGGGGCAGGAGCCCTCTTTGATCCACCGCGGCCAGAACCTGCGGCCCACGTCCCGCCATTTGAACACGACCGGGCACGCCGTGTAGGCCCACAGGTAGTTCTGCAACTTGTACTCGAGGCGGTCGCTCTTGACGCTGGATAAGCCCTGCGAGCCGTCCGGCAGCCACAGGTAGCGGAATCGCACCTTCCGAAGGTAGTCGGGCAGCTTGTCAGGGTCCTTGGGCACCAGGCGGCCGTGCCTGTTCCTCCGGAAGGGGAAATCCGAGTCCAGCACCGAGCTGTTCTTGAAGGTCAGCGGCCGGTGGATGGACATGAAGTTGGGGTCGAAACGACTGCCCAGCGCCTTCCGCAGGCTCGAGTGGTTGATGTCGTTCGAGTGGGGGTCGTACTTGGGGTCGGGCGACTCTTGCAGCCAGGGGACGTTGAATCCGTTGCTGGCCGTCAGGCCCGGTTCATTCGGAGGAAGCTGGCTGTCGTTGTTGCCGCGGCCGCCGGCCCGGTGGCGGTTCTTGCCCTTTGCAGCGACGACGGAGACGACCAGGGCTGCCAGAATCCACGCGCGCATCTGCGAACAGAGAAAGAGAAAATTTGTTTAAAAAAAAAAATTGAATTTGATTTGTGTCTCTATTACGAGTGAGGAGGTGGAATGGAAATATTGTACGCGTGTGCGCGCTTTTTTTTTAGAAGTTGAAGGGCACATAAATTTGCGTGTGGAAGACGAGAAGAAAATTGGTCGGGCCCACGCACTGTACACGCGTCGGTGCTGCTTTTATTTGCGACAAAGAGACCAGCGCAATGAGAGATAGGGAGAGAGATGAAAAATGCGAAGGTGTTCTGTCTAATGGGATTTTTCGAATGGGCGCATTACTCTCCCAAATAATTGGCGCCACGTCTGTACGGCTTGAGTGCTGGCAGAATTTGTTGCTCAAGTGTCCTTGAGTTACTTCATAAAAGTGGCGAATTAAAAAAAATGAATTAATTATTATAGGCCGGTGTAAAGCAATTTAAAAATTAAATTATTAGTATTATAATTTAAATAAAAGTATACCAAAATCTCTCACCTACGGCTTTCTTTGATTTTTTAATATTTTGCAGCTATTATTAAATTTAACATAATTCATAAATCAAAAGTTATATTAAGGATGTGTTGAAAGATGTAATATGAAATAAAAATTTACATTTAAAACATTTATTATGTTTTATTAAATTAATTTTTAATTATCATTCGTTAATTTTTTTTTTTATTCACAATTTATTAGAAAAAATGTGGATTTTTAAAAATCATTTTCAATTAAAATTTGCTCATTTATATTTGTTTTCCAAGCTCGGGTTTCCTCATTAAGCTGTAAATTTGAATTGAGAGTAGATTTAAAGAGATTCTCAGCGTTATTTAATGACGCATTATATAAAAGGGAGGATCAATCGGTTGCAAAAGCAAAGCCCACCACTTTAGGGATAGGGTATATCCTTAAATTGGCAAAAGGAAGCAATAAAATTCAAAAGCTAACAATTTTTAGCATAATAGCCAATAAATCTGATTACAAAATAAAGGTGTGTGCACGCAATTTTGTAGCAAAAGCCAGATTTTATTTCTCCTCCGGACGCCCACAGTCGTGTAAGTTCCCCGTTGCCGCGACTTATTATTATTCGTTCTGTGTTGCACCTTTAGATTTTATTGTCTTTCCAGCGTATATCCATTTTATGCGTTCTCCGCGAGTGACCGTGTAAACACGTTGTCAAAAGCAATCATTTTTCATTGTACGTACTTACCGCGCGGGTAATTCAGACGGATGTATGTAATATAAATGCGAGCGGCAGCCGCACGTCAAAGAGAGAGAGAGAGAGAAAGAGTTTGCGCTGAATTTTCGGCAACAAGAGATTACCGATTTTTTACTCTTTAAATAAGGAGACTGCCGAGGAAGATAGCATCTTTTGTATTTAATGCTTTGTTCACTCCTACTCTTATTATACAGCGATAATATCGCGCACCAGCACATTGCCGACGCTCGTCTTTTAGAACGTGCTGTGTTGAAAAAGGAAACCGACCGAACAGCGATAATTTAATTGCGTGATGCGTTATCATATCAAAAATATCTAAAGGGATTTTTTTCAAATGAAAATTTTTAAGAATTCTTACATTATTTGTTAAAATAATCTATAAAATTAAAAGAATAAAACAAAATTGATTTGAAAAACACGTCTTTTGATGAAACTCATCATATTAATATTATGCAATGAACCATTTGCATGCTATAGTCAACTAGTGATGGATAAATTTTGAAAAATTATAAATTTTTTATATAATTCATTAAATTTGTTACAAATGAAAGACAAAACTCGTTAATGTTTATACTGCAAAACGTCCTCTCTTGAATCTAAAAAAATTAGTTCCACGTGAAACTACTTTTAAAACCATTTTCTACTGTGACCAGGATGCGCTGCTTTCCTTTCTTCCTGCTACTTCCTATTCTACTACTGGTCATCACCAGGACTTAAAAGGTTTGATAAGAATGGCTTTTATCTACTTCTTACCATGAGCTAGCACGCAGGTGGGGTAACTTTTTATATTTAAATATTTTTTCAGTGCATGGGAACTCGTGGGCAGGCTCGAACCAAAATGCGAATCACTCCTTTTAAATGCGGAAGAGAACTTTTGCTTCTGGTGCTCTCACTATTTGCAATATCTACCTTCTTATCAATGGAACCTAACAACATTTTAATCGGACGAGCACCCCTTCAATTTGGTTTTCTGACGACGTTTAATTTGACATCAGTGTTGAGCAACTCGGCACTTTTCAGGAGGAATTTCGGAAAGCAAGTAATATTCTTGTTGGAAACATCACAAAAGGGAGTTTTGAATTTGCGGCAAGTTTGCACACTGGAGTCGGCAGCAGGCCTCAATCCTGAGGTCTCCATTATTCTGGTTTTCTCCGACTTGGAGCAAATCAGTTCCAAAGACAATCCCGCAATGATGGAGTTGCTTGAAAATTCCCCAAATGTTAAAATTGCAACGCTTAGTAGTTCAGAGGTAAGATCTCTCTTTTTTTGTTTGAGAAGTTAATACTTTTGAAAAAAGCTAAATTTAATTCAATTATAATGATAATTTATGAAAAACATAATAAACTTTGTTAAAGTAAACAATAAATTCCTGAATAAATAAAATTTTACAGGCATTTAAAGGAACTCCTTTTGAAGGAATCGATTATAGAATGCTGAAAAATTCAAGTGATTTTAAAGTGCACAGTAGCGACTTGCTACGACTCAGTTTGTTGTGGAAATTTGGTGGCATGTATATGGATTTGGACTACATTACGCTGAGGAGTCTGTCACTTCTTCTCCGGCTGAAGAATTTTCTGACCGCTGACGCAGAATACAACATCAACAACAGTATGCTTGGATTTGAGAGACACAATCCGTTTTTGTGGAAAATCTTGGAGCATCTGCAGAAAAATTTTAACCCTGAAATTTACACCACAGCGGTCGCGTCGATCAACGCAGCAGTGAGGGAAACTTTCAAAATAGACATTCAAGAGGCTATAAGACGCGTGGAAATTGATAAGCAGCTCTACGTCTTGAATTATTTGGTCACAAGCCCAGTTAAATACGTAGATTGCTTTCAAGTGTACGCAGGCGCTTGTAGTCCTAGGGGGACGGAGGGTAACGGCGCCTCCATTAAGGAATTTTTGAGGTGACGCGCCTCCATTAAGAAACAGTCCATGGTGACGGAGGGAGACGGTCATTTTTTAATTTCATACATTCAAATTGTTGAATTGATCACAAAATTCGTAAAGAACATAATTATTTTCTGTTGCGTGGCTGCGGCGAAGTTTAGGATTAAATTCTTTTGTATCCTTTTGTTAAAAATAGATGCTGCCGACAGCCAAACAAGAGGGCTCGCCCTGGCATTTTCACAAAAGGTGGTTAATCCTCTTAGGGGGAATTTTCTTATTCTTTGCCACAAAATGTTAAGTGGTCAGTTTTAACAATTCGACAGGGTATTACCTGCTGAATAGAGACGCACCTTAAAAAAAGATAGGTCGGGCGCATCTGTGGGCCAAGAGGGTTGTATGGAAAAATATTTGCATTTAGGCAACCCGCAATCTTCTTGTGCATAGGGGTTGTCTACTTTACAGGGGTTCGATTTGTGACGTCACCACCGTCTCCATTAAGAAAATTTTAGGACTACAACCCTGAGTGTACGCCTCGCGAAACGCAAGTTTGCTTGAATTTGTTCTTGAGCAGGGCAGCTACACTATCCATTTATGGAACAGGTGCGGCTCAGAAGTAAGAATGAGTCCTCAATCAAATGTCTCTTATGTAGTATGGGCCAGAAGCTATTGTCCAAATGCATTTGCACATGTAAATCAATATTTTTAATATAAATATAAATATATTTAATTAATTAAAAATGCTTAGATCCATCTAGGTATTAATTTAAATTACAAAAAATATTTAGATTGATGATCAAAATTAATGGTTTAAAATAAATTTATATCTATAAATTTTATTTTATTGACAAAATTTGGTTTTTTTAATGGTTTTTGAAATTTACAAAATTTGTTACAATTATTTTTTTTATAAAAAAAATTTAACAATATAGAAATATTGAATTTGTAATAATAATATATTATACAAAATATTGTGAATAATAAAAGGCATTATATTTTTTCAAACAAGCACCTTACTCTATAAATTTGCGGACGGTCAAATTTTCGTTTTAAACTCGGCAGAGGCGCTCCAATTTGAATAATTCCGCGCGACATTTCCTTTGTTCGGCCTCATAATTAGCAGGGCAATTTTCGCTCTCCTTGGCGGTCGCACGCCAAATAATGCCGTAATTGCGAGGACGAACCACCTTGACCTCTGCTCGCGCCGCTCTGCGCTCGACAATGGTGCTGATTTCTTCATTAAAAGATGCCAACACGGCGCGCGTGAGACAATGCAATCGAGAGTACGATTTTTTTTGTTCCAGGCGACGACGACACGAGAGCGGCACGCACCCGCGAGGCCGTCGGCTCCTGCTTTTCTTTTGTGTATAATACCTGGTAGTGCTGCAAAAAGTTGTCCTGCCTGGATATGCATGTAATGCGGGTTGCGGACCAGCACGGAGGACCATGGGCTCGACGAGTGGCTGCACCGGCGCGCACAATACTAGAAAGATGAGTTCGGGTCGCCTTGTTTGCTATCTTATCTGTTATGCTCTCTCTAATGTTTGTTCAGGTTATCGCATATTGCCGCCTGATCGACCCCTATTTCGTGATATAACTCATCTAATGGTTGTTACGGAATTAAAAAAGTGCGCTGCGATAGCGAATTCAGTGCTCCGTGGGTGCACCGGCGGCGGGCGCACTCGAGACACTAACCTGTCGACCGGTGTCTGATGGCCTCTCGTGATTTACGACACGTAATCCACGCACCACACGATCATGTTTTTTATCGGATTAAATTTGAGACAACATTTATATATAGTTTTGTTCGCGGTGATATTTTTTCATAATCGTTGCCAATGACTTTTGTGATAAAAACTGGAAATTTCAAGAGATGGAAACTTAATAAGTGCGGCATGCGATGATAATTACAATTCGTCTGTCTAGAATTGATGTTTGAACTGGGCGATCTGGAAAATCCAACTTTTATTTGCTTACTAGCCCCTTCACTTTTCAATCAGTATATATAATCAAACTTTTTTTATACATCTACTTTATGGAGAACATTGATTGCCGAAAGATTTGATTAAAAAGTAAACCTCATGGTCAGCTTAAAGTCAGAGTCCAAATTATTATTTTTAGACAATTTTTCTTATTTAATGTTTAAGTCAGTTTCAAATTTCTAAGAGAAAATTTGGCAATATTAATTAAAAATTACATTGCTGAATATAGTATTTTTTGAGAAGCTTAATATTAAGAAAAATTTATAAGCTAATGTATATTGACGGACTAATTCATAAAATATGAAACTAAGCAAATAATAAATGATTAATTAGGCCAGGATTATTCATAGGCAGATTCATTTTTATTAATTTGAAGATTAAGCGATACTGAAAATCATTTTAGAAATATAAAAAAATTAAACAATTTCCCTCCCATGCAAAAAAATTCATCGGCAAAATTTTGATTATTTAAATTTAATTTAAATAATAATCTCCTCCATGACATCTTCCTTTTCAGTTAAATGTCAAGCAATATTTTATTATTTGTTGTAAAATAATCAAAAGTTAGTACAAAATTTGCAGAATTTGAATTGATTGCAGAGCTTCTTCTCAGAACTTCACTACTTTGATCACTTCTTAGAGATATTAGCCCCAGCACTTTGCACAATCAACAAAGCTTGAATTGCCGTTGAGCATAATGGATTGATTAAAAGGCTCATTGTTGGATATCAGCGTTCTCGGCGGCTCAAATGTTCGTACTCGAATTACGGCAAGTCGCAATCAATACACAGAGAGAGAGAGAGATGCTTTTTTCAATAAACCTGTCTCGGGTCGGGCGAGCAGAATAACAGATTGAGATATTATCTTATCCGCAGCGTGCGAGAGAGCTCTCTTTCACACACCACTCTCTCGCTCGCACTCCGTTTTCCACGCTATACGCTGAGCGCAAGTGAGTAATAGTTCCCTATATTTAAACCGGCGCGCCGTAAAAATCTTTAAAGTTACATATCGATACACACACGACTCGCCATTCTTTCTCTGCTGATTGGTAAGCCGAGAATTACCTAATGTGTGTGCGATTGTCTGCTGCTCATTGCCCTGCCCTTATCAAGTTGGCGCTAAAAAATTATCTGGCGTCGCGTCAAACGGGTGTATAAATTATATACCGTGGGCGATTTTATCTCTTTTTTTCCAGGACTTTAATTATATTAACACTGTGAGCCTGCACGTTTTTTTACCATAAATAAACACACAAAAAAAACATACGCTATGGAATTGAGAAAGTTTTTGCAAGGATAAATAATTAAAAAATTTGACAGAAGCATCTTTTGGTATAAATGCGAAGAATAATTTAAGTTTTAAGCCAAATAAAGCAATTACAGAAACGGGCTAGAGGAGGATAATTATAATATTTTCCATCGTCTTGTAAGAACAATGAAACAAATCAAATTTACAAAATTTGGTCTTTATCCTGTTTTTTTTTTTTTTTTTTTTTTTTATATTTAGACAAAATAGATGAGAAATGTTGTTTTCAGGTTGTTTTATTATTTTTTTGTCAATTGGTGTTGGGGGAGAGAAATATAAACTATCATCTTCTCCTTCAGGCTGTAATATTCAAACCTGCGTTGAACCAACCATAATTTGTTTGCAAAACTATCAGTTTTATTATTATTATTTATTCTTCTCGGTCAATACAAAAATTTTAAATTGGAAAAAAGAGAAGAAAGGGTTTACAACTAGCAGATGTCTGCTAAAACGCCCGACATCAAAAGAGACACGGCCGCCGCGAGTGGAATTTTCAAAACAAAATGAAAAAGGTCCTTTTTGTGGGCCAGGAAAAGTTTGAATATGAAACTCAGTAACATATATTTTTTTCGTTAAAAAAATCATACAAATGTAAATTTTCATGTGGAAGTCAAAGTTTCTTTAAATAATATGATTTTTTAAATTTAGAGGTAAAAATTGAATTTTATAAACATTAAAAACTTGAAAAGAAATAAAATAATTTTTGCATGTTAAATTATCAAAGAACATACTTTGCAGGGCAATCCCAACTACAGTTTCTAGGTTCTGATGATTTTTCGAGTGTGGTCCTTGTGAAAAAGTTGCAGTAAAATGAAATGATTGTTTGTTTGTGGGGTCAAAATAGGTTTCCAGATCACAGACATGAAACTTATTTCCTGCTCTACACAACGCCATCGAATTTGGTGCAGTCTAGAAAGTCCGTTCCGAACCGAAATCCACCGCGTAGCTTCGTTAACATTTTTTGTGACTGCCGCCGAGAAAAGTTTGTTTTACTAGAGGCCGAGATGGCATCGCTCAGCGTTTTTCTTATCGCAAGGAAAAGTTTGTTGAGATGCCGTGTGTTTTTTATTGGCGTAGTACTCGCCTCTCTCTTGCTGGTAAACAAGGGAGTATCATATAGTAAGAAGTTATAGTAAATTCCTGCACCACGTGATCTCGCTTTGGCCCACGGCGCAGCATCCCTTGTATGTATGTTTTAGCCCGATCGAGCCGGCCGGCGGCACCAAGAGAAAAGATAACTCGCACAGTTTCGCCCGTTTTTTGCTCGCGCCGGGGAGCACTTGGAATCTATTTCAGAATTTTATCAGGTCGTAAAACGAAATTAAAGTGCACACGCCTATTTATGTTTGGCCATGAGAGAGCAGAGGACTTGGAGCAGAAGCTGCAAACTTATTTGCTCTGCACGCAGGAGGAAGCGGTTTTGGAATTATGTCGGGATTAAAATAAGCAGCCAATCAAAACCAACGGAGGCTGCTGAGCTGCGGTGTGAGTTGAGTTCAAGTTGAAACTCACTTTTATGAACATTTTGCAAATTGAAGAGAGAGGAATTGCTGGAAACGAAATTTATAACTGACAATTCGATCTAGTGCCAGTTCAATAGCGGTTCAAGTTTGAAATCTTGAATAAAATGTTCAGAAATTCAAATAAAAATTTGCGTTCAAAGTCCAAATATAATAAAATTTGATCAAATTAATCAATTTGAGAAAAATTACTAAAAAAATTGGAATTTTTAATTGCATCCTAACAAAGATTGAAAAAAATAGCTTTGTGCTTTCTTTCCGAAAAGGATAATAATTGAATATTATTTTCTTTTTGAATTTAATTTAATTAGAGTGAAATTGTAATTGCATATAGTTTAAAATTCATCTTGATTTAAATAAAATGATAAAAAACTTAATAAAATTCAAGGCAATTAGCTGTCGGAGAAAGACTTTACTGTTCATCTGGAAAATTGAGATTTAAAAGGAAACGCGGCTTGAAAGTGGTTTTGCTGCTGGGAAGTGGATAACGTGTCTGTTGCTACTTTAGATTTGAATGAAATTATGGTAATATCCGGGTTTGATAAATCACAAGTGCGGCGGCGGCGGTGTGTGTGTGTATGTGTGCGCGATAATAATTACATCTAATTGAAGACAGGCAATATCAATTATGCGCGGCAGTGCCGTGTTTGCGTTCGATTTCACGGATTGGTAGGTGGCAAGAACGACCGGTCGCCATTAATTGTGTAGGAGAACTGGCCGTGAATGCACTTTTTCACTCGCACTCCAATTATTTATTATTCAAACGAGCGTCTTTCCACCTTCATTAATAATGCAGAGAACTCGCCTTGAATTGATTTAAATTCGAGTTGCATCTCTCGTAAAAAAAACCACATTATAATATTTTCAAATATTATGATTATACTTTGATATTTGACATGTGTCGCGCGGATTTAAAAGCGACCACTACTTCTTGTTTAGGGGATTTGCAGGGACAGAAAACCTGACAACTTGTTTCGCAGCGATTTTCATTTGCAGCTTCTCCTCTTTCACTTTTCTTGCGCGCCGAGAATCAAAGGATTAAGTTTGCGCGCGCGTGATATTTGCTGTTCAAGAATGAAAAGCAAGACGAGCCTTCTACGAGAGAGAGAGAGAGGCAGGGGATCTTTTGACACGCGGGTTTCGAATTTGACAAAGGAATATAATGGTGGCGCCAGCAGATGAAACAAGATACACGCCGTAGACGTACTGCACGCAGCAGCCAACAGCTCCAGCGGTACATAAGTTTTCGGTATTTTTTTTTTTAGATTGGTGAGAAAAATGATACTTTTTTGTTATAAAATATAAAAAAATTTATAAAGAGGGATCTTTGCGCTTTTTTATTTTTGGGAAGAAGGTTCAAAGCCAGGTCTCGGAGAAGTAAAATAATTTTACATCAATTTTTCCACTTTTTTCAAAATGAAACGTCTATTATAATTAAGGTAATTTATGTTAATATTTTATTATTATTCATACTTTATCAAATCAATTTATAATTAGAATGTGAATTAATTCCGTGGATATTAAGAAGAAAACATTATACTGAGTAATACGGCTATCGTTAAGATTACATGATTATATATTTGTTTGTATGATTATTATATTTGTGTCTACAGGTAGAGTAACAAATTAATAATAATAATAATAATAAATGATTGAAATTAAATAAAACAAGTTTCAAATATTTGTATTATATTTAAATAAATAGTATTTTAAGTAAATATATTTATTAAAAAAAATATTTTAATACTTTATATCATAAAAACAATGAACAGAAAAATTTATTGTTTGGTAAAATTAGTATTTATATACTGCTTTCAACAATTTATTTTTTTAATAAAATCGTTTCAGTTAAACATGAGAGTAAATTTATAAAT